AAGAAGAAGAAGAAGAAGAAGAAGAAGAAGAAGAAGAAGAAGAAGAAGAAGAAGAAGAAGAAGAAGAAGAAGAAGAAGAAGAAGAAGAAGAAGAAAACAGAAGAGAAACAAAACAGGGACAGAGGAGAATGAGGAACAACAGGGCAAGCGGTGAGGAGTTTGAAGGCTATCCATACGAGATGGTGACATGTCCGCCATGAGCATCGAACAGCGTGCCAGCCTCCCTCACAGCTTGGCCCTTCCTAGAGCCTCAATCACCTCTTTTGCTCCTCGTTCGCCAGATCGCAACGCACCGTCCATATACCCTTTCCATTCATAGGCAGTCTCGGTCCCCACGAAATGGACTTTCCCATGCGTCGTCCTCAGAGCATGGCTGTACTTTGTCATGATTCCCGGTGGCGCAGCCGGACATGGACAGCCTTGCGCCCACTGATCACTTGCCCACTCGTGTTCTGTGACCGCGACTGGCTCTGGGACGTCGACATAGGGTCCGAAGACACGCTTGATGTGGGCCAAGATCGCGCTGAACCTCTCCTGTTGCGAAAGGAGAGAACCCTTCCGACCGAAATCACCATTGGTAAAGCACGTCAGGGAGAATTGCCCTTTCTCGTCGTTGCTGGAGTCGCGGCAAGTGGTGATAGGACCGATGAAGGACATGATGGCTCCGGACAAGCCTTTCTTGCGCCACCAAGGCTCCGAGTACATGACCAAGACCTTCAGCGTATATCCATGCACGTTGTTGTTTCCGAGCTCGACCTTGGCAGCAGGTAAGGGAGGGTCGAAGGCGATCTCTTTATACAGAACCGTTGGCACAGAGACGATGACTCGTTGGCACCTGAAGTCTCCCCGGCCCGCCGAGACGTAGATTCCATTTGGATTTTGTGATATGCGCCGAACAGGTGAGTTCAGGACGATTGAATCTGGCTCCATCAAACTTGACAGACCGAGTGACAATGACTGGGTTCCTGTCCGCCCAAAATGTAAGTGCATCACTCAACCGATTTCATCACATCGGCTTTGCTCACCTCTCATGAACCGAAGATACTGCCCGCCATGTTTGAAATCGGATCTCATCTGGAGCAAACCACCGCCACTCTTGCAGTAGTCCAAGAAATAGAGCGCACTTAGCTCAGACGGTTCCAGCCCCAGCATTGCCCTCGTCCACAGCGTCACAGTCGCAAGCGCGGTCTCGGATTTGGTCTCCGACTGACACCATTCTTCCAAGGTGACGTTGTCAAACCGTCCGCTTGAACCAACCGGGTCCCGAATATCCACCTGCTGACACAGCTTCTCAAAAAATTCGCGGATGTACACCATGCTCTCAATCCCCTTCGGCTCGGGCGCGTTGGTTGGAGTTCCGCCGTAGGGAAACAGTCCTGTACCGCCGCTGAGATCCTCCTGAATGATATCGCCGACAGTGTTTTGGACCACGAGCTCCAGACCAAGCGACTTTGCCAGAGCGTACGCCTTGGCTTGATTCGTGTCGTTGATCCAAGCGGCACCGACGTCAATGAATTTCTCCTGGCCCAACGGATCGACGGACCAGGTCTTTCCACCGACGCGATCTCGAGCCTCGACAACCACGCACGACACCCCGGCCTTTTGCAGGTCATAGGCTGCCTGCAGACCGCTCAAACCAGCGCCCACGACGACCACTTCCACGGTCCTGAGAGGCTCCTGCCTGACAGCAGCATAGGCCTCAATCTCGAATTTAAAGTCGGGATCCGCCAGGGCGGGGACGGGCACCAGCGTCGTCGCAGGCCGATGCCCGTTCAAGAATGCCTTCAGGTGCTTCGCATGACGACGGTTCGCGGGGTCGTAGTCGACAATGTAGTAGACCAGCTTGAACACGTCCGTGACTTTGGCGCCGGCGGCCTCGAGGCAGCGGCCTAGGTTTTTCATGGCCAGTGCGATCTGCTCGTCGATGTCCTTGGGCACGACCCGGTTGTGGTCGGCGCCGACCTGCCCGGCCGTCGCGACGATGCGGCATGGTCCGCTGGAGGAAGCGACGTGCGAGAAGATCGGGCGAGAATCGAATGTCCTGTGGGGATCGAGTGTTTGCACGCTCGGCGCAGTCTTGGGGTCAGGAGCCATACTCCGCGATTTGATTGACGAGACAGTCCCTTTGCTTCTTTCTCGTTTCGTTTTTCTTCTCTCAGTGGTCCTTGGGATCAACACTTCTTTTATTGGATTGGCTTCTTTCGTTTCCTTTTCTTGCTGCGACAGAAACCCTCCGCTTGAACCGCACCGAGGCCTTGGATATGTATTATATAATTGGTGATCCTCGGATTTCGACGGCCGTCGTGGAGCAGCTTGTTCGACTGCTCTCTGACTTGTTTGCTTGCCCGCTTGTCTGCCTGTGTGTCCGCCCCCAGCAGCAGCTATGTATATGTATGGATGTATGCACGTATATACGCAAGTACGATTCCGGATTCAAGCCCGGCCGTCTTTTCTTTCAGAGTCACATTCACGCGCCCGCTTCACCGCCGGCTGAAGCCCCTCCTGTTACGAGGTACGGGGGAATAATACGCTCGACCTGTGCGGAGATGTGCATCCAAGCCCTATTGTTGACTAGTGAAAAGAGGAGGATGAGGAGGGCGGCCCTCCATCTCCGGTGGAATATCTGCGCGCCCTGGTAATCCTATTGAATCACACGCAAGCGCCTGATCGGGCAAGAGAGTTCGGCGGCGGCGATTGGTCAGCCTGGGCGCATTCAGCTGTACCCAGAAGCGCGGTGATGGGCGGAGGACGACGAAAGTCTGCCGTTTCGGGACGTGTTGCGCGGAACAAAGCGTGATATGCATGCTTAGAGCAGCCGGTGAGCACGTATGCATGTATGTACGTATACGATCTCCGAAATTCATACACTGTGCTTTCTGAGACGGAGGTTCTCCAGAATGGCACACCAGGAGAGGGGGGGCGCCCAATGTCCACTCGAGTTATGGAAAGGTCTAAGCAATTGTAGACGAGGCTAGTATTGCAAATTTTGTATGTCCCATCCGTGACTCTCCACGGATCAGAAATCCGGCACCGGCGAGAATTTAGTGCAATGAAACGGACAGCCTTAGGGATAGTGATCTGTGTCACCCGTTGCAGACTTGGTCGATCGCCTCCGCCACCGCTATGAGTTCTTCGTCGCTGAATTGCGGCCGCACCAGCTGTATCGTGATGGGCTGGTTCTTCCAGCGTTCGGGGTCATCTGTTCAAAGCAAAAAAACAAAAAAAAGAGTCGTGAGAACCGGGAATGCGCATAATCAACCTTTTTCGGGTGAGTTGGGGGTGGGATGTTAAAACTTACAAATTTCCCAGTTCATCCTGTCAAAGACATTGTCCTTCGGCACGTAAGCGGCGTCCTTCTTATCCTTGTCCAGATCGACGCGCATCTTCTTCAATGGGAGGACAATGCTCGGATAGTCGAGGAGGTTCCAGAGGCTGAAGTACCCCCACCAGACCGGAAAGCCGTGTGGGAAGCTCGCAGAGGGGGCACAGGGACAGATCAAGCAGTCGATTGGACGGCCGGTGCTTGTTTCGGACTTTGTGTTGTACCATGCCTCTGCGAACTGGTATTTCCATTCTGCCTGTTGCGTGTTGAGCTGAGGGGGGTTTATTATCAGCTGTGGTTCGGGATGGTTGTAGAGCAATAAATGACCAAAAAATGATGGGTTGATAATACCTTGAACAATTCCGGCACGGTCAAGGCTTTGATATTAAAGGTCTCCAGATACCACTTGAATGTGGGATAAAGTGGTTCCCCAGACGATGCGACCAGATCAATAGTCTCCTTTGCCCCGGTCTGGAACCATAATCGCCACTGTTGACGCGTCAGTGGACAGTATATCGTAGAACACAGACGCAGAAACATACGGTGGCTTGTGCGACTTCCCAGCAATCAAATGGTGGTTTGAATTCGATCACTACCCCCAGTCAGAAGGGCTGGTGTGATATGACAAGACGTCATTGAGTTCATACCTTCGTGGCCGGCGGCTCGCAAGTTTTCCGCAGTCTCTTGTAGCGCTCTTGCAATTGGCGGTTGTGGAGTCACGCACCCATCTGTTGCCAACAATCCAACGCAGAGTCTCTCTTTATTCGCAGGGAGTTGCTTCCAAGGCATTCGCACAGCAGTGGGTTCAAATGGCAGGCCGTAATGAGTGAGTAGGATCTCGGCTGCGAGCTTGACATCAGCCATGCTGTGACAGTTCGGCCCTGAAGAGACCTTGATAGAGATCTGTCCCGGCGCCGCTGTTCCCATGCCCCTTTTTGCTGTCCTTTCGGCAGTGGGTCTCATAGCGTAAAGTCCATTAAAGGTCCCTGGTGCACGAATACTGCCACCGATGTCGGTTGATGGGCAAAACGGCGCTCCTCTCATGGCCACCAGGCTTCCATCCCCGCCGGAAGAGCCGCCAGCAGAGAAATTCCTGTTGAACGGGTTCATTGTGCGACCCCAAAGATTGCTCCATGTTTCCAGGAACATCCCGGTCTGCGGCATCGTCGTCCGAACGAAGAAGACAGCTGTTACAGTTATAGAAAAAAGTATTAGCAGTCATTCACTAATATGTGCAGCTGAGTCGGAATGTTCACCTCCGGCATTCCTTAACATTTGCACAATCGATGCATCAAACGTGCACCTGTTGTCGTTCCATGCCACGTAGCCCATGGTCAGGTTCTTATCTTTCATGTGAAAGATGTCCTTGATGCCCACAGGCAATCCATGCAGAGGCCCAACTGGTGTACCAGTCTTGGCCAGGAGATCGTCCAGTTCTTTTGCTCGTGCTAGAGCCTCTTCGGGGAAGAAAGCTGTCAGGCAGTTTACCTAGAGTAGTCGTCAACAACAGACCTCAAACCGCATCAGCAGCATCAGGCTCGAGATTTAGTCGATCATGTTTGAAGCCAGCCTCCACAGCACTTACACACTGATGCGCAATCGCCGCTCTTGCGCAGAAGGCTTCAGTTACCTCTACAGAGGACAATCGCGCATCTTTCAGTTGGGCTACGAGCTCGCTGGCCGTCTGCTCTGTGATCGAGAGCTGTTTCTCCGTGAGCAGTCCACACGTCCTCGGAATCGCACGAACGTCTGTCACAGAAGGATCGACGGACTCGGGCAGACGCCATCTCGAGGGTATTGAGTTCAAAAGATTTGCCTGGGCATTTGACGCGATGACTTGCCAGTTTTCAGCCATTATGATGTCGGGGGAAGACGGAGTGCTCGCACTTAGGCAAACTGAGTTCAAACCTTTTGAAAGAAGCGCTGATGCGTTGTCTTCAGAACACAGCTCATCTTTTAAGTCCTGTCCGTGCATAGGAGTAGCAGAAAACGACAAATAGCAGGTGTACTTCAATGCGGGGACGCGTTCTAATCAGCCACCGGATATCGATTATCGCGGATATCCGCCTTCGCAAGCGCATCTGCACAGTGGTTGTCGTGCGCAAATGGGGTTGTAGGAGTGTGTGGCCCGTCATCTTGTTGAAAGGGGACAAGTCGCAAGGCCATGAGGGGTGGATGAAGGTCTTGCAGGGGATGGATGATAAAGGGAAACGTCTCGAGGTCTGTTGCCTCGGGTCTGGGCTGGGGGTCGGATCAATATCTATCCGTGTTCGTGATTTCTGTCAAAATACATAGCTACTCCATAATAGATTACTCGTCTCGTCGTGAATAAAAAACTTATCAGCCAAATGCGGCTGAAGCATAGAGGGTGAGCAGAGGCTGCTTTGATCTGAGATTTGATCGAGCCTCATTCAGCATATTTGAAACGCAGGAAGCTAATCTGGTTGCGCTGCATTAGTTGTATCCTCTTTTGGTCAATTCGGAGGTGAAAGGCAAGAGGAGACGATGGCCGCAATGGCTTAATTGGGCCTGTACTGTAAGTCTATCGGGGCATGGAGATACAGGATGACATGTCAAGCACTCCACCTTCGCAATGTCTCGTCCTCCTCCAGTGCCCGCATATCTCGCTCATTCAGCATGATAGCAACCTCGATTCTCTCCATAGCCTGCCTATCTAAAGTATCCTCCGGCCTACGTCTCGGTAAGCCAAGTACCATACCGTCAATATAAGGCAAATATGGGATCCTGGCGAAGCGCGGCTTGCCCCCTAAACTGGGCCCGAAGTCGCAATCGTACATCCCTAAGTTTGCCCAGCTTGTATATCCCAGGTCCAAATGGAACGAGTTCCACCCGGGCCCGACATCTTCAACGTCGGCGAGTTGATCGGCAAACGCCACAACCTCGCCGACATGGGTGGCAGTCACCGCGGATGTCGCTGCGGCAATGGCGCTGATAACTGGTGCCATGAGCGATAGCTCGGCGGCGGCAGGGTTGGCCATGGCATTTCCAGCGATGCTTTCTAGCATGGTAGCAGGAAACTCGACCACCTTGAGCATAGTCACATTGCCCAAGTATGACCTGTTCGACACGGCGGGTCTGACCCTCGAGCGCGCATTAATGGCAAAGCCAAGCTTCGAGGTGGCAGAGCCTGCCACAGTTGCGAGGCCATCGTGGCGCATGCGTTCGAGCCGAATACGCGTGATGGAGAGCCACAGGGCAGCGCCCAAGATATTGTTGACCGTTAGGAACTTGGCCTGGACCGAACTGCTCATGGCCTTCTTCGCCTCCTGCAACTTGGCACTTGAAAAGGCAAAGATCTTCGCGGCACATTTGACTGGGTGGCCAGAGACATTGGTCGGCACAGACGACGGAGCCGAGCTCAGAGATCGAAGGCTATATTCCGGATGTCGAAGGAGAAGCTCCTCAAGTGTAGCTTTCGGCTCGGTCCTGGCGAAATCACCGCTGGCATCCCGTAGCCAGGACTCCCTGTAGTAGAGTTCTCCGGGATCGAACGACGTCTTGTCATCGGCACGTTTCGGCTCGTCTCTCATGCAGTCACCCCAAAGCTTGAGGAACATGCCCATTCCTGCCCCGTCCATGACGACGTGATGAGCGCACAGACATAGTATGAGCCCCCCTCCCAGGCGTGTAGCTCCGATCACGAGGACCGGGGCTCTTGTCCCCGGGATCTGGTAGTTGATGAACGCTGGTACAGGGCTGAGGCGCTCTTGGAAGACCGAGAGCGGCGCATTGTCCATCTTCAGCGCCTCGAAACTTGGTAGGGACTCTGGAGCGGGTGTCTCGACCAGGGCTGGCGGCGGGTCCAGAGACGACCATGATAGCGACAGCTGGTTGCGCGGATGGCCGCCGTCCAGCGACTTATGAACAGAGCCCCTGAGAAATGGAAGGAGGGAGGTGGCCTTGACTAAGCTCTCGTTCAGCTTTCTCACGGCGCTCTCATATTGGTCTGTTTCGTAGACAAGAAACATGGTGGTGTATATCCTTGGCATCAGCTGGTCGACTGGAGACAGCCTGCAGGACCCATCATGATATGACTGCGACATATCAGCGGGATTGTGCAACTGAATGAAATGGGCTTCAAGGTTCAGATGGACTGGTTTGTCAAGGACAATGGAGGCACATTCGATGGACAGGACGCAGTCCGGTCTATTTCTATGTTTTCGACATCCGATATTTGTCGGGACTAATCGCGTTCTGTCCCCATTTGCGGAGTACCTACGTACTCATCCTAGGCTGAAAACGTTGAGCATCACTTGCATCCGGGGCCGAGAAGAAATGATATGGGTCAGAATTCGAGCAGGCAGCAGGAACTAATACTCCCTGGCATAAAAGGCATGAAGCAACGGCGCCTATTCACCTCAGCGTCAGTGCAACAAGGGGCGCCCGTAACCTCGAAAGTCTTATGGACACTGTTTGGAGACATGACGAATTGGTCCAGGCATCATTTATAAATTGGGGGAATGTTTGCGTGGCCGATGTTAGTTAAAGCTTGGCTACCAAGTCCATGGTGAGCGCGGCTGAGCCGAGGGCCGGGACCTAATCTGGCTCCGTTTACCCAAATAATACCTAGATTACTCGAGAGCAAAAAACCTAATTCCTACATCAGTTTGATCCTAGAGGGTGAGCGGAGGCCGCTGTAGCCGGGGCTTCTACTGAGCCATTAGCCGACTGTCCCTGAGTGCTCCCGGAGTGCCCCTCTGAGCACCCTCCCTAAGTACTCTCTAAGTAATACACCGGAGACCAAACCAGGCCCATATTAATGGGTTACACTTACTTCTCGGCGAGGTTTTGTTTCAGACGGGCGTTAGGGAACCCAGGAGACTACCTGCCCTTAACGCTGCTGCCTAAATTCTTGTAAGGACGGGCTATAATTATATAGGATCAAGAATATGTATTGTCATGCAGGGACTGACACAATCCTGTAAGGGCTTTTTTGAGGATCACCATCTGACACTACGCCGCCTTCTAAGTTTGAATGCTACATTAGCTATATAGAGCGGCGGACAATAAATACGGTGGCTCATCTAGCACTACTGGGTAGATAGTAGTGTGTACTGATCGACTTCGATACAGGTTTAATGATGGGGCCAACATTTCCGTTGCAGGTTGGAGGTGCGAAATTACTATTATTATTAATTACCAGGGTTGGGCATTTCGCTTCCGCATTGGGACAGTTACCCAGAACGGCATGGTCTACGCTTCGCAGATCTGTGCCCTTGACAAAGCACATTGCATCCAGATCTGTCCATCCCAACGCAGACATATTGAATTCGCAGCATCAGGCCACGTAAACAGGCTGAAAAGAGTCGGGAATCTCTTGCCCAGTTTGAAATTCGAGCCTCTACGAGCGCGGCGGTGGACTATTTGCCAAGGCCCACTCGCCTACCCTTTCAACGTTGACTTGGTCGCTCCGATCCTTCGAGCGGATTTCGATCCATAAAACCTGAGAGCTACATAAGATGATAAGACGCCCCAACAGCTGGAAGGTTGCAGGTTATCGAAACTCCGTCAACTGCATGTGATACCACTCTCAATGGCGAGTCATATCCGCGATGGCAATCCGGCGCCCCCCACAAACCCGACACCATGCGTCTCTTCTCCGCGCTACCGATCAATGAAAGACATTGATGTGGTGGTGGTAGGTGCAGGGCTCAGTGGTCTGCAGGCTGCCACCGATGTGCAGAATGCTGGCCTTTCCTGCGTCGTGCTTGAAGCCAAAGACCGTGTAGGCGGCAAAACACTCTCGACTACGGTCGAGCATGGTCCTGGCGTGCTGGATCTGGGAGCTGCTTGGATCAATGATCGAACACAGCACAAGATGTACGCTCTTTTCAAGAAATTCGGACTCGACCCAATCATCCAGCGGATGGAAGGAGACGAAGTATTTCGCATGAGCGCCAAGGACCCTTCGTTCAGGACACAATGGCCAGGTTTGCCGGCTGTGGAGGAAGTGCAACGGGCGATGTTCGACAAGATTGCCAATAATATGGACGCGGATTGCAAGTCAATCGACCTCCACGATTCCACTGCAAACAGCCACGTCAAAGACATTTCGCTCGGGGAATACTTCCGTCAAAAAGGCACAGATGGATTTGCCCTTGGATTTTGGACTGCTTGGATTCACGACTTGACCGGCACTGACCCTAACGACATTGGACTGGTCTATTGGCTAGATTATGTTAAGAGCGCCGGCGGCATTGAAAGTCTGTTGAGTGACGGGCCGAATGGTGCGCAGTATATGACGAACAGACACGGTATGCTCATTTTTTTCTGATTAGCGGAAAAGATCATGTACAGAGGCTAACAATAGATGTGACAGGAAACCAAACAATCTCCAAGCGCCTAGCGGAGAATCTCAAACCAAGCAGCGTATATCTGAATTGTCCTGTCAATGGCATCGTCCAGACGAGCACCGGAGCAATCATCGAAACCTTGTTCGGGGAAGCCTTTCGCGCTCGGAAAGTCCTCGTCTCCGTCCCAACACCTTTATATCGCCACATCAAGTTTTCGCCACCTCTACCGGCAGACAAGCAAGAGTACGCGGACTCCGTCCACCTTGGGCCGTATTGCAAATGTATCTTGATCTATTCAAGCCCCTGGTGGCGCGAGGCAGGCTTGAACGGATCGTTCATCGATCTGTCAGGCCCTGTAGTGTTCTCGCGTGACGTGTCGTCAGATGCGGACGAGATGTATGCTATCTCGTGTCTCATCGGTGGCGGGTATGCTCATGAATGGTCGCGGCTGCCCGTGTCCCGTCGGGTCAGCGCTGTCAAGGACCAGTTGGCAACTATGATAGGCCCCGAGCACGGAGAGAGGGTCTACGACACGATCCAAACCATCGAAAAAGCCTGGGCTAAAGAGCCGTTCATCGAGGGAGTCCCGTGCCCGATGCCGGCCCCTGGTGGCATCTGGCCGCGGCTGGGGAACGCACTGCGAAGGCCTTTTGGGAATGTGCATTTTATCGGCACGGAGACCGCCATTGAATGGAAGGGGTATATGGAGGGTGCGGTTCGTGCTGGTGAGCGAGGCGCTATTGAAGTGGTTGCGGATCTCCAGGCTGCAGACGGGAGAAGGCTGCTGTGAGACAGAACGAATACATAGTATCAGGCTTGCGAGATCGCCACCAAGTTAGCCGTCGTCGTCGTGGGTGTCCAGTTTGATTGCCCGCGCCAACGGCGCCATTTGCATCCGCAAATTGCTCAGTTCGCTTTGTACGTTTTGGGCTTGATATCGTAGTTTGGTATCATCTATTTGTTTTGCGTGAAAGACACAAACCACTCCTTGGAGGCAGACGAGATGGTGCCAAAACACGTCGAGGTAAGAGATTCTGGCACATGACTTGGTGGAGCAGCGCATGGAGAATGATGCAGACCTCGAGCCAAGACGTTTGTTACAGGCTGCAGCGGAAGCACGGTGCTGAGAGTGATTGATTGATGGCTAAGGTCTATGAGCTGCTCGGTCCCAGAGTCGAGCGAGCTTTTCACAATTGGAACTTAACTTTTGATATTACTCCTTTCATCAGGATTCCGAGCGCGTAGGGTGAAATACAGACAGGCCGTGCTTTTGCAGCAAAAAATATTGAGATTAGTGACCGTCACCTTCCTCATGAGGCAAGCCACTTTGGCGCCCAAGGCGAGATGTGTATATGATACGTTGGAAGAAGTCTGGACATCCCAAATGTCTGGATGGCGGTACCAGTGCACACAGGATCAGATCAGTATAGAGAGGTTAGCCAAAGCAAATCCGCATCTGGAGCGAGTGCCGCGACTCGGTTGAGCCCTTCTTGTCCACTATTTGGCCCCACCACACATATTCGGGGCCGTGGTCCTTTTGGGCTGTCCAGACTTCTTCGAGCAGTGGAATCATGGCGCCAAACATGTAGTATCGAGTCCGTTCATTCCACAAAGAGCATAGCACTCTGATCTTATTCTGGGCGGAGAGATCTGTCAATTCGCAACCTGCAAAGAAAAGGGGCAGTAGAGCCTGTCTGGCAACAAATTGGTCGTCGCGGCATGCACAGGCGTGATCCATGATGACTCTGGCGCGGTTGATTACCCGCATAGGAGGTGTGTCGCCCGGTTCCCACCGAAAGACACGGTAGATGTAGAGGAGAAGACCATTCCGCCATGCTTCGGAACAATGCATGCAATCCATGTCTTGATGCATACTCTCTTCATTGTCAAACGCTGTGTCGGACGGCGTATGACTCCAAGCTTCGAGCGACTGCTCGATCTCTGAGACGAGGCTGCTGTCGAACACAACCCAGCGCATCGACGCAGATTTCTGCTTTTCTGCTGCCACGTGTGCTAATTGGATTAGCGAGACCACGAGGCTTTGTGGACAGCCGCACAATCCGAAAAACGTCCAGCTTCGATCGTCACAGCAAGCCAGAACTGACTCGAAATATTCGTACGGAAAGACACATGGCGTTCTGTTGACCAAGCTTATCACGGCATCCCACCTGGAGAATCGATCGTCAGCCGCAGTACGACAAGGATGTGGAGGACGCTTAGAGTTTTCAACACACCACGTGAGGAGTGCCACCTGAACCACAGTTCTAGGATTCTTAGTCCACGCTACTGTGCCGCCACCGATTTCCAGAATGCTGTATGCGCCAGTCAGGTGCGCCGTCCAGCTTCCGAGGAGGGAATAGGCTTCCTGCCGTGACTCGTTAGTCTAGCTACTCGGTGCGCAGTAGGGCTACTCACATCCAGCGAGAACAAGATCACAATGGTGTCGAGCAAGGAAGAGCTCATCGGGGCGACGCTGTCACTGTTGAGAGCCCGACGGAACAATTGGAGCGCGATTCGACCGTGATCAAGGACTGTTTCCGAAAGCTGATCTCCGTTGCCACTCGAAGACGAATTGTCGATATGATGACACGACAAGGCTAGCACGGCATGCAGCAAGTATCCAGACCTTTGCACAGCCGCCGTGCGGTAGCGGAACGGATTCAAGGGCAAGTCCAACGTCAATGGGATGACACAGAACTCGTTATTGTCTGGCTCTCGTCAATGTGGATTTAGTAGAATAGCAAGAAGCGCTAGATATACGCACATCGTTCGAATATAGGTTCCAGCCGCTGGAACTGACCGTGGTATAGGACGCTTGGGGGCATGGTGTGAAGGAAATGGGATGACGATGCCTGTAGGTCTCTGTATGTTGAAGTAGATGGGCCACCCGAGAACGGTAGACTCGGGACGCCATCAAAAACGTCAAGCTCGTCTGAAATAACGGGCAGCATGGCCTGATAGCTCAAGTGCTCCTTGGGCGGTGTCGCACAGTGGCTCTGTTCTTCAGCATTGTTGGAACCAGATTGCGACTCCGCGCTTGCATCCATCTTGTTCGGATACCAGGGTGTCTGGTCCACATCGAAGAAAGTTGATTCATCGAGATTTGAAAGCTCTGGTTGGTCCGTGTCGTCGTGGTCTTTACGTGCTCCCTCTTCTGCCGGGCCTGTCCAGCTTTTAATCAGTTTCAACCCGCCACCACCCACGACTATCCTCGGAAGGGGAGGAGAAAGGAGGGAGGAGACTGACTCGGACAGAGGAGGGCGGTTCTGGGCTTTGATGGCAAATAGAGCCCGGCGTTGCTGGCAGCCCGTGCTGGTGGGTGAGATGTCGATGTGAGAGCCGACCCATTATCTTCTGTCAAATCTGCCGGATGCTCGTTGATGAACTCGAACTGACGTGCAACCGACGAGTCTGCGGATGCGTGCCAACGTAACCTGCGCGTGATGGACTTCTTGACGGGCTTTCTGTGAGTAGAGAACCCTGGCTGCCAGGACAGCTGCATTGCAAACCCGCCACAGATCTTGCCTGACCTCTGGCAATTCTCGCAGCGGGGCCATGCTTTGTCGCATTTCCGCCGCCGTGCCACGCATGTATGGCAGTCATTTCTGGCCAGTCTTGGTGGGCGACCTTTGCGAGATGTTGAAGGGCCATAATCCATCACGGTGTCGATCAGCGCAGGAAAGATGAGGTTATCGCGGGCTCTGGAAGCGAAACCTCTCAGGCGCTAGGCAGCGTGTGGCCTTGGCGACGAGCAGCGGGCCAGCGGGCAATCAGGGTCAGAGTCATGCCTACCCAGTACTGGGTACCCAGTGGCCGCTGCACTGAATGACAGTTGGCCGGGGCGACGCGGGCACAGGCACCGAACAGGCCATTACGACGAAAGCTGGGCTTGACTCTCAACAGGAAGCAGCCCTGGGTGAGGACTGATTAATTTGCTTTAGGCTCAAAACTATCGACGTTGACTCGACCTTGGTCGTCGGCAATATTGTGCAATCCCTTTCGATCACCATTGTCGCCAATGGCCAAGGATGTCTAAAAAAAAAAAAAAAAAAGAAAGCTCTTCAAACGAATGAATTCGCTGAGTTCCAGTGTTGTGCAAAGCCCAGGACATCACGGTTGGGGTTTGACACTCAAGTCCGAACATGATTCTCACTCCCTCTTCACCAGTTTGTGGCCCTGTTCGTGGACGGACCCTTCAAGCTCAACCCCCGAAATTGTTGACATATGTTCGGAGTGTCGATGATGGAGAATCTCATGGTGAATTTGATTCTGTAGCTGAAGGTTCACTTTGGGACCTTTATATACATGTCGTTGCCACAAATACCAGGCTATAAGAATATAGGCAGTGATGGCAACGATCACCACGCTTTAGACATGTCAGAAGATCGAATCAACCAGGATTCCTTGTACGCGTCCACCAGGCAATCAAGAGAGAGAATGCTACAGGAAAAGGCCACACTCACCTCACCCAGTTCATGTTCGTAGTCGTGACCGGCCTCGTGATAGGGATGCAGGCTACCACGTCCAGAAAGAGACACCACACACATGCAACTATGTTGACGACGATGCCCCATTTCCCTAGGTTGAGATGCCTTTCGGGGAGAACTACGGCACGCCCTCTCCAGGCAAGGATTCCCTGAGGAATCACGTAGGATGTCATCATGAAGACGATATTGGCGCCCACCATAGATGCAAAGGCGGTTGATGATCCAAGAAAAATTAGGCCGTATAACTAAGATTTCGTCAGCGTCGAATCTAGACGTTAGTCGCCGGGATATACTCGCCATGGTGAAGACAGCGGAGAGAACGGCTGCATTCAGAGGCATCTGGAAGCGAGGGGACACCTGAGACCACCAACGAGATCCAGGAAAGGCATTGTCTCGCGATGCCGCCCAAATCTGACGACTGGAGCCGGCGATATTGGCAGTTGCACAGCCAAACATACACAGTGCGAAGGCCGCCAGAAGCGCAATTGTCGCAGCCTTGCTTCCCGTGGCTTGATAGTAAATCTCGATCAAAGGGAGTCCGCTCGGCGGAGCGATGACTCTTTCCACATCGACAGTGACAAATAGACAAGCAAGCGCAAACGGCCATGCTGGGGAGACGGTCAACCATCAGAAATGTCGGGCAGCATAAGGGAGACTTACTCGTGATTAACCCGATGAACACAGGCATGACCTTTGCTCATTAAGTGGTCAACGTATTTGAGGAAAATAAGAACCACTTACGATGACCTTGGGAACGTTGACCATAGGGTTCGGTATCTCCTCCGCCAGGTGAGCGCCGGCATCAGTGCCCATAAAGCCGTACGCATTGTTCAATAGGCATAATATAAAAAGGAGCCCTTTGTTGTCCCAACCGGTAGAATTGGTGGTGTCTCCGAACACCCAGGAGGCTTTCTGAAAGTTGGGAGCAGCGCAGGCAAGGATTGCGATAATAGTTGCGAGAAGTGATGCCAGTGAAAAGTAGACTGCAACAATCTCAACGGAGCCATCATTTGCTGGGTAGTCACTCGTACTTACGGAAGAATTTAGAAAATAGCGGCACGAATCGACTACCGAATACATTGATTGCCACGGCCAGCCAGAGGACTGCCGTATAAAGAAGCCACTGATGCCATGGGTGAATGGTGTATTCTGGAATGGATATCTTCACCATAGCCAAGATCATTGCCGCGATAAAGTTGGCCACGCTGGCGTTCCCAAGCCACCAGCCAGCTGTACTGACACAGGCAGAACTAAGGGTGTATGAGTGAGGAAATTGACGAATCTGGGGCATAACTCACACATAAGAAGCAAAGGGCGCCCACTCAGGGGCTGCGACGCGAAATGACCAGTAATACTGGGCTCCCGAATTGGGATAAGCAGAAGAGAGCTCTGCCATACCCAGTGACACGATCCAACTCATAGTAGCCGCAATGATGAGCGTCCAAAGTACTCCAGAGGCAGAAAATTCAGCAAGGCCTGTACCAATAGCGCTTCCAAAGCCATTCCAGCTAGCTGTAAGAGCGAAAGAGAGCGAGAGGAGTGATAACAATGAAAATCGTCGCGGCATGGCGCGTTTGTAGCCCTGAGCTTCGAGCTCAAGGTCGTCTGTATTGTTTTCTCTGTGCATGGTGTTTGCTTTGTCCATGCCGTCTTCTGTTGTTATGTTGGACATGGGGGGAGGTAGGACGCCCGCATTGACCTGAAAGTGTCCCTGTTTGAGGAACAAGGAAGTTTCACTGCGCGAGTTGCTACCCCAGATCTTGAGCCCGGAGGACGATTAAGAACATTCTACAGAGAGCTTTTTGGATGAAGATGCATGATGCCAAGTGGTAAACGAATGCTCAACAGAACAATTGGGTGGCAACCCCCATTTCCACAGAACCACCCAAATAGGCAACGGACTAAAAAGGGCAAGTGTGTCAATGCGGTAAGTTAATGATAATAGGGTCTCAAAAGCCAAATGTTTGATCTAGATTGGCATCGCCAGAAGAATGGCCAATCACATTGGGTTATTATTCCCAAGTAGTAGACGATCGAACAGTCGTCCCGATCGTCTCGCATAAAAATTGCACGCCTTCAAAGTTCTACGGTGAACTTTGCGATCCCAATTTCCACTCTTCCCTTGACAATGTCCACCACACCGTCTTCCATGGTGGTTAGTGGTAACCCGGGCATGGATTTGAAGATATTCCAGACGTGTCTTACGTTCAAAACCGAGCTTGACGTGGAAAATTCATTCCTGATGTTATCGGGCTGTGTTCACAGCAGGTAAGCATGTCAAGCTGGGATGGACGGGCGCCTCGTGTGTTGCACACTCATCAACAGAAGATGAGATGAAACAAGGAGTGAATCAGCAGGACGCAAGCAGGTGGAAAGCAGCCGTTGTTACAAGAACGAATATGTTATGCCATCAGCCGGTCTTTCCTAAGCTAGGTTGACTTTGAAAGTCCCATGGCTCTTCGACACCGAAAGGGAAAAGATATTAGACATCCGCTCAAGCCCCGACTGATGATTCAGGCGGACTAACTTGTATCGCGGAGACTGGATATGGTCATTAACCGTTGATTCGTCGGAACATTTGCATCTCTGATCATGGTTACAAGCATTTTCGAATGATTGCCCTTGCTCTTTTTCTCACAGAGTAGAATACCTTCCCAGGAGATAATGAGTAAACGAGTTCACGTCTACAAACTCAATAACTGCGGACTAATACCGGAGTTGGAAAAGAAAGATTTGAAGATCACTAGGAAGAGGCCAGGAGGGTCTTGTTTAAGCTCTATTACAGACGCAGAAGAAGCTGCGGAAGACTCGATCCACTTATACGATCTGCCCAATCTTCCGCACCAGAAGATTTCCTGTCGTGCAAAGATGTTGTCCGAACTCATCTACGAGAATGGACGATTGATTTGAATGTCTCGGCTTTTCGCAATCACATGGAGGCAATTCGAGGCAATTCGAGGCAATTTCGCAAGCTCGATGGATGTTGAGTGTTTCATTTTAAGCTACATATGAGAGTTTGTCCAGCTGTACATTTCCACCAAAAGATAAAGGCATCCTACTCTATGAACCCGATAGAAGACTTATTCATTGTTGGCAATGAAATCGAAGCCGTTATGATCATATCCGACATAATGACTTAGGTCTCCATCAGGAGGAAACAAGGATGGTCCGACTCAGCGTAACAAAATCCACAACTAGAGAGAGCAACCAAAGCAGCCAGTACAATAGAAAATGATCGTCAGCATAGTCAGAGCGCAAGCCCAACCTTGTCAGCACCATGGTAAGCCGTGCATCTCATAAAGACCGAGCACGTCCGAATTCAAATTTCATCTAGTCGACGCTTGCGATTTGTTGGTCCTGTTGCAATGACTTCAATGCCGCTGTCTGACGATGGACGAGCTCGTCTTTCCATGTCATCACCTGCATCATCGATGACTATGACTCGTTGTGGATCGGCGTAATGCTGGACAGTGGATGGTGAGATCGATGCAGAAGAGTCGGCTGGAAGACCTTTCCATGCTGCTACTCGCTCTTTGAGGGGAGCCAGTCTATCCTTGAGCTCAGGGAATTCGTTCTGAGGTGAAAGACCCGTTTGAAAGGCCAAAACAAGGCAACGGAGAGTCTGACCGAAGTCATATGTCTTGCTCAATTTTTTGATGCCGTCAAGTGTCTTGGAAAAGGTATACGGCCACTTGACGTGGGGGTATGCGAGGGCTTTGCATTTCTCTTTAATCCAGTCTGGAACACTGTTGAGACCACCGTTTGTGTCCATTGATTCAATCAACTGATATTGCGTCGAGACATGTTCCAAAATCTCGAGGCCGTGTCGTAACTCTTCAGTCCCCTCACACTTTGTATCACGGAAATTATACTCTTCCAAGCGGACATTGAAGAATGTGCGTAGTGTGTCCCGACAGACTTCCAGTGGAGGAGTATCAAAGAAGAAAAGACAGTACCGGGCCAGGTCATGTTTTTCGCCGTTCTTAGTTTCAGCATCAACTCCCTCCACGAGTACAGCATCGAATTCCCTAATCATTTCCCGGGTTTCTCTCGACCAAGTCACTGGTCCCGAGCGGGTCGCTTTGATTTCGTGCTTAGTGGACTGTTGGGAAACGCGCAGAAAGCTCTCAGCCGGCTCGGCCATCCCAATCTTCAACAGCTTGTACATTTTCCTAGGCAGTATTGCTGGACTCGCACTAGCTGGCCTTTGAAATGTCGTCAAGAATGGAGTAAAGTAGCGGACAACTCCATACTCAGTTTGGCATGCTGGGAAACTGGATACATCGCCTTGTGGCCTCCTTCGAGATCCAGAATACAGCTGAGATCTGGCAATGGCAGCCGCGAAACACTGTCGAACCGATGAGAATCGCAAACTTCTGAGCAGATCCACAACCCGTTCTGTATGTATCTCGGGGCAATTTGCGATGTCCAGATACGGAGGGCGAGGACCGAAATTTGCTCTCACTTGTAGAGCTCGCAACGCATCGTGAGCTATTGCAATGTATGTCAGGGAGTGAACCTGATTCCACAGGTCAAATTTGACCATTCCACGGGTATCGCCATCCGTGAGGTAAGAGTCCACGGCAAAGGATGTTAGAAATCGCTGTTCCGGGTTCTGAAAAGTGTATGGTTCTCGATCCTGGCCCGTCCATAACTTTTCAACAGCGTTAAGACAGTCTGCAGTGACAGACCATGTCCCTATGCCGCTTATCGCCCTCCACAGTTGCCTCGCAAGCTGTCTTGCACTTTCCTTGGTGTTCATTTTGCTTAGAATCTGGTCGAGGTTTTCCAAAGTAACATGTAAAGCCAAGACTTTGTGTGTCATATATCTAGCATCACGGAGCGCAAGATTTCCGTGGTCGAAGAAAGTTAGTAGGTGAGGAACATCGAAAGGCTCAATCTGCTCGATGTAGTTAGCTATTGCAGGTTCATCGATATCGTCACCGAATATGCCAGGAAAATCATTGTAGGTGCTGCCGACATCCGTATCTGCAAGCAGACTTTGGGAGGCATTCGTGGCCAAAGACAGCAATCTATTGATGATGTCTCTGCGGTATACATCGCGCGCCCAATCGAATATGTAATCAATAATTAAAAGTAGGCGAAGTGCTTCTTGTGGCCAGGTGATGTTTCCGTGCCATAATTGCAGTATGCGCTGAACGTAGTTAATCTCAGGTCTTACGGCTTGGGGGACAACTCACGTAGTTTGGTCCAGAATCTTTGTTCGTTTCTTCCACGTAGGCGCCTGAAACGCGCCATTCCTCTCCTTTATATGCCAAGTACCAAACCAGTGGCTTCATCCCGTATTGTTGGTTTTCACTTGTGGCCCGCGCAAGATCGCGCTGGAGCTGAAGCAAGTTACGAATTGCGAATCCAGACTGTAAGTCAATCTTGGAGAACGTGTCTGCACTTTTTTCCGACTTGGCCTCCAGGATTAGGAATGGAAATAGAAGTGGTATGCTTCCTTTAAGCGAAGTCATTCTGGCTGATTCGCCGACCAATTTGCCCATTGGACCTATCGTTTCTTTCAGAATCCTGTCCAATCTTGTCGTGACTCTGAGCCCCATCACACGATCGGGACGTTTCCCTTGCCGGAGGATCTTGTCGATTTTCTCCTCGTATTGAATCTCCACATCTGCTCGATCATCAAACAGGGGATTCAGGCCATTGTCAATTCTGCACTCGGGTTAGGTTACATGTTTGAGATTTCAATCTAGGTGGGCACTTACCTGTCTTCGCCTCGATTGCGCGGCCAGCATGAGCATGCTGTCCGCTTTTTCTGCCTGGTTTCCAGATCTTCTAATATGCCGTCAGGGGTAGTCACAGCGACTTGGATTTCGGACATCCAGAGACGTGCGCGACATTCAGGGCGAAACACACAGTTAGCATTGGGCGTACCCTTTGCGTGACCTTGTTGCTTACCAAGCAACCTCGATGCCGAATCGGGCGATGACAGCCGGTTCAACAAGCAAACGCCAACCAGCCTCGTTTTTATCCTGTTCGAGACATCGACGAGCCTTCGCGCTGAGGAAGTTGGCGTGTTGGAGAATGACTTGTCTCCAGGGTTTTTGGTCGGATTCGATAGTAATGTTTGCGCGATATTCATCAAGATTAGTGCCTCCGAGGGCCCTAATATCCTGAAAATAAGCTTCAGGGCCTGGAGCTTGGGACTGGTTGAGATCGAAGAACACATTAGATTCTCTCAAAAGTTTACGCCTTTCGATTTCCTCAGCAACCTTCGCCATTTGCGTAGTAACAAAGAAGACCGAGGATTCGAGAATTTGGTGAATAAGAGCAGATGATTCATTTTCTCGTTGTTGCAGCGGACGATGAAACGTTCCAACTATTAATAACTCGTAGCTGATACGAATCTGGCTAGTCAGGAGCGCCTGTTGAGCTGGCTCTCATAACTGCGGCGGCCTCTGTCCACTGTCCGAGGTACCCAGTATAGCCCCAGGCCCATAATGGACAACCCTTGGCGTTGAGAAGATGAGTGACAAGGGTTGTCGAGCGAGACTCTGAGGAACTCTAGGTAGATGGTTGAAGGATCAACAACAACAACAACAGCACGCTTATTCACCTCGTCTGTCTTCTATGTATGTAAGTCTCACTAAGAACATTTCATGGCCTCAATACCGAAAGCCGGGTTCCCTTGTGGCGCGGAATAAGCCAACAATCCTGTTGTACACAGAATGAGAATGGATCTCTCTGCTTGATTGTGTTCTGTCCCCCTGGCTATTCAGAGAGACTCTGCCTGTTTATATATACATTGGCCTGTAACCTGAAGAGCATTCCTGAAACCTCCTATTCCGTCGCCATCCTATCACAGGTCTGCGAGAACAACGAGGTTGAGGTAGTTTTCGCAGTTGGTGAAACGCCTAGCGTCTTAGGTAGTTTGCCACAGTGGCGCTCTCGCGACCCTGTCAACAAATCCCGAGTACAATATGCGGCTAAAACTGGATATCTAAGGCCGTGCGAAGTTCCTAGTTCGAAGGCAGGTCCAGAACGACATCAACGCCTCGTGGCTTGTTTGGCAACCATAGGCACGACCTTCGAAATCATTGCTGACAAGTAAGCTAGTTGGCGGAGACGAGGGAAGCCACAGCAGCCAATGTCGGCCCGCTGTCAAAGAGAAATTCCAAGAACAAGCCAACTCCCCAGTCCAGACTCCGGACAGAAGATCGATGGACAAGACACAGATCCTATGGACAGGAGGCCCTAGGATGTTCACACGCGGGAGATGTGGAAGGACGAGGGCGCATGAAAACGCTGAAAGTCATGACTCTCGGATCTCACAGGTCGATGCCGAGAGAACAGGGCTCAATATGTTTGCCTTGAATGAAGATTCCTCTGCGGGGGTGGCAAGGGGTCAGACGCTGGAGATGATTTTGCTGGGGAGGATGGCTCCATCCTGTGCAAAGTCTAGTGGAAGCCATCCTTGATCCTCTACGTCGCTCCTTGCCCCCAGCCCTTCATGCCGACCTGCACTATCTGCTTGGGATCTCATCAATGCTTCATGGCATTTCCCCTCAGTCCACGATGGTGTTGTTCGACCGTATCTATCCAGTGACTTCACATCAAGATCTGCTCTATCGATCAGCAGTTTAACTGATAGTTTATGCCCCATTCTTGCTGCCCATGGTAATGGAGTCTGTCAGTAAGTCACCCTTTGTGGTTGGATGAATGGGCTACAAGGTCTCTTCGGTCGAAATGGGAGAGTGAAAGATTAATATGCGGCAACTCAAGGCGGTGTGGCACGAACCTCGAGCCGTGAACGCGTCCCCCCATGGCAGCTAGCACCGAAGTCGTCAACCTGCTGGTAGTCTCACAGCCCAGGCAAGGTCTCGAGGGGCACCGTGCTGAACTTCCTACTTTGAAAGCGGAACTGGCATGGCGAAAATCTAGCAATCGCACATCTACCGGTCGAAGCTGCCTAAGGGAAAGTATTCGGCGCATCTTCATTACGAGACCGACGAATCGAAGTCAGGCTGTATTGGACTCCTAGCCAGAGCACGTACCAACGCGAGGTGCGACCCTCTGTCACTCTCGATGAAGCAACGAAGTGGGGGTGGTTAGTTCCGCAAAACACCTCCATTGGCTCTGAACACCACAACACATACATCACATAACGGTACGGGTTGACCGCCACGGAGATATATCCACTGGACCTGACACATCGCAGTCATGACTCCACCAGATCTAGCGTCTGTGTCGCAAACCGATTCCAAAGATGGTGGGCATCCTGTAATTCGCATCCTGCGGTCCTTGGAAAACCCGGGGGATTTCCCTTTCGCTTACGTCTCGAAATGTGTCCGATTTCCGCGGTCCCTCCATCCCGTCCGGCATCGACTCTCGCTAACCAACTAGCCAGTACACAACTCCGCTTTTTCAGCTCGTCTCGAGGAAATTCAACCAGGGCCACGTTGGACGAGAAATCGAGTTTCCTTCCGCGGAGGCCTCTCGAGTCACAAGACGGTTTCAAACAACAAACTCAGAAGTCACAAGGAGCGGGGAGGAGGGGGAAAGAATTTGGATTCCACAAGTTCGGGTGGAGGAGTGTGTAATTAGTACGTTGTTGATGGCCACTACATCCCCGGACGTCCAAGAACTGTCTGTGGGAGACAACATTTCCTATTTGCAGCCCATACAAGCTTGTGACCTGAGGCAATTGATCAGGTGGGTAAGTACCGTAGCGGAAATCAACTGGAACTATCCAACGACTTTCCCGCCTCCTTGCGTTTGACCGATAGCAAGAGATCGAGCATAGCAATGCATTGGAAGGAATAGAGGAGGGAATTGTCATCAGGAACCCGTTGATGGAGGAATTGGGTAGGAGATACACTATTTCTTTTCGTCAAGTATCGAGATACATGGACTTTCAAAATGGTTGATGCCTTTGCAAGACAGTACTAGAGACTCGTTGTTCGTAGAATTCGATATCAATCGAGGCCTCCTTTTAAAACACGTCGCTCACTTCCGTAGATGCTGCCATATACACTGGTCGTGAGATTACTACCCCTCTTTGCAATCATTTCGTGGGTTTCGTGTCTTGTCAGATAAAAAATGTGAGCTGAGATGCTGGACTCGTCCTCCTTGTGCTCTGCTTCAATCAAAAATAGTTGACTGCGCTGTTCTCTTGGCGCGAGAGTGGTTTTACCTTTCTCGTTATGGCAAGTAGTATTGATATGCAATGGCGACCTATGCAATATACGGAGGGCAATCTGTTTCGAGAAGTCTTCTGAGCATCTGACGATTGTCTGCGCTGTAGAGTATCTGAACGGGTAAAGTAAGTCGGAAGGTACAACGGTATGGTGCGGCTATGCGGATTTGTAGATCGACTTTGTATCGGCGAGAAACCAAGGAGGATCCGAAACTTGGAATTGGATACCTCAGTGGCGCAAATCTGAGAGTCAACTGGGCTTCTCCTTTCCATCGTGTTGCGATTTCCGAGGCGCCGTTGTCTCCTATGCCACGTATTAGATGGATGAAGGCCAAGTTCTGCTGCTGTGTGCACCCACCACGTAATGTAGAGAGAGCTTTGCTCCATTTTGAGAACTGTACCACAGCTTGAGCCTTATCGCAAACTCCGTAAATGCGACATAGTGTCCTCGAAGATGAGAGGTCTCTCAGTGTCGGAGCACTCTCTCGCGGATCATTGGATATAAAAGTTGAGAAGATCAAAGATCCGGTGCAACGACTGTTGACCTTGGCCCTGGGCTCTTCTCTCAAGCTCCTCGTCGAATCAGCCATCTCCGTCAAGCATAAAGAGGTTGAAAAGACGAGGCCATCTGTAAGCTGACCTAAAACAAGAGGCGCGGGCTGAGCGGCTTCGATCTGTAAACCTCCTGTGCGACAAACGCCCGGAAACCATCGCCGTGGGCTTCTGGACCTTGCCAAACAGTACTCGTCGGGAAAATCTGCAACACAAACGGGCGGCGGGATGTCCAGGGTAGGAATGATCTTGATAGAGCGAGTGCAGCTGGCCAAAACTTTGTCATGGCTGAGAGCCTGTACACGGAGGGTGTAAGAAACATTACATTCCCCTTGACAACGCGGCTGCAGCACTGGATGCCGTTTTCCAGTCTCGAAACGAGGGAGAGAAGCCGGCAGATCTCGAAGGAATCCAAGATTCTGCCCTAAAAGTTCTGATTGGAGGCTCTTGGGTATGTCGAAATGGAAGAAACACTTTGGTGTGCTCTTTCTTTGCTCCTCAGTCCCGATGAAATCTGTGGCTCTCTTGACGTCGTCTAGCTGCAAGAGCTGTGGCCGAGATCAGCACCCGAAGGCGAGGCAATTTTCATGAATGTGCCAACCGTACTTTTTGTGCCCTCTGAAGGATGGTGTCAGAATACCAATCCAAGCAACGGATGGTATTGACCAAGACACCTGGTTCTGTAAGCAGCTCAATGCATTCCCAAGGAGCTTAACCCACCCTCCAGCGAGATTTTGAAAGTTTCGAATCTGACATCTGTCGGCTCCGTCACGGAGATATAGCCATCAATCCCTGCGTCACCCAGAAAGTAGGGATCTTTGCTTGCATTAATGGTGAGCCCGTTGAGAAATGTCACTTCCATAGATAGGGTGATGCCAGTGGGCAGCATTCGCTCCCCAAAGAGTTGTGAGATTGTCGAGAATGTTGCGGACAAGCATAGACATGGACTTCTCCGGTCCATTTGGGCCGTTTATATGGTCCCGGAAAGGATGGCTGAACCTCTGTGCCACAAACTATCTAGTCGTATTCGGCCTTGGGAGCTGTCAGTAAACAGGCTCTCCTCGCGCCTAGATTCGAGCCAGTAGACTTCCTGGGAGAAACCACAAATATGGACCAACTAGATCAGCAGGAGGCTTCCCGCGGCACATCCTCTCCCGAAACCCCAGAATTCCTGCTTTTGGTTCGATCTAAAGGGACCATGAATATGCGGAGAAGAGACTACACAGCTGGCAAGCTACCATCTGCATGGCCCCTTTGCGCGGAACAAACGGGAAGTGGTCATTTTGGAGTGGAGTTGTCCACATCCCCTTGGTGGGCATTTGTATCAGGCCGCGGTTCGTATCTTCAATTATTGCAGCATCATCTCATGTCACTTAGTTTACACTAGTCTTTGTCTCAAGAGTCAGCTAGACCTTGGCACATAAAAATAACGCACCCGAAACAATGTTCCCCGGACACAGCAAATGCTCTGTGCCCAGCGATATCTGGCCCCTCCCTCATTGTATTGCTAAAGTCGATCTACTAGAGTTCCACTAAAACGAACCTGTAACCATCTTCGATGGACAACTGGCTCGGTCAGTCATCTCGGGGAGAATTTCAATATTTGGGTGTGAACTTCGCGGTGGCCGTCCACCATATCTTCCATTATTCCTAGTCTCTCTTCATTTTTGTCACCTTGGAAAGTTATCCGCCGCTCACTCACAGCAACGGAAACCGGTGTCCATTTTATTAACCTGAACGTCTCCCTCAAATTGACATCTCCTCTGCCATGGTGCCCCGGCTTCGCCGAAACCCTGCTCCTCAGCAACGTTAATATCTCGCATCGTTGACTTTTGTCCGATTTGCCCTGTGAACGGCTCTGCGGAGGGCTGCCCAGGAAAGTTGTCCAAGGAAACCTCCCCCCAGCCACTATTTTCGACTCTACTGATGTCGAACGCCGGCCAAGTGGCCGGATTAAGAGAGGGGCCGGAACCGATCGTGAAATCAACTTCCTCTGCGACTGCGCTCTCATCTACCAGAAACGCAGCAGTGGAGTCGGGAAAAAATGGCTGTTTCTGTTCCTGAGTAGAGTAGGGCGTTTGGAGATTCCAATTCGCAGGGTGTGCAAAGCTGCTTCGAGGAGCAGTGGGCATGGGAGAGTCCATGTAAGAGGGTGGGGGTAGCTGAGCGGCCTCAAAGCTGAAGTCTCTTGCTGGCATGAAACTTCTTCCAGGAGTAGTTGCGCCAGCGTCGTATGGATAAAAATTTGAGCTTGATGCGCATTCCTCGTCCCTAAGAGCTCCTGGGCGATATCCTGATTTTAGTTGGCCCGTACCGGTGAAGCCTGTAAACTCTGGTCTTGGAGGATAGTCGTGGACAGCGTTCTCTGTCGCTCCTTCTGGGCCTGTATACATGGTCACCGGCTTTGCAGCTTCACTCGTTCTTCCTCTGTCTTCTCCGTTCTCGCATAGTTTCTTACCAAGGAGCTCAAATAGCACCTGCGGCAGTTACAGTCATTAGAAAATGTGTCTACGAGGGTCTAGTGTAGTCTTACCTCCAGCGCTTTGCTGCATCTTGCAGCCGCTATGCTTCGTTGGCCCAACTCGGATAGAATATCTCGACCAATTTCGGCATCTCTGAGAACCCCAGAAACGCCTTCGTCTCGGGCCCGTTCCCAGGCATAGGAGATCAACGAGATAACGGCGAAGAACGTAGAATAGATTGTAAACCAGTAGGGGCCATTAAGCATATCCGCTTTCTTCATGTTCTTCATACCAATGATCACGTCGTGACTGGCATATAAGCATGCCATTGCATAGGTATAGGCTCGTGCATCCGACTGATTTCTCATTGCATGGTGAGAGAAGCTCAGCAAAAAGGGCCGGTAGAGAATTAGTCGCGCGTGTGCGTAGGCGATGTACAGAAGCTCTCTTTGAATCCTAAATCAATGCATCTTGTACTTTAGCACTGGCCAGTAACCAGAGGACAATATTGTAGAACCCTTGAACTCATGCGCTTACCTGAGAGGCTTCAGAATTCTGTCGTTGTCGTTGGAGAGCTCCCATGGTAGGTTTACCCACCACAGTTTTAGTTCGTACTCAACCTCACACACTCTTCGGTAGCTCACTCGGTATTCACCGGGTCGGTTGGCACCGTTGGCTAAGCCAACACTCCCATGACGCACAGGGTATACATATCTCAAGATCTTAGCCAAAATCTGAACCAGCCTAGTATGTGCATTTACAGCTGTTATTGCCGGCAGTTGCTGGACCTGGCACACCATGATTCCATGCGGAGCTATGCACATGTCGTCGACTTCTTGAGGCATCTCTTGGTCGATGTCTTCTTCGTTGATCGCCGGCGGCAAGCCTAGAATCGCACAGATGTATGTCTCCATGTTTCGCACAGCCCAGAAGACACGTTTACGAGTTTCCTGCTCGACTGGATCGAGAACGCTTGGTAAAGACCGGTGGAGGCCTATTTGTAGAGACGCTGCTACCGCCGCAGCGATGTATGAATGACACGCAGACATCTTTCCTGAACAGTGTAAGAAATATATCACGCACAACAGTGCTTGAAGAGAGTTGAGCTCGCGACAGTCAGAGATGTCAATAAGACCCCTGGCGGCCGCCAAATATTGTGTTCTTCACAGGTAAGCAGCAGCCTCAATATACTGGTCTCGGTCGAGGAGCATACCCTTCATGAATTGCAATTGTAGAATTCAAATCAACAGATTTGCTTCTCAGAAAGAGCCAACCTAAAGCCAGCACTGAGTACACCAGCGCACGAGGCCTCGCGTCTTGGATGCCGTAGTTCTCGGGTTCTGTCTCGTACATCCAGTCAAACAGTTGACTGAATGTGGGTCGGTGGATGAACGAAAGGACCGCACACCCATGACCAAGAGCGCAATCGACAAGTTTTTGTGCCGTTCCCTTCGGCGGCAGTAGAGCGATTCCTGGTTCAAGAGGTGGAGAAGGACTTTTGGGAGACCACGGAACGCTCTGGAGGGGAGTGAACACCGCACCATCTTCAGCGTCTGTGGCACCTTGTTCAACAAAACGCTCTCCAAGGCCTTGGAGAAAGACAGGACCTGATGAGTGACCGTGGTAGCCCCATCCACCCCCGTCATCGAGGCAGAGCCGGCCAGTGGCTGTAAGAATTGTCTCCAGAGAATCTTCATCATCTTGATCGGCTCTTCGAGCTGGATGTTCTGAGAAAGACAGCCCTGTGTCGCCTGATCCCACTGAGCGAGAATTTCCACCAGCCAGAAGCTGGTCTCGTATGGTAACATGAATATTTGGATCGTCTAAATTGTGAGTAGGAAAAAGGAAATGGAAAAGATGCTCTAGCCTCCGAGACTTGATTTGAAGTTCCTCATAGCGATTTCGTCCGGGTATTCTCCATCTGTTCGACGAGTATTCATACGTACACTCTATCAGTTTAGTTCAGTGAGTAAAGCACGCCTTGTGACGGATTCTAGATGGCGCATACCGAGGCCGTCCACTGTACATAGGGAACATGGTTGGTCGCCATTGCATTTTGATTTCCTCCGCCGACACTTGTCGCATGCCCGTGTAACGCGAGTTCTCTTGGTGGTATTCATAGGGAAAGGCTGCTCCAGCTGCTAGTGTGGCAGAGTAATGAAGCATTGCATGTTGGCGGGACGCTCATATTTCTGTGACGGCCGCAGAAGCTCCTCAAGTAGTTCCTTAGGACCATCACGAACGAGATCGATGAGCGATTGGCAAGCTCCCGACCCCGCAAGTTTACCAATATTTTTACCTAAAGGATAGTTCTGCTGCAAGGCCCAGCCCACTGACGACACCATCTTGGTCACCGCCGATTCATTTGCTTTCGTGCCCGTAGGAATTACACACTGACAAGGCATAGTCATCATCGATAGGTGTCGCTTGTGATCCGAAAATTTCTCATCGACTCCCCGGTTAAGTTTGTTTTTATTTCTGGGGCAAGTGGTAATGGCACAAGCTGGCGGGACATTCGCCTGTCGAAGTGCCAGAAACTGCCAAGGCGCGGGAGACCTTTGCAATGAGGAACTACGAAGGACGGTGAGAGTCAAAGTTTGGTTTGCTTAATGTCTCTTCGGCTTTATTGGCTCCTACAGATCATGCCGCCATCCTCGCCGATCCCATCTTGTGTCGGAGAAGCGCCTGTGACATTCCACAGCTCGTTACCTACGCATGGCTTACACCAGAATATGCCCTTGGGATCGTATTGCTTCTTTAGAGCCAAGAGTCGCGGGTAGTTGGAGCCCCAGAAGGTGGTTTGCCAATTGGGCTCGGTTGGGTCAGCTTCGTTGACATATGCACCGGTATACGGATCGAGGACGCGCAGAGCTTCGATGGCGCTGTTGCGTAGTTCGTTCGTTACAGAGGTCTTTTGAGTCTGGTTCAAGGGCGTCCAATTTCGGTACGTAACTTTAGGGGAACACGGACTGTAGTCAGTACGAAGCGCCGGAGTCGTGGAAGGAAATTATGTACTTACCGAAATGAATATAGGTATTGTTTCGCCACGCGGGACATACTGAGTTGTTTCCACCTGGGATTTTAGCATTTCGAACACCTTGGCCGGCAACGAGATGGTTAAGCAGTGTCCAGGTGCCGTTTGAGGCCACGCGTAGAGCATTATTCAGTGATGTTTGGTTGCCAGTAAGAGCGCCACGGGTCAGAAGGCGTGAACCCAAACGTTCTGATGGTCCAACAGCCTCAGGCTGGTTAGTCATCCAGAATTTGGTGAAATCCGAGATTGGGATGGTGTAATTTGAAACAAAGACCTCGTCACTCCAATTTGTAGTGTTGATCTTGGTGATGACCGGGTCCATGACAGTGGTTGCCTGTGCTGGTGTTTTGTTTGGGAAGAAGTATCCACCGAAAATCATGCCGGCTTGATTGGGAGGATTTGAAGCATAATATGGCACGAAATAGTGATAGCCGTTGGCTCCTTTGTCGGATAATTTAGGCACTTGCGATGTGAAATATGTAGAAATCGACCAAAAAGTGTCGCTGTTGCTGGTTGTGTTGAACCAAAATATCGTAAGGCTGCCAGGAAGTGTCGGATATACCTTCATGGTTACGCTGATGAGAACACCGAAAGTCGAGCCTCCTCCCTATGATTTTGGTCAGAATTCTCTCCGGGATATTTCTAAGCCTAGCTTACCCCTCGCATAGCCCAGAACAAATCGGGATGTGAATTTTCATTGACGGTGAGGAACTTGCCGTCCGGAGTGACCACTTCCATTTCAAGAACTTGATCGGCTCCGAGTCCATATGTAGAGCTTATTGGGGAATGGCCACCTCCAAGGACCCATCCACCGATACCAACCGACATGTCACCGCCTGCAATAACTGTAAGGTTATGTTTTGCTACTGCTTGGTAAACTTCAAACATCCTGGATCCAGCGGCAATCTTGACAGAGCCAACTCCACCATAAGGTAGAGCTCGGGTGTCACTAGTGTTCACTGAGATACCCACGATTTTGTGGGTCCAGATGGACAAGGACTGTCCACCAGAGGACCTATATCAGTCAGTATCATGATATTGGAAAGAAAAGTCTTTCATTCTCACCTGGACAGGAGATCATGACCAGTTCCTTTGACTATCAATCGCACGCCTGTGTTTGAGGCAAATTTCACCGCTGCCTGTACATCAGAGGCGTTGGTGGCGTGTACAACATATGACGGGTAAGCAGCTGCTGAGCAAGGTGCCAGAGGTGACGGCAGACATCCATCGTCATTGTAGTCAACGGAGATGGGATTGTTAGCATGAAAGTTCGAGTCCGTCCATTGGGAAAGCACAAAAGCACATGTGGCGTTGTTGAACAATGTATTTTCCGGATGACAGACAGATCCAGGAGGGACGTCCGCAAAAAGCTTGCCAGACACCGTTTTATTCAGTTCTTGCCATGCGGACTGTGCAGGCCAGTTTGTTGACGAAGGAACTGGTTTGCAATATGTAGAAGGGGCAGCAAGGGCTTGCTGCAGTGAGACAAAGAGCAGCAAGAGCGCCATGAGATAAGCCCAAGATAGAGGAGGGCTCATCGTGAAAAGGTACGCTTCAGGCGTAAGATAGACTTATGAGACCAAGAGTTTCAAAGCAAATCATGGCTGTTGCGGGAGTAGGAAGTTTGCCTGAGCTGCGGTTTATATAGTCGACAGAAGTTGTCTTCATCCACAGGGTAAGATGGGCTTTTGACATCGCCAAAAGAAGCGGCCAATCTCAGTCATTCTCTTTAGGGCAAATCCGAATACGTGACGAGATTCTGCCTTGCAGGTTCAAACGACATGGGTGTCGCGAGGAACTCAAGTGCCATGAATCTGGACAAATGGCCGTCGACTCAGCTATTGTTTCCGAACATGGCGATTCCCTCTCATCACCCTGTTGGCCTGCCTTAATTGTGCTGGTGACATTTAGAAGAAAAAGATGATGAAGTTCATCTGTCGATGTTCGCACAATGGGCCGAAAAGCGTAAAGTGCCAATGTCTTAGGCGAGGAAGGATCCTTCCCCTCAAAAGCTCGACGTTTAGAGTTAGATACCTCTGGCCTAGCTAGTATTTAGCATCAATGCGTTAGGTATAACTGGAGTCCAGCCCAGATCAAGGCTGACTCCGATTCTGCCTCGCCACACGTGGAAGGTAGATATTGATCAACTCTAACGTCACCGAAGCACCCATGCATGCATTCCTCAAGTTCGGTATCCCGTTCTCGCGGATGATAGGAACAGGCCTCTGATTTCCTGGCTTTCGATGCGGGTACCATACCCGGGATCATGGGTATCATCCGAACCCGGCAGGACTAGTCACACAAGTGCCGGTCAGCCACTTTCGTGGCCCTGTTGCAGCAATACGGTCTGCTATGAAGCTCATATCAGGGTTGAGGCTGCAGATGTTTCTCTCAAAGCAGGTATAGGTGGTACTAGATAGATATCTGCATTGGGCAGTCCCCTACGAGGTGCCGAGTACTTCGTACTAAGGATGGCATGCCTGGCGAGGCTGGTACCTGGTGAGCCGGATTCAAAAGTAAGTGGCACAGTCTGACAAAGTAGAGTGATGTGTATTGGATCGAAGACACCCTTCATTGACAGCAAGTATATTGTTTACCTTTAATAATGGCGATAACTCTGTCTTTCATCCTACAGTGTTAGTTACATTCTGTATAGAGACCGCTTCAACGTGATCGAGCAGTCTTGAAACATATATTTCGGATCAGGTTCTGGTATCGCCCTCGCCGCCTTTATTTCAGATAGCAGAGCACAGGGTAAAGGCCACGAGGCTGCGCCTTGTTCTCCCCAGGGCTATGGTCACGTGTCAACGGAAAAGGAAAGGAAGCCGATCCCCAATCAAGCCACCAGCCAGACCAGGTTTCTCCGCACCTCCCTCCATCGAGAAATTTGGTAGCCGTGCGCACAATGATCTCTACAGAAATGCTCTTCCTCTGATGTCAAGTCCTTTGCCCCTGAAGGAGACGAGAAAGATGGCTTCTGCGACGCCGGCGTCATTGTCGGCTACGCTGCAGACATCAATTGTCCTTTGCCAGCGATTCGCTGCATCACTCGCCCCAAATTCGCCGTTTGAAGTGCCTGAAAGCGACTCAACCGCACCTTCTCCCTTGATCCTTTTACATGCTGCCGCGACGACTCTCAGGGCGCAAGTGACCAAGTTGTCGCTATTAGCAATTACGCCTCCGTTCACCGCGACCGCCGTGACCACATGTCTCCTCCCATTAAACGAATCAATCCTCACTTCGCTAGTCACAGCCGCACTGCTAACGACACCCGACCAGACTATACCGTCTTTCTCTGCCGAGTGCCGCAATCTGGCTGCCGCAGCACTCCGTGATATGCAAACTCTCCTGCGACTCCTAGAGGCACGGAGTCAAACGGAGAAGCCCACAGCCGAACTTGAGGAAAGAGAAAAGAAAGGCTTTACAGAAGCCGCTGGCAAGATCTGGGACGACTGCGATAAACTCATTCCCTTGGCTACCGAGGGCGTTGCCGGATATGTCGTGCGGAAGTCGAACCAGTGGCTCGACCTCATGAAAGATGCGGTGAAGGAATTGGAAGATTGGGATCCCGAGGATGATATCGATGGCCACGACCCGTTCGGCATCAACCTCAGTGATCACGATGAATCTGATGACGCCAATGACGAAGACCGTCACAACGATCGAGTCGCCATATCTGCAGGCGTCAAAGAACAAGCACTCAAAGTTTTGAACCGCATTCCGCAAAGCATTCACGTCGTCATTAAGCAAAGGCTCGAGAAGATTCCAACGGCCCAAGCCACCACGGCCAGCCGCAGGTCTGACTTGGACACGCTTCTCAGACAATTCCGTAGTATTTCTGAACTTATCGACGAATCTGCCGAAGGCATGTATCTGGGAGACCTTGAATTATGTCTCAAGAAGGCAGGCGAAGCTCGGGCGCTTACCATTGAGGTGGTGGAATCGGTACTGCACCGATCTCAGAGGTGAATAAAACGACAACAGCGGCAATGGAGACCAAGGAAGATAGATACGTCCAACGAGCACTTGAATGGATTCGACAGGTCGACCCCGGTGGATATTCGAAGAATCAAACGTGACGCGTTCTCGTCAACAGTGAAACCGTCATTGCGATCGAATACTATTTCTCGCTACATTTCAATGTTTCATGTCAATCTCTGTGTCAATGGCAACCTTTCTGACGACCAGGTCTTCCTCTCAACCTCCAGTACCCTCCTCGCCCATCCGACCGTGATGCATGTCCAAATGACTGCCCACACCGTGGGAGCGCCCCAGCCAATACCATAGGCAATGTCATCACTCGTGAGGTATATGGCCACAATTAGCACTGCGCCGATAACAATTGCGGGGATGGACCAGAACCAGAGCAAGTGCATCAGCAGCGCTCGAAAACGGGGAGAAGCATGGTATCTAACTAGAGCGGCCGTGCGAAAATCCTTCCCCCCTTTTCCGTCCACAGCACAGATGTCCTCGAACAGGCAGAATGTGAGCGGTGGACAGACTGAGTTCTTCACATGTGAACTGAGCCGGAAGTATCTTAGCGTCCAATGATGGTGAGCGGCCCAGCCGTTGACAACCAGTATCACGCCGGTCACAATCATTCCGACCGGCATGGGAAGCGCTAAAGCTCGGACTGAAGGATAATGCGGAATGCTGAAAATGATCAAAATGATCATCATGACTGTGAAAGGCGTCATCAGAACGTATTGGGTGCTGTCGAATCCCCAAAACCGCGGACTGCCAAACAATGGCCGATATTGATCACTTGATCGTATTAACCGCCAGCTTCGAACTGCAAACTCATAGCCAGTGACGAAGCCAAACAAACTTGTGATGATGGCAAAGTAGATCCCTATTAATGCAGGTCAGTTGCTCCGTCCTCTAGAATGTCGATCACACAATCGCAGCTTACCAGATCTCATGTTGGTGCCTTTACTCAGCCCGTAGTACAGCGCGATCGGAAGAAAACAACATTCTGCAAGGACCAAAACTGTGAAGATTGACACGGACAGTGTATGGTGTCGCACATCGAACGGCAATGGAGGCGGCTCGTCGAGACTTTTCCAGCCGTCCCCACAGATTAGTGCATTGAACTGCTCTAAAGCAAGATGGTCCGGAGGCGTTGTGGTGGTGGTGGTGGTGGTGGTGGTCGAAGTTTCAGAGGTTCGCTGTTCAACAGGTTTCACATCACCACCACAACCGGAAGACTTCTGAGATGGGCGCTCTTCCTGAGTCTTTTCGGTGGTCCTGTTCGCCATCGTTCTACAGTCGGACAAGAGGGCTTTGAGCAACTCGCGCAGGTGCTGTTTATGTTGTAGTCACGTTGCCTTGCGCTTCAACGAGGTAAAGCAGGAAGTCGGTTGAGGAACAGTCAACGATATATCCTTTCGACTTTCGGCTTCGAGCAGACACTGAGCGATGCAAACTCCAGCATCGAGTTTCTTGGTTCGAGGCGCAGCAGGTGTGCTCGCAGGGGTTCGTCATGGACTTGTGGCGGATTTCACGAAGCAATCGAGCGACGGACCAATCGCATCCAGGCTATTGGCGATGGGTAAGCAGCTGGGCAGGAAGACCACGTCAACACTCGCCCGATCGCGCAACACCCTCGTCGCCATTCGCTGCAAATAAAGTGGCCCAATTCGGCATTTGGGCCTAGAATCTGGCGACAACTTGCCACCGGTCTTTGGACCGGAACCACAATTCTCCGTATATATATGCACATGACCTGACCTCGCGTATGCTCCTGGTTGACTTGCCAACACGAGAGCGGAATGCACCGGAAGGACCCGGCCAAGATGGGTTCCAGCGAGGCTGGAACTGCAGGAACGAGGTTCCTGAAGGAATCATTTTACTCCTTGCAGGCGACAACGGAATGAAAGTTGGCCCGACTTTATGTTTCACCGCTCTAAATTCCTTCCTCTCAGAATATTGGCGCCATCCGCATGAAGTTTTTATATTACGCATATCGACATTCTCCCGAAGTCAAGAAGGAGCGTGAGGTTCGCAAGTAAAGCATATTCCTGGAACTATCTCAACCTCGTAGCGATGGCGAGTGTGAGCATTCTCGCCTGATACGTTGCGCAATTCGTCGAAACGACTGTCGTTTCTTCGATTCTGTGGCTTTACTTGTCTGTCAAGACGGACTTCAGGCAACTCTAACAGTCTTGCCGGTCTCTACCTGATAAATCCAACCGCTGATGGTAATGTCGTTTGGCACCAGTTTGCTGTCGCTGAGATACTGCACGTCCTTCTTTACCGCCCCTTCCAGGTCTGAGAAGGGAAGAAAGTCCGGCTGGCGGGATTTGAGCTCGGCCAAGGCATCAGATCTGCATCTTGTGAGTGACGGTTCTCTCTCAGGCTTGTGGTTTCTCTACCCCAGGTTCTTCTCAACCAACCCATAGGCATCTTCATTCGTGAATGTCAGCATCCCGCATCCAGTGTGCTTGACAAGGACAATCTCTCGAGTGCCCAGAAGCTGCTCGGATATGATGATACTCCGCAATGCATCGTGCGCGGACGCTCCTGCCTATCATGAGCATTAGCGCCTATGTTCACCGTCGCCAACTTCATTGTCCGTCTGTTGATGGTACAAGACAGTTATCATTGAACCATGAGTGTCTCACATTCCGAATCACATGAGCATCTCCAAGGTCAATACCGAATGCTTGCGCCGGATCGATTCGAGCATCCATGCAAGTCAACACAAGATATTTCTTGGCTGGTGGAAGCGCGAGGTGCCCCTGCGTGAACAAGGAGGAGTATGCCTCGGAGGCTGATTCGACATTCTTCTGGATCGCGGACATGTTGGCTGTACTCCCTGTAGTGTGCTCTCTTTAATCGGTTACCTGGGACTGGAACACTGCTAGTGGGTGCTGCCAGACCAGAATCTCTGCTCAAGATCCAAGAAAAGCGGAATTCTCATGGATTATATGAAGGATAAGGCCAAAAGATGCCGCGGGAGGGGTAAGGTGCTTCTTGCCTTCGTTCTTGAGCCCATCATCTCAACATGGCGATGACGTGCTCGCTCGAGAGGAAGAACTAGGACCAATCCCAAGGCGCCTGTTTCTTACTTGGATGAAGAACCCATCGGGTACCGGAGGCGCGGGCCTTCGGCCTTCTTCCGTGCTTTCCTCGGGCTACCATTCGTTGCTCAGATGTTTATTTCCCAGAAGGAAATCTTGATGCTGAACATCTCTTCGAACCAATTGGTAACAAGCTCCACATTGGAATCAATTGGGGCCACCATGTTTCCCGCCATCGAAATGCGCTTGGTTTTCAACGTTGGCAGTGCTCAGGCCGACAGGAACGTTGTGGCTGATGCTACAATGGCCGGACATCATATCCTCAACTAGCCACCAACATCCATTCATCTTCTGAAAGTCCTAGGTATGTGCTATCGTGAACACCGACTTCACGATACCAAAAATTACCCACCCGTCGTGCTCAGCGAGACACGTGAGATTCCGAGAACGGATCCTTTGACGTCCAGCCCTTCATACTGAAGGGGTGGACTTGTCCTCGAGCCGGAGAGAGAGTGTTCCCTATGACGCTCCTTGGGTCCATTGTTGGTAAAGTTGTAATGAATCGACTATGCGATGCTTTGGATCGATATCGCTTATAGGCCCAGGATAATCACGCCCCTGGAGAAACAGGCCCTGGCCTCTCCAATGAACCAGTCTATCCGATGAGTATGGGTCAGGCTACCCACACTCGGGCGTCCCCTTTCATGTGGGTTTCAATCATACAATTTCCCCCCGGTGAGTCCAACAGCGGCATTCAAGAGGCAGACAGTGATATTCGTATCGTCAAGCGTGCAGTGCAGATCCCCATCAACGATATGTATATATATATAAATATAAATATCCATCGGAAGATCGAAGGGTTATCCAAGAGCCTCTCCGGTGAAATCTAGATCAAAGATTCAGCCTTATCCGGTTGAAGTAACGGCTTGGCTAGATACGCTGGGTATGAAGCACCTTGGTGGCGTTTGCTCTGAGAAACCGACAACTCGGCTAGACGCGGATTCGAAATCTCGTATTGTGCCAACCGTCCCGGAGTCTAGACCACAGTCAAAGTCTTGGTAGCTCATCCAGCTTGTGACAGGGATAGTACACCCCTTCGAAATCTTTTCGTCCTTTCGTGCGGGTGACCATGTGTGCTGCCGGTCAAACAGTGTTTGATCTGTTTGTCGTCGATGCAGAACCCGCCTGGGAGAGAACATATCAAAGCATTTGCGAGAGGAGCGCTTCACGATGTTGAAACTTTTGGTGGGAAATCAATCGTCGTTGGCCACGCCAGGAGAAGTCGTGTTCATCAGCGCCCCTCGCGAGGTACATTTATTCAACAAGGTCGAAGATCAGCCGAGAGTGGTATAGAGTCTCCATTGCTCCCTTCCTCCTGGCGGGAACACAGGGATTCCGCACAATAAAGAAACTTGTTTACGCAACTCCACCATTTTCTGCCATAGCCAGAGAAATGACAGCTTTTAGCCACCTGGAGAACTAGAACCGATGGGCAATTACAATAGTACAGCATATCTAGCCCAGTTCATGCTTCCTTTCCCCAACATCCTTTCCAAATGCGGCCCGTGATGTTGATTGTGTTTATTGATGACAGCTCCGGCATGCACAGGGCCGCATCTAAAAGGACGGCCAAAAAAAACCCCCTCACCCAATGCGCGAGACAACGTATCTATCGGGCGGTCGCATACGAAGCAGCCTTTTCGTCGAGTTCCTCGGCAGCAGCCCCGGGTCGAAGAGAGGCCTAAGCCCAGGTCTGGGGGCGGTTTTGTGCCCATTTGATTCTATCTCTTTTTGCTCTGCTCTGTTTCTCTATTTCTGCTTCTAAACCGCCAAAGAAGAGCGAAACAGGATTATTGCCGGCATCACTTTTTGGATTTCGAGTTTGGCCAAACACTTCATACCAACGGTAGCAGCATCTGAATCGAAGGAGTGGTATTCACAGTCCCAAAAAAGCAGCATAGCGCCGAGATGGTGCTTCAAATGGCGAGAGAAAAGGAAAGGAGAAGAAAAATGATAAAATGCCCGTAGTAATATCCATCTTCTCACCCTTGTCCGAGCCTAACATCAAGCCCTCCGATTTCTCCGCTTCCGGGTCCAAATTCAAACCCAATGATTGCCCTTTCTTCTAATATACCATACAAGCAAGCGAATTCCTTTTCAGACAGCAGTGAGATTCTTCACGTCTGTCTCTGTCACTGACATAGCTTCGGGGCTGGTGCTTGCTTCGTGCCTAGCGACGAGACCTGGATGAACTTCTTGGTATCACTTCTGTTTTGATCGATAGAGGGCACACGCTTTTGAGAAAATGCGCTCTTGGGCAGGGAAAGAAAATTTTGAAAAAAAAAAAAAAAAAAAAAAAAAGAAATTTTGAAAAAAAAAAAAAAAAAAAAAAAAAAAGGTGTCTCGCAAAAATGAAGAAGAGGGAATATTTTAGGCTGCTCCTCTTGATTCTACATGTTATGCTCAACGGCAATCTAGAAAATTTAGTCCCTCGAATTCCCACGCCGAAACCGATTCTATTTAATCCGGCTGGTCGACTCTCAAAGCTTACCCATCACGCCTGTGAACGGTATTTTATGTAAACAGATTCACACACAACCGTGAACCTGATCAAGCTAAAAACGGCCATCGCAGCATGCAATGGCAGAGATTTCACATTACTCGCCGGCTTTCTTGCTCTGCTTTGTCCTGAGTTTCAGACAAAGGTACACCAACGCGTACGAGCTTATCGCAAATAGAACCACAATGGCAGCGTCTCGCCAACCGTCGTATTCATGTTTCAGGTTGATTGTGTACAGGTAGTCGGCGCCGGTCCGGTACTCGCAAACCTTGCAGTTGTTGCGATCCTCTGGGTTCGTGAGGTTGGCTAGCATTCCGGCCGGGCTTGTCAGATAGTCTGAGAGGTACTCGCCGCAGGTGGCATTGCCGGGCGTGTCAAAGACGGCAAACTCCTTGCCCGTGCAGGATACCCTAGTGTCCCAGACATTGAAAACTAGTAGGCCACCCATCACTATAGTATTTCATAGCCTTCCCGTTAGTCACATGGTGCATTAAAAATAACAAGTGCCTGCCATGGAAAATGAAAGAGTCTGCACTTACAGTAATTGAATAGGTTCAGCCAATAGATCCAATATCTCCAAAAGGCCTGGATTTGGCCATAAGGGACTAGGACGCCACAGAAAGCGACCAGCGTTCCGATCAGGAGAGGGTTGACGAGCGAAGCAAAGACCGCGTTCGGGGCGTAGGCGGCGATAAACTGACCAATTCCCGTATATACAAATTCGTAGAATAACATGATGAAGAAAGTGCCTCCGGCGCTGTTGCTGTTGTTGGGAAAGCCGACCGTGTAGTACCAGCAGACGAAGTAGAGAACCGCACAGATGCAAAGGTAGGGGATCTCTGAAACTATCAACGCAGTAACGAAGGCGATCCAGCTGTACATTTTCGATTTCTTTTCGCGCGTTTCGAAGATGTCCCGCCGCTCAATGAAGAGTGGTTGTAGTTGGTTGATGACTCCTGGCGCCACGAAGATGAAGTTGAAGATGGTGAAGAGCTTGAGTTGAAGGTCTCCGACGCCCTCACCGACCATCCAGAACGAGAAGCCGTTGAATAAAGCAGATCCGATGTGTAGTGCGATCTTGTTGTTCACATAGTCAGTGTTGCGGTACAAGGAAAGATTCAGGCGCTGAGTGACGATTTTGATCTGCGACCACAGCGGAAGGGCAAATTCAAAGCCATCATCCTGTGTTCCGGAAGGTGTGTTGACAGCTTCGCTGATAATGGTTTCTAGTTCCCTTGATACACTCTGATGTTCGGCCGAATCTAGCCAAACTTGGGCCCAGTCGCGGCCCTGGGACAGATGCCCAGAGACGACATCTATCATATGCTCGGCTGGATTGGATTCCGGCGGACAAGGGGCTCCATATCGACGGAAATAGTCTTTGACAATTGCACCATTCTCACCGATGTCTCCAAAGTACACCGTCTTGCCGCCCTTGGCCAATAGGAGAAGTGTATCAAATTGGGCAAACAATTGAGCAGATGGTTGATGAATTGTCACTAAGACGGCTTGCCCAACATCTGCCAGCTTGCGAAGGAATCGAACTGTGTTGTAAGCAGATTGTCCGTCGAGGCCCGACGTAGGCTCGTCCAGAAAGATCAGAATGCTCGGTTTGGCCACGAGTTCGACGCCGATAGTTACTCGTTTTCTTTGCTCGATGGACAGTCCAGCACCAGGGAGCCCGATCAAAGTATTTTCGATATCGTGGAGCTCCAGTAAATCAACAATGATGTCGACATATTTCAACTTTTCCTCCCTGGAAACGTGCCTGGACTGTCGAATCAGAGCCGAAAACTCCAGTGCTTCTCGTACCGTAGCGTAAGGTTCGTGAACATCAAGTTGTTCGCAATAGCCAGCAGATCGCTGAAATGAAACCGGGAGAGGTCTTCCGTCGACAAGAATCGACCCTTCGATGGTGCCTTCGGTTTTACGTTGGGCTAGGACATCGAGCAAGGTAGTTTTGCCAGCACCTGAAGAACCCATCAGCGCTCCAAGCATTCCTGGTTTGACCCAACCTTGTATATTGTCAAGAAGCTTGAGATCTCCGTGGGATGTGTGGACCGTATAAGAGAGATTTCTCCAAGTGAAAATCGAGCTGTTTTGGATCAGGCCCTCGCTTTTTGGTGGTGCGTCTTCCTCTGCAGCTCTGAGAGAGGAGCCGGAGCTGGTTATCTGTTTTTCTGACTTCTGAGACTCTTCATCTTCCAGCAAATGGCGGACTTTGTGGACGTTTTCTCGCGGAATGAGGAAGTTGCTGCCTTGTTCAGAACTTGCTTTCCACCTCATCGTGCAAATAACAGTGATTCCTACGAAGAGCGCCCACCATGCCCAGACAATGCCAAAGTTTCGCCAAAGATGGGTATGATCATAAGAGAGCGAGCGCAGATAAGCATCGCCGGTAACAGACGTATCCCCCCGAGTTGCGCCTCCAACACCAGCACACGACTGGTATTGGCTATTGGCATAGCCCGGACCAGCTGGAACAAGGTTTGTTCCGACGCAAGGGATGATTTTGCCGTGGAATTCATTTCCCAATAGACTCTCGAAGGCATAGGCTAATGGGTCGATCCAGAAAATCCAGACAAACCAAGGGTGCATGTCTGGTTTCACGATCATGTATCCAACATACATTATCAGCGCCGCAACAAGAAATCCGGATACTTTCGAGGCACCATCAAAGGTTCTGAACGCTGCCCCTATCGATCTGAACACGGCAGTCATACACTACAAATAAGTTAGTGGTCTTCGCTTGATGTTTCTTCCTGTCAGAATTGCCAGAAATAGGGGTGTTATTACCATTGTCGCAGAAAATACCACAACCCAGAAAATGAAGAACTTCCCAGCCGAAGCGGAAAGCCCGACCATCCAGTAAAGTATGACAGAAAGTGAAGTCACCTGGAAGATAAGCGGAGGGATGTCTGCAGCAATCTGAGCTATGCAGAAAGCAGCTGGGTGATACAGAGCGAAGTATTTGTGTTTCGCCAGGACCGGTCGCCCAACAAACGAGTCAGTCACTTCGGACATAGCTAACAAGCTATTGTACAGTAGGGCGAAAAATATGGCGCCGCCTTTGAGGAAGAGGCCGGCGGAATTGTCGGGTGCATTGTAGAATAAAGAGCCTGCAATGAGAGCTTGAACAATGGTGGATGCCTGTTTAATGATGAATGTGGCCTTGTCTCCCCACATGTTTTGGTATTGCCGAATTACGCAGGCCTTTACCTGTGTCAGGAAGCCGGTGGTCAAAGGGCTGTTGCGAGCAAGTTGTTTATCTTTTTCGAAGATGACGGACTCCCGGAATGCCAGGGTATCTGCCTCCGCCGTAGATGTCGACGGGTACTCATATTCTGCCGCCATGTGCTCGTACAAAGTAGAAGCCTCATAGTGCTTGAGGAGCTCGTCGGCGTTTCGAGGAAACTTCTCCTCGTAGCCATGGCGGATCTGTCGCTCAGTGGGAACGGTAACGCCTGTCAGGAAATCTGCAACATTCGCTCCTTCTGGGCAGATAAACCCTAGATTTTCCATGAACGGCTTGGCTTCCCTCATCGGCCCATAGAACACCTGCTTTCCTTGATCGAGAACCAAGACTTTGTCGAAGAGATTGTAAATGGCATTTCCTGCTTGGTAGAGGGTGACAATCGAGGTGAGGCCGAGAACGTCCGTCATGGTGCGAATGGCTTTGGTATATTCAAGGGCAGTGCTTGCGTCAAGTCCTCTTGTACTATTGTCCCAGCAGTAGACTGCTGCGCGCGTAGCCAGACATTCGATGATGGACACTCGCTTCCTTTCCCCTCCAGACACACCCCGAACATATTCATTGCCAACTTTGGTGTCTGAGGTATGGGAGATGCTCATGGATTCCAGAAGAAAGTCCTTGAACTGTTTTTGATATTCTTGTCGCGAATGCAGCCCACTCGGGAGGTGGAAGGGGATCTTCAACCGGGTTGCAAAATCAATTGTTTGCCCAACCGTAAGCGTAGGATAGAAGAGTTCCTCTTCGGTGTTGATGACAATCTGACCTCGATATTGCTTGGCGGCCTTATGATCCATGGATCCATACCAGACATCTCCCGAAATGGACTTGTATCCTGCTCTTTTGTTCGCTAGCATCTTGAGCAAGGTTGTACACCCAGAGCCAGGCCGCCCTAGAACGAGAAGCATCTCTCCAGGCTTGACGCAGCCATGGGATCCATGCAGGATGGTCTTGAGCAGTGGTTTTCGGCGAGATTCTTTCAAAGTCTGGAGGACATTGTACTGGGAGAAGGAGTTTTCGTGGATGCTGGCGTCTGAGCTGAGGACTTGTACGTTCAGATTACACCAGGTCACTCCCAATCTCTTCTCTTTGCCACCAGAAGCTAGGTCCCGTTGGTGAAAGTCCTTGACTTGGCTGGCCAGCTCCCAATCCTCGTCAGTAGAGTGGCTGGTACTGGCATCGTCTTCACGTTTTTCAAACTCTGTTAAAGTCAGATTCGAGTCTTTGGGAGCAGCAGCAGCTGGTTTGTCTGAAGTGATGTCGTCGGTGCCCATCTTGGCCAAAATCGGGGCTATAAGAGCATGGCCGCGAGGAAAACATGAAGCTGCGGGCTTTGGTTATATAGGAAATCGCTCCTTTTTCCCATGAGCAGTTGACTCGAGATATTCTCGCAATTACGGCCGGCCTCGCCGCCTGATGACACAATTGAGTTGTGCACAGGGCCCACCGATGGAACAGAGATGCCTTGACTGGAGCCCAGAGCTGGTAGTTGAGACGGAGCATTTTCGAGATAAGGCTGCGGCTGCAGCTGCGGGCATTGACTCGGGAGGTAATGGCATCCAACTCCGGCCGATGGCATTGTATGAGTCTATGGCGGGACAAAGGATATCCGAGGAAATGGACCTATCACCCGCGGTCATGGCGTTGCCAATACTATTGTTGCGTTGCGGATGGACATTTAGCTCTGAAGGCAAGTGGATTGATCATGGAGCCATTTCGGGCTCAATTTCAACCTGGTTCCGAGACGCCGATGACTAAGCGGCAAGGCTGGTGCCAGCGAACCAGGCACCGTCACGGTTTTGATAGGGTTTGTCAGATGTTACATGGTTCAAGACCTTACGATCTGCTTGCGAATCAGGTCCATTGACATGTGCCCTCCATCACCACTCCCCTATTGCGGTCCGAAGTTCTGGATCAGTGTGTCAAGACGTGCGCTGAGTCATTCTACTTACACAGCCAGCCACATACTCTCCCACAAAAAGCGCCGGCTCTGAGCGCAACGAGAAGCTCAGTACACAACATGTCCGAGCTGCAGAGTGTCGAATCTCTATCGTCAGAACCTAGTGCCAGGAGCCAGCGCAGGGTTCGCGCCTGCGACTCGTGCCATATGAAAAAGGTGCTCAGTCCCGCCCATATTCAAAGCCTGTGGATCCCGTTCAGGGAGCTGATCGAAATTCCGGCCAGATCAAATGCGATGGCGCCAAACCCCAGTGCAACTGGTGTATGCACCACGATATACCCTGTGTCTTTGCGAGGATGCATAAGATCAGGCGCCGAACCGAGGCCTCCAGGTACCAGGCTCCCCTTTCCTTGAGCAAGCCACTAAATCATGTCGGCCAGTTTGGCTAATCGACATACGACAGGAGGTTACGCGAGAGAAACCTTGTGCAGCGCATGGAACGAATAGAGAATTTGCTTAACGAGAACATCGCAAGACTCGAAGGTATCCAGTTTCATCATGATGCCACACATATCCTCACTTGCGTACAGGAACGCCATCCCTAGATCCACTACCACCAACAGCAGGCTCAAATTCAGACGACCATGCTGAGGTGAAGCCTCCGAAGAACGTATCCGTCGGTCGAATCTATTCCATTGGTTACAGGCTTGGTGACATCAACCTGTTCCATGGAGTCCCCTTTCTTTCATTGGAGGGTCAGCGCTGGATCGGATTTCGAACTGAGGAGAGCGCTACCGTGCCCGAACTGGGCGATTCTCAACGCCCCCTCTGGCAAAACCAACTAGGAGCGTGGCCTAGCATGAACGGCCGTGATTTTACACTCCATGAACACATGCCAAAACTGCCCCCAAGAACTCATGTTGAGCAATACTTTGACGCTTACCGCAACTCACCCGTTTCTAGCATCTTCCCCATTGCCGATCCTGTCTTGTTTCCGATTGTGGTCGGCAAAGCTTATGGGGAAAACGGCAAAGACCGCGTTGAGGTCGCCACAGCGAAGGCATGCGTATTTTCCTTCTTAGCATTTGTGTCGGCTATTTCCAATCCCGACGATGGCGCATTTCCTGTTATCGACATTGAAGAGTGCTTGATGGGAGCCGAAATACTTTTTCCGGATATTCTAAATGCGAGAGCACGGACTGAGGTAGTGGACGCTATGATCATGCTGGTGCGTTCAGCCTCCACATCCCTGAAGCCTGCGCTGACCGTTTCTTGGGTGTCAACAGGCCGTCTACCAGTTCACGCATGGTCATGTTCAGACAGCAGACATTGTACTGACACTTGCATCGAGATTCCTCTACATGCTGGGGGCGCACCTCTATCCCGGCGAGGAAGTCGATGGCCTTCCGACGAAATCACCAAATCTTGAAATCAGAACAAAACTCCACCAACGTGAGATGTTCTGGCTCTGTTACACCCTCGATAGAGAGATCACATTCAGAACTGGTCGACCTCCGATCATAAGCGACACGTCCTGCGATCTCGTGTTCCCCAAGTACTACTCGAGACAGAATGCAGACGGCTTCAGAGGCCTTACCAGGTTGCCGGGCGATCTCGGCTTAAGCCTCATCAAGTCAAAGGCCTACGAAAAGCTCTATTCGCCACATGCCTTGCGAAAACCCGACGCCGAAATTCTCAAGGACATCCGTGAGCTCGACGACCTGCTTGAAAACTGGAGGCAATCATTGGCTTCGGAAACTCGACCACCGCTCTCGTTTGCCCAGGAGGCCAAACAATTGCCGACCAAGGGCCTGACCATTCCCTCGTTCATGTTGCGACTAGAATACCACCACTGCATCACCACAATCCACCAAGCCAGCAGCCGCTGCCGTAATTGGTCTCACGACCGGTTGATAAACGAAGGGCTGAGTTCGAGTCTAGACCTCGCTTTAGAAGCAAGCCGCTCCTTGCTTTCCTATTTGCATTTTGCAGAACACCTCCTGGTGCCCAATCTTTTCTGGTGAGTATTTGTGTGTGCCACGACTTCGTTTTCCCACTTCTACATATGGCCCCCATTTATTAACAAACAATTCCAACCCAGGATCGTCATATTCTATCCCATTTCGGCGGTGTTGACGCTATTCTGCAACATCCTGCTCAATCCCGCCTCCCGGTCTGCTTCCACCGACGCCCAGAGCTTGCGGGAAGTCCTCGAGTTTGTCGAGACGTTTTTACATCGCGCCCAGGTTTTTGATCGCCATCTCCAGCACATGAAGAGGTTGAACGAATTTATTGCCGAGCTTGTGGAAATGGCCGGAAGCGCCATCGAACAGGCGCGACGGTCGCCAGAATGCAACACGCCATAAATTTCGCAAGTGAGGACGTTCACAAGAATGCCTCCAAGCAGGGTCTGATCCCAATCGACGTGGTCATTACCAGAATGGTTTGCGATGCTTCCCTGGAGATTGATGTCCAGAGTTCTGTCTCATGACGTGAGGTGAGTCTCCAAAGACAATAAAGCGAAGGAAAGCTAACCAATCCACGCAATGAAGGTCGGTCAATGAGCCAATCACTGGTATTTTCGAGATGCCCGTGGGCTGGGATCATGCATTCTCCTCGTCGTCGCATTACCAACACGATATGTCTATTCCCCATCACGATTTTCATCGGCAATCCGAGTCCCCCCGTCGTTCAGCATGGGCGGGATCTCCTTGTTCAGCAGCGTCGTCACACTGGTATCTGAGTCCTCCATCCTAGCTTTGAACCCACCTTCCGACTTATCCTCTCCCCTCTCGGGCCATAAGATCTGTTTATTCACGATTGCCCGTATCATAAACCCAACGACAACAAACCACACAATGATCAACAGGGCCGTCATGACGCAACCAATAACTCGGATAGCGTCGACATCGAATGCCTCGGCCACAGCAAAGGTCGCCGTGGTGAGAGCCGTTTGGGGGAAGATGAAGCTAAACCAGGTCATGGCGAAAGGCATACGGTGCTTTTCTCGCAAACAATCCACATTAGAGACTAGGCTGACAAAGAAGAACCACCATGCCAGACCCCAGAGCCAGAGACACATCCAGGTGGCCACCAACTTCAAGATTTGGGCGGCAAGCACACCTGGCACATCCATAAATGTGGACGTGGGAGAGGAAGCAATAACCCGATGCAGATCGTTGGCCATGCCGATAGTCCCACTGACTGTGAAGGCGGAAGGGCCGACCGAGACGAACATGCCTGGTCGAAGTGGCTCGGCGGGCAGTTTCTGCGTCATAAGCCGGTATACAAAGGCCGAGTAGATAGTTAGCGAGACGAGGAAGCCAATGCCTTGAATCGTGAAACCTCCGACCAGGATGCGAATCGCCTGCTTCGAGCTCAGTGCCTTGGTGGCTATGTTTGCGGCGTGGGGACCGATGATCAGCAAAGGATACGCAGGAAAAATCCATATCGGAGTCATTCTGGCGATGGTAAAGGTCTGAGTGGACCAGAGAACGAGGTAGATGATAATGCTCAAGACAATGGCCAGGCCGCAGTCGAACCAGTACAGGATCAAAACGGTACGGTTGAGCCAGAGTCCGACATAACCAGACCCGTATTGGACGATGTTGATCAAGATGGTGCCAAAGGAGACAGCGAAGGCCGGCACGAAAAGTGATTCGGTGGGATGGGTGAAGCTCGCCCGGAAGGTCCAGGGGTACAGCGTGAATCGCGTGATGATCATGGCCCAAATGACGATGTATAGGACAATGTTGAGTAAGAAGATTGCAACACCGATCGCATAGAGACCGTGAAATCGGTACGGCACTGTTGTTCAGGATCTGCGTCAGAGAAATTGCGTTTCAGGCTAGGTACTGGAAAATTGCGCCAAAAAAAAGGGGGGGGGGACCATACCGGCGTGGAGGACATTGGCGATACCCCCAGTCGCCATTGTAAGGGTGAACCACGCCCAAGTGACATGCTTCATGCGTTGCGACCAGGAGAGGACCTTCGGGTGGTCATCCAGCATACCCTCGGCCTTGCCTTTCTCCGCGTCCTCTCCGTTTGCCGCCGCCGTAGTTTGTGAATCCTTCCATGGTGGCTCACTCGAAGTTTCAGGCGGGGACACATTATTGAAGTAGTTTCTCGATCGATTAGCGCGGTGCTCTGGGTCTTCCACGATAGGTGTCCGCCAACCATCTTGGGCGTAGGGTGACCTTGCCTCTGCTGCGCCTGGATATGTATCATAATCGCCATGATAGCGCTGGTTGATGGGGCGAGCGCGCGGCATCATAGATCCATAAGGCTGGGTTGGTGGAATGGCGACAGAGGAAGGCCGTGAAAGGCGAGGTGAAGGAGACATCTCGACTTTGTTCATGTCTCAGCTGGGTTATACTTTTCCTGCCTGGACCCCACCAGTTGCGCAAGGAAGAGGACGGCGCATCAGGGTGCCAGATAGTCCATGAGCTTGCGGAGAGATCTGCGTTCATCGGCAAACATGGTCGACGACATCCATAACCCAAACGCAGGAGGCAGCAGCACTGAGGCCGCAGCTTCGCTTCGAAACCGAGATATTGAACAGAACGGAAAGAGGATATTGTCGCTTGCCATCTGGGGGAAGTACCGGCTTTAGTAATTCACTGTTTTTTTGGCGTGAAGAGCAAATTGGAATCCTGTTGCCGTGTTTCCGCGTCTTTTGCGGCCACGGTCATCGTTGTGAGCGTGTTGCTGCAGTGTACTGGGTAGATCTTGTGTCGTAGTGCCAAATCTCGGACAGAGCGGCTCGGAAGAGGGCCGATTACGCTATCGTTGCGGTAATCTGTCTGGCGCAAAGCGATTTGAAAATCTATATTGCACTGCGGCAAATTTATTTAGAATTTGAGTGCGAGTGCTCACACTCCATTTCCAGTGAAACAATGCTCGGGCCAATGGTCTAGTTGGTATGATATTCGCTTCGCATCAAACGCCATTTCATTACAAATGGCTGAAAAATGTGACTGTGAAAGGTCCGGGGTTCAATTCCCCGTTGGTCCAGTGAAAATTTTTGGTCTTCTTTCAGTTGGCATTGAAGTAGGCGTAGTGATTTTTTTGGGTACGGTACGGAAGCCTCGGAGAGAATGGAAGGAAAGAAAACTGATTGGCAGAGTCCTCATCCTTGACTACATGCCGACGGAAAGAGCGGACTGGGCCGTTGGTCCGTTGTCATGGCGGAAAATAGACGGATAGAATGGCAATTGAGAAAGGACGTGAGCACAGTGGAATCGGCCAAAAAGAGGTAACCAAAACCCACTAGCTCATCTCGTAATTGAACAGTACCATCTATTTCACAGGGAATGCGTCCCAGGAGGCCACAGTCGAGGGCAAATGGTAGAAAAGAAACCCATCTTGGACGAAAGGGATGATAATACTTGTACAGGTAGGTCGACTGGTGCACAACGGTATATCGTTGAATGGCGCACCAAGGGAGTTACAAACATGTCCCTCCTGCTACGCGCGAAACCCTGAGTGATTATCAACCATTTCGACCACCGAAGCCGACTATTGGGGACTCAGATACCGAGGGTAAACTCCACGCCCACATCAATGTCCCGTGCCATTTTGACAATTTTGGATAGGTCTACTACCTTCTCCGCTGCGCCTTGTAGGTCGGTGATGGAGAAGATCTTGAGGCCTGAATTGTTGACCTGTTTCATGGCGGGTTAGCTGTGGTGACCACACCCCTGAGCGCCCCTGAGCGCCACGGAGACGACTTACCAAATCAGCTGCTTCTTTCATGTTGGTGCCCTGCAAACGACACACGATTGGTAACCTCAAGTTCATCTGTTGTACAACGTGGATCAAGCCCGAGGCGATAGCATCACACCTGACAATACCGCCAAAGATATTGACAAATATGGCTGTCACTTTCGGATCGTTGGTGATCAGCTCGAAAGCAGATCTGATGGCTTCTGGGGTAGCACCACCACCGACATCCAAAAAGTTTGCGGGCGAGCCACCGTTGATCTTGATGATATCCATTGTAGCCATGGCTAGGCCGGCGCCATTTACAAGACACCCAATGTCACCGTCCAGTTTGATGAAGTTCAGACCGTACCTGTGACCATGTAAGCAGACGTTGTGCACTGGGCTAAGATGACATACTCTGCAGCCTTCACCTCATCAGGATCCTCCTGGGATGTATCTCTCCAGCTGAAGATTTCCTTCTGCCTGAATTCGGCGTTGTCATCGAAGCCCAGCTTGGCGTCCATGGCCAACACCTGATGGTCGCTAGTTTCGCTGAGTGGGTTGATTTCAATCTGAGTGGCATCCTTCTCCATGAAAATTTGATACAGCCTTTGAATTGTGTTCTTCGCGTCTTCAATGCACTGTTCGCTGAAACCAAGCTTGGTCGCAATGTTCCGCGCAATGTCGTCTGTCACTCCCTTGTTGATATCAACAGGTGTCGTGATGATGGCATCAGGAGTCTCCTTGGCTACGGTCTCGATGTCCATGCCACCTTGGGATGACGCAACAATGACTGGCGACTGAGTCGAGCGATCCATGAGGATGGCCAGGTAAAATTCCCGGCGGGCAAATTTGCGTTCGCAGATGTAGACAGAGTTGCAAATGCGTCCTCGGGCACCCGTCTGCTTTGTGATGAGCTTGTGCCCAATCATTTGACTTGCGAACATCTTTGCTTCGGTGGGACTGGTTCATGCGTCAGTCAACCCTGATCATGGCTCAATGGCGGTCCGGCGAGCATACGAGTAAATCACCCTCACTCCGCCCTTCAAGCCATTGTCAAAGGTACCTTTACCTCGACCACCTGCGAGGACTTGGGCTTTAATCACCATATCATCTCCATCTGCAAAATCCACGTCAGTGTTGTGCACGCTTCGAAGTCCCCCATTGTTTATGCGAACCGATCTTCTTTGCAATAACCTCGGCTTCTTCTGCTGTTCGAGCGACCTCTCCGTAAGGGACTCCGACGCCATAGGTTCTGAGTAAATTGGCAGCTCGATATTCGTGGATGCTGAGGTGCCTCAACTGTTGTTGTTGGACTGAGGTCCGCACCGGGGTATCCTGCCGCTCCCTGTTAGAACACCTTGTAGCCGCCAATTGAAGCATTGGGGACGTACTCTGACAGCCTTCAAGGCCAGGCCCAAGCTGCGGCGACCCAATCTGTACATCTTGCCCACAAGTTTGGAAAAGAGTGACTCTGGGATGAGGGACGAAGCGAGAAATGGACCAGATACAGCGTTACAGATGTCGCAGCTTCACAATCAGGGTTTCGGAGCTGATTGGTGGCTTGGGAGCAACTCTAGCCGAGCACAGCCACAAATGTGCCACACAGCAATTCCACCCGACCAGCTCTTGGCGGCAAAAGACGAGGTAAGTCGGCACCGAGCGCACCTCGATCCTCACCCGACCCGCGCCGCTTTTAAACACCACTCACCTTCTCACCTTTCGCTCACCTTCCACTCACCCACGACCAGCCTCTTCCCTGCTCGACAATGACTTCTGCTCCTACGCCAGACCAGGATGCCGCGTTGGTGGGCGAGTACAAGTAGGTTCCCTATTTTTTTTGGGCACTCGAAGCGGGTTCGCCGTTCCTGTCCTTTCGACTTGCTTTCCACCCGTTGCGTATCTCCTGCCCCGTTCCCCTCTGTCTGCAAAATGGGCCTTCCTCTCAGTGCGAGATCTTAGGAGGCCTTTCACAGATGTCCGTTTCTTTCCCACTCTACGTTACACCATTTGTCCTTTTACCTCGTTCTTGGACAGTCTCACGGTTACCGGATCTGTATCAACCATCCATTTGCCCTCGCTAGGATGGCTCGTGTACGAAAACCACCTACGGCAGACGAGCTTAGAGCTCGAGCTTCGGCTAGAGGTTACAAAAGAGGTACGCACAAAGAGAAGGACAAGCTTCTGATTTCTTTGCAACGAAGGATCACGGGAAAACAGAAACTCCTGAGTCCAACGCACTGGTCAAGCTTTCACATACACCAGTGTATTCGCACAGTTGACCAGTATGTTCGCGCAGTTGACCAATGTTTTCGCCCGGACCAGTGTATTTGCATTAGTAACAGTTGGCCAGTGTATTTCCACGGTCAACTAGTGTAGCCATAGCATTGTTACTACTTTAAGAAGGCTGGAAGTATATAGTCGTGCTCTGCACCCACTTCTATAGTCTTCGTGGTCAACTTCGTTATCAATTCCATACCTACCTTTGGAATAGTTCGCTCAGTATAATGACCCTTTACGACTGATCCACTGATACTAGTTCCCTCCTCTCGGAACCCTGAGGTCCCGCGGCAAGACATCTTGGAGCGAGCCTAAAAATGTCGTCATCCTTCGGTTGTCGCAGCAATTTAGTCAGGCACTCTTTGCAAAAGCCGTGACCACACATACCCACGACATTTTTGAAGCTGTCCAAGCAGACGTCGCACCGCAGACGGTGGACGTTTTCCAAATGCTCACGCGCAGCTTGGTTGGGCTCAAATCCGCCAGTTCCAAACCCCTTCGTGTTGTTCTCACGAACGCTTCACCAATCCCCCGTGGAAGCGGAGGGTAGACAGTCCAAGTTCTAGACCCCAAGGACAAGAAGCTCAGGCTGGGGCAGCTTGTGCTCACACGTACATAGAGTCATGCACAAACGCGAATATGGTAATGAGGTACTATACTTAGTACGGTGGAAAGCTTGCTGGACTCCGGAGAGTCATATTGTCTACAAGGATTGGATTCCCGCATCGCTGGAAGCGAAGAAGAATCAGCATTGTCGACAGAGCGAACGGTTAGGGGGTTCTTTCGAAGACAGAAAGAAGAAGTATGAGAAGATGATGTTCGTCGTTGATCTTGAATGACGAGAGAGTATGCAGGCACTGCTGTATGCCTTGCTGCAGTCAGACTGAGGGAAGCTTCTGAATCGGCGCGGTATACTTTTCGCGGGCCGTTTGGCGCACCGTGAGAACTCGGATATATGTTGTATGTCTGACGGCAATTCATTCTTTTTTATAGTATGTGATCTAAAGTGAGAGAATTCGTGCAAAGAAGGGAGTCTGTTTGAGCCTGACGGGGCAATTTGTGCACCCACCAGAAGGCGTGGACTTAAGCGGAGCGGAAAATACAAACCCTTCCGCGATGGATATAGACCATAGATCATCCCACGCTTTTCAGAATACAAGGATACATACAGTCACCTATCGGCATGCCGGATGGAAGCGACTCTTTGTGCTCCGTACACTCTATCGAATGTTACCTAGATCTGAATCAATGGAGAACTGTCTCTATACTTCTTGCTCTTACGAGCTAGAATTTTGAAATATTTTTCACATAGAATCAACCGCGACAAACCCATCAAGTAAGATGAGCCTTGAACCAAAAGGGTCAACTTTGAAGTTAAGTAATTAGGTCATTCTGGTATCACAACTGCATACGTACCTACTAGGTAGGTATGTCTACAGGAGGTCATTCCTCATCCTCACACTCAGTCCCGTATTCCTAGTGATACCATATATACCACGTATACACGCACCAGCCACCAAGTTTAAACCCGGTAGTTTCACAATGTCCACGGAAGACTCGGCGGCATGGTCATACTAGCATTCAGATGTTTTAATTGGACACCTCGGAGAAAAGGATCCCTGTCGCGATAGGTTTTAAACATTCGTCGCGAATATTACGTTCTTATACATTCTTAGTGCTCTCTCTCGTTGCCTCTTATCCACTTCCCGCTGGCACTACCTGAATTATGCCACCTTGGAGGGTGGAGGCCCAGTCATATCCTGTAGTCTGCACTCCATACGGGGTACGGAATGTATAAAAGCCGTGCCCGTAAGTTAAAAGGTTATTCTTAGAAAGTTTCTTTGGAATATATCTAGCTTTGTCTCCTAGCCTAGTCTGGCTTGTGCTTATAGCGCCGAGAAGGCACCTACTACCCCACCTACCCCCTGTAACAAGTCAGCCTTGCTCAGCCTCGCGAATTTTCATTGTTCGTGGTGATGTACTCCGTAACATGTGACAATGCTTTGAAAACGCTGTAGTGCTTTTTTGAATCTGGCATCTTTTCTAAGTGTGTAAGAGTCGATAGGTTTTATATCAGATGATTTCCTTTTCTTTCTTTCTCCGGAACTTCACAGCCTACAACAACTACTTATGAAACCTCCCAACCCTGACAACAATCTTGATTCTTGGTGTTTTGTTAGTGTTTATTTATCAAATTCCGAGCCATCGCCGCCACCGCCGACCACTTGACCTTGTTAAAGTGACTGTTTTCAATCTTCTGTGCCGCCGGATCAAACTGGTGCCAAATCTCGATAAAGAACTGGTCGTTTACTCCTATGTTCTCAAACGCATTCTTCATCACCTCGAGAGATTTGAGCTTCTCATAGTCCTTGACCGTCAGGGCTGTGGGTGTCGGCTCCTCCTCGTTCGCGTGCGTACAGATGGCGGCCAGCTGAACGCAATACAAGATCAGTCCCGCTAGTCCAGCAGCCAATGCGGTGGCGATCGAGGACCCATCGAGTATACAGTGACTGTCTTTCATCTGGAGACCGGCACTGACGTAATGTTTGACCTTGACGCCGGGGAGGAGGAAGTCAAAGTCCACGGATTTCCTGTCGCCCACCCACTTGGAGGACCGTTCGGCTGCGTCGGCCGCACCGATACGGATGATCTTGTCGCGGCAATAGTAGCTTGGGTAGCTGTCCTTTTTGGTGTCTCCTGCGTCAGCCGCGGAACAGAACATGAGGATATGGTTGTTGAACGCCTCCCCCACCGCATCTTCGAGACTCTTTCGAGTTTCTTCGTCGTCATCCTTTGGTTGTAGCGACCATGACATTGATATTATGTCAACATGATGAGCGATGGCAAGTTTGATGGCCTACACAAGTCATATGTTACTCATTGATTACCTCACAATGGTGGAAAGAATACTTGCCTCCACAGCGGTTTCGGATTTGATGCTGAGCTTATTTCCGCTTTCAGAGAAGTGAGATTCCAAGCGGAAAATGTAAAGCTTCACGAGGGGAAACACTTGCTGTACCAATGAGGCCATTGCAGTGCCGTGGCCTGAGCTGCTGAACCAATAGGGGTGCTGTCTGTTTTCTTCCTGATATAGCGTTTGTCCACCCACGACATTGCCCCTGAGCTGGAGCTGGGAGATATCGGCTCCGTCGTCGATTATTGCAATTTTGATGTCTTGTTTAAGTTGTGGGGGGATTTTCTTGTCGTCCGTGTTCGGATGAGGCATATTGATAATGACCTCGGCGAACTGCTTCATGGACTCGATCCACCTGTGTGGTTCAGCTTCGGTATCATCTCCAGTTCTACTAGGCGGCATTATTTCTCCCCGTTTCAAATACCGCTGGTCATCAACTACGCGGACCTTGATCTTCTTTTCTCGAGTGTAGGTCTCAAGTCTCTGCTGGAATTTCTTGATATTCTCACTTTGTCGACTCGTCCGTCCATCTTTCTGTTTCATTCGAGGTTTCTGTTAGTGTGTCCACACCGAAACACTGCAAAGCAGAGCCATTACCAGTATAGGATGCAAATAAACATTTGTGAGGTGATCCAAAGCTGCAAGACCACTTTGTTCGCTCCATCCTCGAAGAACGGCGTTACTCCCACCCCAGTAAAGATGCACTTTTTCCAATTGGGTGCCAACACATCCGATGGTTTCGGGGCATAGATCCAACTTTTTCCAGTCAAGCTCTTCCACACCTAATCCGTTCAAGACTTCTTCGATCGTCTCGTCATCATGGGCTGGCAGTGGGCCTGACTGCGGAAGGTCATCAACAATGACCCGGAGGACTTGCTTTACTCCTCTTCCTCTCAGCCAACGGAGGAAGAATACAGCATCTCTTCGTCCCGGGCCAGCGACAGACTTTGCTTCGTTGTCGTCGAGATCGACCTTGATGTGAGGAATGGCGACATACTGCAAGATATTGTTAAAATGCACATGGTTGAAGGTTATTTTGAAATCTTTGGCGACAATCTCCTCCGGGGCTTCAAAATATTCGAAACATATCTGCTTGTCTGCAATCACAGTCAGAGTCTACCCTGATAACTTTGGTGGTGTCCGACTCGTACCGTCAACGTTCCTGCCATAAAGAATCTTGGAAGCTTGTGCAGGACTTCTGTTGCGCAGGCAATAGAGCTCCAGCATCCGTTTCATTTCGTCCGCACTTTCCTCAGTGACCAATGTTGTGCTGGTGATGGAGCCCCTCCTCTCTTTGAATGGAATTGACTGAGATAAAAGCGGATGCGCCTGGATTCCCCCTCCCGTCCTAAGAGCTGTGTCTAACACCTTGGGTCTCAGCAGTAGCTTGTCCATGGATTTCAGCGTGCTACTGCTATCAGCTTGCAGTGAAGCCATAGGACCGGCAGTTGGAACGACCGAGCTTCTAGGTTGGTCAATTTCCAGCGATGGTTGCGTTTTCTTGGGCTGCCCGACATTGTATATGGTTGGCATCTCAAGACTCGGGAGTTTCGATGCGCCCGTACCAGAGTCGATACCCAGAGGGCTCGAAGTCACGTTGTCGATCACGTCGCCTCTAATTGCCAACTTCTGTAGTCCAGTATCTGGCTGAATGTTTCCATGTAGGAAAGGCTGGCTAGCTTGGAACTCATCCTGGGGTTGAGTCGGGAACTCATCCTGGGGTTGAGTCGGGAACTCATCCTGTGCACGTGGCTGGGCCTCGTGCCGAGTCGATACGTGATACTGGTAAGGCGACATTCTTTTCGGACCAGCTGTGACACAATCAAGAGCCTTGCCTTCACGTTCAAGAAGCTTTTGGACGATTTGAACTTGGTCTTTGGTGCAGTTTTTGAATGCAACAGCATGGTGAAGTGGAGTATATCCCCTTTCATCCTGGCTCCTCAGCGTACTTCTCGAGGCGTGATCGACCATTAAGCTGATTGCTTTAACGTAGTATTTCAACTCAGGAGAGGCAAGCTTGAACGCCGCATGCAAACAGTTTCCAGTGTCATCGGAGGTGACACGTAAGAAATTGTCGAGATCCCAGCCTTTTTGAGCACAGATGTAATCGCCGACGTGGAACAACCAGATGTAGTTTTTTCGAGATATTGCAGCATGAAATGGTGTCCTCTTATAGTCATCCTGCCAGGATAGGATATCGGAATCTTCGTTAATAAGCATGAACGAAAGGAGGAGGCAGTCTCTACTGGCGGAACTGTAGGCAAGCAAGTGGAGAAGCGACTTGTTGTCCTCAGCATTCAACAACCATTGGCCGCCATTCTCTTTCCGAAACCTTCGCCGGTTCGCCTCGTCACCAAGATTGAGCTTGTTCGACCTTGCGCGTTCAACAATATCGTCGAATATTGCTCTAATCTCCTTCTGTTCTCCCGGTAAATCGAGGTAGTCTCCGATGACAAACTCACCCTCATCATCTTGATTGTCGTCAATTTGTGAACGTTGTGTCGAAGTGTGCTCCATTTCGATAAACAAGTGAGCCAAGCCTCTTGAATAGATTAGAAATATCAACGGTAATATATATAAGAACGCGGCCACCGTAGGAGACGCGTGTTGGTGATGAGAATGGTGGTCTAAATAAGAGAGGAATTCTTACCGCCCACCCCTCGAGAAGCATTCAGAGAGTTCGCTTCCGGAGTTCTTGTTTCTTCTTGACCTATTCAGCCTCGTCCTCACGCGTGCATGCGATAAAAAACTCTCATGACCATATCAGACGATTCTCACAAGAATGAGCTGTTCCGATGGCCATTGAACCTCTCCCTCCATGTTCATAATGAGCAAACCGTCAGACCATCCACCATGCAAGGGCACTTCGGGAAATAAACAGGCACACGCCAAGTAATAACTGCTGTTTTTACGAGGTTATCGCGTGCGGACACGACTCTGAATCACACCACGGCTAGCAAGCGAGATCCGCTAGACCTTCTATCCTGTGTGACAATAAACGTATGCCGCCCTCATCCACCGGACAATCACAAGCTCTATATCTGGGTTAAACTTGAAAAGTGATCGAAATCCTACCTCGAGGATTGTTTTCTCTATCAACTTACACACAGGGCGATACCACTGCTTTGTTAAATTTTCCAAAATGCCTATAACTAGCGGGATGGATAAAAACACAATACTGCCCAGTTTTTCGGTCGACCTTGTATGGGACACCGATGACAAAGACAACATCTTTCATTCAAAGCATCCTTTGCCGGGTCCAACACAGCCCAAAGAATGGTTTTGCGAACCGGGTCATGTTCAAATGTCTTGCGAATGCATTGATGTCGTCCACGGAGTCCTGGATCCTGAGACAAAAGAGTTGGCAACCCTGATCGTTCTTGACTTCCGCTTTGACGCCCGCAAGCTATCTCGACGAATTGCTGAGGCGGATGTATTCATCGAGTTCTGTGCAAAAGAAGAGGGGGACAACGGACCTGAGGTTTTACGAATAGCACCAGATGGAAACTGGACACTCCTCCCGACCGAAGCAACGAAAGACGTGGACACCTATGTCAATTTAAATCTACCAATACCCCTCTACGCTGCGCACGCAGGTTTTGAGGCCGGATGCAAGCGCTCTATTCACCAGACCCTCACCAGTGGTATGAACGTTATCGGTTCCTGCGAGGTCAGGGATCGGTCCTGGCTTCCTCATAATTGCGCACACTGGACGCTTCTCGAAAATCCGGCAGTCAAATCTGGGATACCAGTGTTCTTGAGATCAGCAATACTGCTGAAAAGAGACCACATGGAGCCTTTCCGGTGCACCGCCCGAGTCAAGGCAAAGGTCGACCTGATCAGCTCCTTCGAGCGACTTTTCGGCGTCATCGGCAAAGCAGGAAACAAACACCCCATTTCTTTCGACCCACGGATCAGAGCAGGCAATAATATGCGGCCGGTTGACATGGAGCACAATCTAGGCGGTCTGAACTTGTTGGATCTGGCAGATGTCACATCAGTGACTGTCTTCGGCAGTGCTCACAAAGATATATAGAGGTGATGGGGGACGGAAAGTCAATGGTCGGAGGACAAATGTGGCTTGCATGGCTTCGCATATTTCATCCAGTGGCTGGCGATTGCGAGGGCTGATTTCAGCCACCAGGTGAAACCCATCACGCGGTGGCGTTCAAGACCTCGTCAGTTCTCGTCGTACCACATCGTAAGAGTAGTTGAATAGTTTCAGGTAGATGTACTGTATTTACAATCTGCTTTCCGCAACATCTAGCCGCCTCATACGTGTGTTCCTCAACACTTCTTATCCTTTCCACCTTCAGCCCATATACTCGGGACTTGAGCTGCGTTAGCATACTTGTTTACGACGATCCACGATGCCGCTTCCATTGGTGATGGTGGATGGGGAGGCCATACCCCGCCCCAATTCTGACTTGACCGGTGTCAAATATGACACGGAGACATTCGATGGCGAGGGCGATCACGATGTCTATGGCCTGAAGATCTTAGAACAGCCGAAATCTCAGGTACCAGAACTCGAGTAAGCGAAATCAGCCTTCTATCTCAGAGAAATAGAAGCATTGTCTTTAACGCTAGTTCTGAAAGCATTATTGCCGTACATGGCCTATGTGCCGGCTCTGAGTCTTCTTGGCTAGAGTCCTCCCAGAATAACGATGAGAGAAAAGGTTGGTTGAACTACAGATTATTCAAGAGGTTCCCACGGTCTAGAATATTCTTCTATCGCTACAATCAAATGGCATTCCGAGACACCACGTCTTTCAATCTCCTTTTAGAGGACTTAGCCCTGAGGCTGCTAAGCGAACTAAATCAGCTCCGGCCTCACAGGGATTCGGTACGTTGACCTTATAGAAGGAAAGTCCGAGTACCGGATTTTGACAGATCTTGTCGGAAGGATGATCATCTGCGACCTATCATATTCATGGGACATGATATTGGTGGCATCATTATCAAGAAAGTAAGCGATATTTACACTCCAAGCACGGGAATATACTGACAAGGAGACAGGCGTTGATCATGGCAACATGCAGACGTCCTTATTTATCCCAATACGGAGGCATCGGGCTCTCTTGTCGGCTTGTCGTAAGTTTCCAGACTAAATTTTTCTCAAATGTCTTTGTAATATTGACCATGCCGACTTGCAAAGGTCTTCTTTGGTTGTCCGCACCGTTGCAAGTCCCCAGAAAGCCTGCAAGAGTCGATAATGAGGCTTCTTTTGGAAGCTGACATACATCAAAATCTGCTTGATCGGTCCAGATTATGGGCACGGGCTATCATCCAGACTAGCGGAGCCTTCAGGGACACCAAGTTAATCCTACGCTCGGGCATTTTCAATATTCACTCTGAGTCCGGAGGAGAGAAGGTGGCGGTAAGTTTGACGTATGCAGAGTACAAGGGGACGCATCAAAGCTACACCGTCATGGTTGTTCCACTTTTTATTGTTGGGATTGATACTAATTTCACCAAGCAGCTCTTCGATAAATACATGAGTACCTGCAGCGTCCCCTTTCACAACCGCATAGGCACCAAAGAGGCACACAAAAGTCTTCCAGCTGTCATGAAAGATGACAAAGCTTTCGCCGAACTGGTGGCAGAAATAGACAAGCATTACTTCAGTGAGTCTATATCCTTTGCTACATGTGTACCCATCTTGACACGATGGGAAAACAGCTCGGAAAATCAATGCATCATCAATTTCTATCTTTCTTCTTTTCAGTTCTGCGAACGAACGAATCCAAATTCCAACGCCACGTAGGGACCGATCACTGTTTTTACCCATTCACAAAAGAGTCGAAGAATGGCAAGTCCGAGGAAACTCGCCAATCTTTCATATCTCTGGTTCTTCGGTTGTTTCTGAATGTACTGACGACCTCTTTTATCATCTGGAGAACCTGGGGGACGACTCCGGCGTCCACCGGGAACCGATATGGTTCAAATTCTATGTTGGCGACTTCCGATACAATAGTACAGTGGCCATGTTGAATTCGTTTGTCGTTCAGCTCTGGTCGCAAATGCAAGACTTAGACAGCAGCCTCAGTGACGCCATCTCATCTGGATCATTGTTCAAGGCCTGGACCAAACATGATCTATGGCGACTATTCCATGTCTTTCTAACACGACAAGGTATGTATCGACACACATTCATCGTCAACCATCTTGAGCAAGCCGAGGATGGCGGGAGGTGGTTTCTTGACAAACTACGGGAGTTGTCGGATACTTCAGAATGGCCGTTCAAGTTTATCATCCTAAGTTCTCCTCATGAATGCCTCGAGGCAGCGCTGAAAGACTATGAGGGTATGAATCTCGACTTGCTCATCCAGGGTTCTGCGATATCAGGTCACCGCGAAAACGGACTCATGGTTGAAGAGCAACACGTGCATGTCCCTTTAGAAACAGAGAATGCAGAGTCGATGCCGTGTAATGATATCGGAATGCAAGACGGCGCCACAAACTATGTGAGATCCCCTCCGGGCCGAGCCACTCCACCACGGGCCGGTTGGTCAACCGAAAAGCTTATTCTATCACGCTCTAAGACCGACACCGCTCAAGCGTATCTGGACTCCATATCTGAGGAATGGCGTGCCTGGACTCGCGACATCCTACACCTCGTTTTGTTTGCACGGAGATCGCTTACCCCTTTGGAGCTCGGCGATGCACTGTCCATTCGTCTCAAGCTCAATAACAACTCGACAAAGACCTACCCTTGCTCCGATCTGGAGAGAAGCCTGGGCGATTATTTCAAGGACATTCTTGTCATCGCCGACGATGAAGTTCACTTCATTCACCAATCCCTCAGAGATTGTCTTACAACCTCACTTACTTCCAGCAACGACAAATGGTACAGTATCAGCCCAAGTGATGCGAATCGGGAGATTTTTGACCTTTGTTTCCATTGTATCGGTACTCGGCCGCATACGCAAATTGATATCAGCTTCAGCGGTTCGTCGGCGGTGAACTATGTCATTCCACCCGACAGGTCAGCTTTTCAGTCATATGCTGCAAAGCATTGGCCGGCACACTTCAATGAAGTCCAAGCTGACCGTCATCCACTCTGGTCCGCTCAAGCAGTTAAGAAAATCATGGATCTCTTTGAAGACATGGAGACCTTTCGATGGCTCTCTCAACATTATTGGCACACTTCAAACCCCTTCCTGAGGCCTGACTGCTCGTTTTTAAGTCCACTGCCGATTGCCTCAGCCCTGGGCTTATGCGTAGTGGTAACTTACATGCTGGAGAGGGAGCGGCAGTCATCATTTTTTGAGACGGACTGCGGCCTGGCTCTCGTGGAAGCGGCAAGGTGCGGCCATATGGATGTAGCTATGCTCCTTGTCAAAGCTTGTGTTCCATCTTTGCCAGTCCTCCAGGAATCTGTTCTGAGAGCCGCATATGGCGACCATGAGACTCTCGCACAATACCTCTTTACGCAAACGAAGATACGTGGGCCGGTTCAATGGAGCCCTGAAATCCTGCAAAGGGTGGCATACCTGGGATTTGCTGAGATGGTGAAGAGTCTTTGCGAGTCTGGGCCAGACATCCACATACCTATCGGCCGTCTAACATCGCCACTATATCTGGCAGCCGTCAACAACCAAGTCGAAGTAATCAATCTTCTGCTAGACCATGGCGCCGATATCGAGGTCGCGGACGAAACCGGCCTAACGCCATTAGGAGGAGCATGTCTTTCCGGTCAAGACGAGGCGGTAAGAGCGCTTCTTGCTCACGGCGCCAGACTAGATGCCAGAGATTCCTCCCACAACCGACCACTTGAAATTGCAAGCATGCTTGGATTCCATAAAGTCGTCCAAACGTTGATCAACAGCGGTGCAGAGCTAGGTCCTGACAGGGAAACCCCCAGACCGGGACTGGTTAGTGCTGCTGCCTACGGATTTGAGAAGTGCGTGCGAGAACTGCTAGACGCCGGTGCGGACCCGAACAGGGAAGGCCCTTACGGAAATGCACTGGTATACGCGGTCGACGATGGCAAAATTAGCTTATGCAAACTCCTGATCGAAAGGGGCGCAAAGGTTAATGGGACTAACCCAAAGTTCCCGATTCTGAATGTTGGGGTGACACAAGACAGCATTGAGATGGTGAGACTTCTGGTGGAATCCGGAGCTGACATTGAAATCGAGGATGACGATGGTGAGTCGCCACTCACTCTTGCAGCCGGATTAGAGTCGAAGACCATCACAGAATACCTGCTGGATCATGGGGCCGACGTTAATCACGCAAATAAGTGGGGAGAGACGGCATTATTTATTGCTGCAAGAGAATGCAGGACGGAGACTGTGCGGGCCCTTCTCAACGTACATGATGTGGATGTCAACACCGCTAGAGTGAAACATTCCTACGCACCCATTCATTCGGGTGTGGACTCGGTGGAAATAATCGACATGTTGCTGGAGAAAAACGCCAACATAAATGCGATGTCTGGAAGTGGGACGCCCTTGTACCTGGCTTCCAAACACGACTTGAAAGAGACCGTGGAATGCCTCTTGTCGCACGGCGCTAACACCGAGATCGAATGCGATCTAGTGGATGATACACTCTGCAGGACGGCATTGTCGATTGCCGTAGAATTTGGAAACACAAGCTCCATTCGGCTTCTTCTCGATGCAGGCGCTAACATAAACAAACCTATGCAAGACGGGGTTTCGGCTCTTGCTGCTGCGATGCACATAGGCAACGAGGACGTCCTGAAAATGTTACTTGAATATCAGCCACGGTTAGATGCTATCGATTTACGGCACAACACAGCACTCATCATGATGAAAGACAGCACCCCCCTGTCAATGGTGAAGCGACTTGTCAGGCGCGGAGCCAACCTAGAAATTGCAAACGACTTTGGGATTACACCACTGAGCAGAGCCATATTTTTAGGCCGAGCCGACATCGTGCGGTATCTACTACTCAAGCACGCAAGGGTTGATGTCCATCTCCCGAACAGCGGAAGCCTACTCCACGTAGCCTGTCGCAGCGGCAACCTGGAGATTGTGAAGATGATGACGGAGCACCGCCTTGATGTCAATGAAATATGTGACGAACGTGGCGGTACGCCACTGCAGTCGGCATTCCTTGGACTTTGGTATAAGCCTGTCGCATCACAAATGGAAATTATCGACTTCCTTGTCCACGAGAAGAAAGTGGACTTGAACGCGAATGGTGGGTTCTACGGTTACGCTTTGAACGTTGCTTGTGCTATTGCCCCTGCAGAGACAATTAACATGCTCCTGGAAAAAGGAGCTCGACTCGATGTGGAGGATTTGATGGGACGCCATCCTATACACTTTGCATCGTTACGTCCATTGGAATTTCTCTTGACACTCATCAGACAAAATGCCGATATATCTGCAATGGACAGAGTGGATAGGACAGCTCTCCATTGGGCAATTATTGGAGGGCACGTCGAGGTCGTTCGCAGTCTACTGGAAATGTCAAATATTGGTGTCAATTCTCGAGATAAGGACAACTGGACACCTCTGCTTTGGGCATTGAAAAATTCGGGTCAGTGGATATTTCATCAAGTGACGGAAACAAAGAGTGAAGCGTCCACCCCGGGTTCCAAGTCAGACGCTGAATCGCAAAGAAGAAAGTATAACGAGGCCCAAGAGGTAATGGAGAGGCTTTGGGTGCTACATAAACCGAACAAGTCAGGATTGCATGTTGGAGAAAACGGCAGCGCTCAAGAGCAGATTGTACGGCTTCTTCTGAGTCATGGGGCCAAGGAATCAGTATATGGCTATTTTCGAGGTCAGAGGTGGTCGGCAGTGGCGATCGCGATGTACCATGGAGCGTCAGACCGAATATTAGGCCTCATTGCTCCAGATCCGACATATACCTCCAAAAAGAAAACGGTCCATTCCAGTGGTTACCGCATCCAACACTCGGCGCGCAAAGCGAAAAAACAGGACATATGGTGTGATTCGTGTCTTCTTGTAAGTGCAACCCCAACATTCCGCGATATATTCTGTTATTGGATTTCCCTCCGGGCAAATGAACTAACTTTTGAACGTTAGGAAGTCTGGGGACATTGGTATCACTGTAACAAATGCTTTGACTTTGATTTGTGCTCCAAGTGTTACGGCTGTCGTAGCGATTTGCATCCCGGTCACACATTTTTGGAAAAAGGCGACGAGTTTGACGAGACTAGCGATGAGGCAGATGAACTTCGAGGCGGTATTGGGGTTGACCAAAAGACTGGAGAGGTGTCGAGTCTGTCGGACGTGGGCGGGGAAGGTGTTGAGGAACTGACAGGGAGTATGATGAAAGCTATAGTAAATTCAGACTCTGTCGCTGATGAGGAAAAGAAGATATAAGAGACGGAACGGAAGGGAGTAAACATAGAAGTGAAAGAAGAATTAAAAGGTCGAAGTGATGGGTAATGGGGGTCCGGAGGCTCGTGCGACCAGCTGTTAGAGCTGCTACCGTATCGCCTCAACTAGTGAGCTAGGAGGAAGGGAAGTTATTTAGTTATATATTGTAACAAGGCGAGGTGGCTGTGCTGTGATGGGCTGTGCTGGGCTGGTAGAGCGGTGGCAGGGAGGAAAAGTTGTCTAGTCACATGTCAAACCTAAATGGGCTGGTAGAGAAGGGGGTGCGGAACAGTTTACAGTGCTGGCAGTGTGCCATTCATTACAGTTTGAGCAGAGTATCATGAATTCTATGGCTTTTTGGCGCCGTCTACCTAATTCCTAAGTGTTTTATCAGTCCTGTCCTGTTCCTCGATGCTGCCGCTGTGCTAGGTGTTCGTAGCCCTAGCCGCTGCCCCTCTGGGTGGTGTTGGTGGTGGTGTTGTTTTGTCAGTATCAACCAGAAACGCGTTCTCGATTCCCGATCTGCTGGACAGGCCTCTGTGCGTTGTTGCACGTGCACGCCGAACCCTGAAGTGCTCTGTTACAATACAGCTCAGAAGCATGGTAGGGATGGATCCCCAGCGTCGTATAACATGTCCCGGGCCATCGGCTGCAAACCTCGAGATTCTGTGAAGCGCCCTTGAGATTCATCGTGGTCAACATGATCTTCAAACATCCGACCGCTTCTGCCCTTTCCAAGACTTGGTCGAAGTCCTCGCCATGCTGTTTCTTGCCTCTGTAGATACCCTGGAATTCATTTGCCGTGTATGTGACTGCAATCTGATTTCGAGGTCTATTAGCTACGTTTTTGAGCCAGGAAATTATCCTTACGTCTGCAAAGCGGTACCTTGTAATCTGCTGAGAGACAGTCTGATTTCGCCCCTAGTCCGTACCGGTATGTGTTAGGAAGGAGAAAGAGACGTCGCCGGCTGGTAAGCAATTGAGGAATCAGGCGGAATGAAAACAGCCCGGTCTGGCAAATGAGTGCCAATGACACTGCAGAGTCCTAATACTGCGACATCTGTACGCCTTTCGACCAAATCAGGGTCTGCTATGACATGTCATTCACTAGTGGCGAGGATCCGTCCCAGTCCTGAAGCTTCATCGAGTTGGAGTAGATCCGATATAAAAATTTTGGCGCCATAGCTGTGAAGCTTCGGCCATTACCGCAGGGCTTAATCACCATTGATGGTTAACCGTCATCCCGAGCGGGACTGGTCCAGGCGCCGCATCCCGGTAGCTCAACCTAAATAACTCGGCTTGACACAGAATGCCCCTTGATTCAGGAGTACGAACGAGGCCGAACGAGACATGGCGCGGTGGATATATATATATATATATATATATATGGGTGTGCGTGCCAGCGAAGTGTCAAAGACATGGTTGAGACGATTCGTTCTTCCGGATGAAGGTTACCATAGCTACTCACCACTCTGCCAGTCGGAAAAGGATTTGTTTGATATTCAATCATTGCTTTCAAGCCAACGACTTCTCATATTTTATTGTGTCATGGTCGGTTCATCATTGCCTCCTCTCATCCAGCCGTCATACAAAAATTCGTCAAAGATCGGCCATTGAAAGTCCTGGAAAACGGTGTCTGGTGACCACCCGATACCCATCATCATGTTAACTGAGTCTGTACCTGGTGAGTTCCAGATGACGGGTTTAGCAGTCGTGTTAGCCTTTTCGTCTTCCAAATCTGTCAGCGATGGGGATCAAAAGCCAGTGACGATATACAATATACCTTCAACTCCCTCATACGGATTTGGCTGGCCTCCGAATTCTTGTCGCCACAACCAGAAACAGTCAAAGGTCACACTCACTCCAAGTCTGTTTCGACAACGGAGCCATAGACTATCGGGGGTGCCATCGGGTTGTTTGATGACCACCTTACTTGTCCATAATTGTGACAAGATCATCGTCGCCCTTGCCGATATATCGTCTGACCTAACACTTTGTCTCTTGTTCAGATTGATGGCGGAGAAATAACACCTTTGCCCTCGCTTTAAGTCTAGCGATTCGCGGACATGAGACTTTCCAATGCGGAGTATAATGAAAGCCGAGAGATTCCAGTTCATGTTGATATTTGTCGAGCCATACTCAGCCATTCCTTGCTCCTGATCGAGTTCTGTAGCGAGCTCGATCAGGGCACAAGCAAATCCGTACATGTTGATAAGGTCCTCGTTTTCGATGTTCGATGAGGGCGCAATCAAGCGGCAGGCTGAGACTTGTAATTCGGCAATTAGGAGCGCGAATTGATCTGGAACAGCTTAGTAGAGGTCACAGATGCAATGGGATGTCAACGAACCAAGTTTTGAAGGACATCCCACACTTAACACAGCCAATTTCGAGAGGCAAGCATTGATCGTAGGTCCAAGCATCATGTTACGCTCATCTGGCCTTTTGGACAAGGCATCCCGATCGATTTGTAAAATGGCCTCACTGACCATCTGGTTTAATTTCCTCTGAAACCGTACCGGCGGAGATAATGTGTCTAGTGGATTTTGTTTGTAGCCTTCATGGCAATAAGTGTCTGCTAATACCAAGGGCGGCAAGCCTCGTGCATTATTGACTCTTAATTCAAGTCGTTAGCTTTTCCCGAGAACTCTGTTCACTTCTTCCTTCTCACCTTTGGCAGGTATATAGACACATCGACCACAGTCTGGTCCGGAAGCTTCTCTGCTGACTGTCATATTTGAGCGGCACTCGAGTAAAGTCCTGAACAGAGCCATAAACGTGAAGGCCAACGTTTATTGCAAGCTGTATCATGGCGCCCGCTAGTTGCGGGGTAATATCCTTCTGCAACGTATCTATAGGCATTTGCCATGTGCAGAGAAGTACAAGAGCCTGTATCGTCGGTAAAACTCTCTCAAGCGAGAAAATTGCTCCTTTTGCTAGGTCCAAGACTTTGGGAGCGAGAAGGAGGATCAAGGTTGGATCCTTCGAATACCTTCTTGAACCAATGACAACTATAGTCCAAAATAGAAATGGGGAAGCTGCATGGCAGTCATTCGGGTGCAGTTTATTGTCAAAAATTGGCAGGTATGGTAAGTTCTTCTCAAAAAACCTAGGTGTCCTGTAAGGGTGCGATTGGTCTAGGGCAAATTTGAGTTATTCACTCACAATCCGAAGCATTCATCAATGTCTTGCGCATCAACAGCCAGATCTTGAATAGTTTGCGACCGGGTGGCGGCGGATTGGGCACTGGCAGATGGGATACCACCACCATTTGTAACTGGCCCTGGAGGAGCGGGGACACTTGTCGAAGCATCTAACGAGTGAGGGTTGAAACTGGAGAGCTGAGCTGTCGCGAGTGCTCCCGTCGATGTTGGTGCGCTTTGGAAACTCAGAAGTCTCCCAGGAAGTAGATTGTCCGTGGATTGCGACTGAACTTTCTGTCCAGGCGTACTAGTCCCGACTTGCTTCTTCAATTGATCTAGCTCGGCTTGCAGTTCGGACTTTCTGTTCGACGAGATCAGCACAAGTCCGTTAGCCGCGCGCAGTTGACATACGTGCGTCGTTTCACCCGTTTGAAGTTCTTGGAGACAACACAATCCAATTTAAACCGTTTGCACCGCGAGCATGGCTGTGTGTAGTCTTTCGAGGCGTCGCATCGAAGCTAGCTGCTAGTTACTCTCAGATCGGCACATAGAGCAGGGTTGAACAAATCGCGGACCTTTTGCTGGCGACATTCCGTGCAGGCTCTGATTCTTGTGCCTTTTATTTCCTCCGAAGCATTGCCCATGTTGTACTCCTTAAGAGAGATGGATATGCAGGTGGGATGGCAATTGAAATGACCTGTCAGCAAATACAGACTTCGCTGCTCGGCCTACCAAGACAACAAGTAAAACCACAGTCTCGGTCATCGAGGTAAAATGGAGTGCCACAAAGGGCTTGAGTAAGGGGTCTAACTCATTGACCTTTTCCTTCAACCATTCCAAGGAGCACAACAACTGCGTGGCGTCAAGACATCGGGTATTGGAGGTCGGCGAGTTCCTTGTTGGTGCCAAAAGCAGCATCAGGAATTCAGGTGTCGTGCCAAGATATTCACGTGACCGATGCCCATGGGGCTAGCTTCCTCGCTTCCACCTGCGGCCTTCTGAACTTCGTTTGCTTCAATCTTCCATCCAACTCACAACCTCGTCAACGGTGGCCGCACGCACGCAGACCGGCCTCCTCTTCCTCAAGCCGACCTCTGATGCGTATCGGTCGGGGCCACCGTGACTATAGGGACATTACCCTCAAAGCACAAGTCCGGGCCATTCTGCGGCGCTCACAGAACTCCGCGCATTTCGGGAACCCGTATATTTCGCTTCACGATCAAATCCGCCTGCAAGATGCCGTCTTCAAGCAGGCAGCGCGGCTAGATAGCCTGCACAAGAGCACAAAAGCCTGGCGAAACTTCTGTGAGTTGGACAAGAAGCTGGCGCAACCAGAGATTTAATACGTGAAAAAGACAGGTTGAAATCTGCAAATCATGGGTTCACGGTAGCTGTCAAAGATAACATAGTCACCGCAACGTTACCGACAACATGTGCGTCCAGAATCCTCAAAGGATTCTGTCCACCGGAAAATGCCACCGTCACCAAGTTACTTGAAAAAGCAGGAATGGTTCTAGTTGCAAAGACCAATATGGACGAGTTTGGCATGGGTTCGCACTCTACCCATTCCGCCTACGGCCCCGTGGTCAACGGTGGGTCGGTAAAGAGGGATCATCTGTCAGTTGGTGGAAGCTCCGGCGGAAGTGCGCTTGCTGTCGCCAAGGATCTGGCTCATATCGGGATCGGTACCGACACTGGAGGCTCCGTCAGACTGCCTGCAGCTTATATGAGCCTTGTCGGATTCAAACCATCGTATGGGATGATATCTCGTACAGGGGTAATCCCCTATGCAAACTCCCTGGATACCGTCGGAATCCTCGCCAAATCAGCCATTGACGTTAGGTTGACATTCGGTCAGTAAGTTTCTGCAACTCGGGTTTCTTTTACTTACTGGTGCAGACCTTCTGCAGCGGTCAGATTTCTCAGATCCAACCTGCTTGGGTTTGTCGTCTCGAGAGCGAGTCAGAGCTGCAAAGCATAAGAGAAGACGAGTCGTTCTTGCTTCCAAACTGTTTGTCACAAGAGTCCCTTCTTCAAGGCGATTGCTGGAAGTACAAGGCCTAGCTTCTGCGGCGTCAAGAAGAAGAAATCTTGCTGTCACGACGTCACAAAAGTACCATACCCGACGAATAGGGGTGCCTCTGGAGTACAATATTGACGAGATGCATCCCCTGGTCCGCTGGGCTTGGACGGCAACTCTGAGCCATTTGCAAAACGTGTACAAGTTCGAAATTGTGCCCATTTCCCTTCCATCTACAAAGCATGCACTTTCAGCTTACTATGTCCTGGCGCCGGCAGAGGCTTCTTCAAACCTCGCAAAATATGATGGTGTCCGTTATGGCCGGAAACGCACTGCCTCTGCAGATGCAGACGGCGGTCCACTTTATTCGGCATATCGATATGACAACTTTGGACCTGAGGTTCGGAGGAGAATCCTGCTAGGAACCTACACCTTGAGCGCGGGGGCAATCGACAATTATTTTATCCAGGCTCAAAAAGTCCGCAGGCTGGTACAACAAGACTTTGACGCGGTTTTCAGAATGCCAAATCCTTTCCGTGACAATACTGAGGCAAACATTCACGGCGTGGATGTGATTATTGTCCCTACCGCTCCAAGTCCACCGCCATATATAGAAAGCCTGAAATCTTCTAGACCTGTGGAACGATATATGAACGACGTTTTCACAGTGCCAGCAAGTCTAGCAGGTCTTCCTGCAATATCGGTTCCTGCCCCAGCTCATCCTGATCATCCTTGGAATCCTGAAGTGGCTGTTGGCATGCAAGTCATTGGGCAATACGGCGACGACTTTGGGGTCATCTACTTCGCACAGAATTTTTTGTCAAACTTCCACCGGAAAGACATGAGACGGACAATGGAAACCAAGATATTGAGCTAGGAATAATGCACGACTGCTACGGTTTTTGGTCGATGCGATGATCACGCGTCCAAGACGAAGTCGCTCAGTTGATCTTAGGTCCCAGCCTTTCACAGCAGCAGGCTTCAATTCGGCCTTTGACATTGTCGACACGCAATTCGTTCAGACTTCAACCCATGATACTTAGATTTACGTGCCATAATCACTGATCTTTTACTACCGACACCTCGCTCAACTCGCCCGCACTAAGACGTCTTCGCAAAATAATGTATATATCATGCTGACTGTGGCTGCACGACATCTCAACCGTTATGGCCTTCCTCGTCTCGACTTGACAGACACAACATGAGACAAAATGGTCTAATCCACCGAGTGTCACCCCTCAATGGTACGCTATCTGCTTAAGCCACGTGTTCTCTGGCGCACATGGATCCCAAACCAGGCACATATCTGTGCCACGGTACAACGCCGTCCACCTAAGCCTGAGCCGAGACATAGAAGAAAGGATCGACCAATTCCAAAGAATGCTTGCGTGGGGCGGCAGATAGCCCGGCTTGAGTCCCCATAAGGAGCCCCCTACCGGTCAGTCAGGGCGAAGTGGATCTTCGAGACATCAGAGAGATCATCAACTTCTCGGCGATCTAAGGTGTCGCGCGGATAGAAAGGCGGCCAAGTTTACCATGGGATGAACTAGGGACCTAGCCTTCCAATGGACAGGTCAGACAGTGGGCCCATGGGCCAGATCCACACCCAACAGCAGAGTCTCAACCACTCACATGCACTTGTCTCCCGCACTTCCTCGTCGGTAAAGGACTCAAACGCTTGATGGCCCTCCGACGGCAGGAACAGTTCACACAATACGCAATCGACTTTTGCATGCCAATCCTGGGCGTGGAAGATCTCATGCTACGTCTCCTCTGCTCTACAGATCCTACACAACGTGCAGCTCTTTACGAGTATTATAAAAGGTATCAAGTCAATCATAACACGGGATGCAGAAATCCTTGCAAAAGATGACTCTGGGAAAAGATGACAAATTAGACATGCACGGATCTCATATCCATGGCAGGGAACACGAGATCCGAACCCGTCCACCTGGCCAAGGTGATAACGATGTGGAAATGGTACCGAGCGTGCGAAGGTAGAAGCTGGTCCGTACACCCGGACTCTGTCACATCGGGGACCTATGATAAGACCGTCTAAGGATCAAAATCTTTCGGTAAAACGCTCTAAGCCAGAGAGGAAGTCGGCATCGGAACGGTGACACCAGGTGAGCATGTCGCAAATCCTGGTGGCGAGGCTACTTTGGAGATCGGTGCTGTGCAGCAGGCGATCAATGACATTATCATGGCTACTACTACTGGACGTGGAGATCTTCTAAAGACCAACACGAAAAAAGACCCCGTTATGTGTCTCAACTCTGGTGTCACTACAAAACAATTGGAAGTTTAATAGACACCGTCGAGCTTTTCGTGAGCAAACTCCTGTCGGAGCTGAAAAATCCCCCGGCGCCGCAACGTCATTCTTTCCACCACAACTCCAAAACGTACAGTGAAACACCTACCCTTTGCTAGGTCAGGAGAGTTAGACGCATAATTCTGGAAGGCAGACGTTGATATCGAAGAAGTTTGCTCAGCCTGTGAGGCAGTTGAAGGCCACAAAATCTAGGAGCCGTGCCAGCTATAGGTATTCATCATAAGGTCAGATCATGCGGACTTACCGACCGAGGACAAGACGAAGAGGGCAGAAATGAGAAGCGGCGTTTCATTCTCAAGAAAACCACCACAACCTGAAGGGGTTAGAAGATAAACACTAAGAGAGAATACGTCCATGGGGAGATGTTGAAAGGGAAAGCAAAGCGCCATATACATGTGTCATGGTATAGATAAAGCCTTTCAAAATGCCCGCCGATATACAATATATACCTCACCCTCCCCCTTGTTCCGGTTCTACATGAGGACAATGATTCCATACGATCTCAACTCCGTCTCAAGACCTCCCAGAGCCCGATGGGATCGACCATGATGGTCCACCCGTCCGGATTCCCATCCATATTATTACTGTCCTCCCCCTGTGCACGGCCAGCGGCGACCGCCACACCGGACCATTTCTCCCCCTGATCACCCCTCTTGCACGCGGGATGGACGCTCGTCTCCTGCAGGCCCTGGTGCGTGCACATCTTGCCCAGCCCCACGAGCGCCAACTGGTTTCCACACCCCGTGGTCCAGGTGCGTCGCGCGATCAGCGTCACGTCCAGCCCCGCGAACTGGCACAGCAAGTCGCCCGGCCGCGCGTCCGTGCAGGCGAACCCGATCCGCGCGGGCTCGATGCCCGCCGAAGGGTTCGATTCGATGATGATTCGCGGCCTGCTCAAGGAGGGGTTGTGGTGCAGGCGCTTGTCGTGCGCGTGCAAGAGGATGTGTGGTATGGCGATAGGGATCGGGATAGGGATGGGGCTTGTGGAGTCTAGTGCGTCGGCGCTAGATTCGGTTCCTGCGACGGGGGCGGGAGGATTTGGAGATGGGGAAGAAGGAGGAGTAGAGGAAGTCGAGTAGTTGTACAAATGTGACATCTCTTCGCTGTGGGAGGCGGCGTGGATGACGTTCTCGATCAGATCCGCAGGGAGAGGCGCGCGGATGTAGGTTGTCCCTACCCCTATCCCCGTTCCCGTGCCTGTCCCGGGTGCCGAGGACGACGAAGTAGTTGTCGTTATCGTTGTCGAACTAGAGCTTTTCTGCGTTCTCCCGGTCGACGGTCTGGACGTCTTCTTCCGCACTTCATGCCCGACGTACTTCGCCCAGTCCACTTGCTCGAGCCGCTGACGCAAGTCGCGGATGCTGGTCCATCCGGGGAGGACTTCGTCGATGAAGTTGACGTAGTCCGGAACCAGCGGGAACGTCAGGTCGCGGAGTCTCCGCGTCAGCAGGCTGGCTCCCTGGTAATGATGGCCGGGCTTCTGTATGGCTTGCAACGCCATGTAGCTCTCCACGTCGGCCTGGGTGATGCCCAGTGCGCGCTGGGCCAGAAAGATGGCCTGCATGGGTGATCTCGACCGCGGCGGCAGTTGTGATGATGTCCGCTGCTGCATTAGATAGCTGAAGACCTCGAAGTAGACCTCAAGGATATGTTTTGAATAGTCCGGTTGCGGACCGCGATAAGAACCCGGCGGTGCCTCGGGATCGTCGCCGCAGTCGCCAGCGATGCCCAAGATGCCGTAGACCTTGTCGCGGCGCTCCGCGCACTTGGAGTCGTAGAACTCCAGAAGCAGGTCCTCGAGCGTCGACGCCGTGTGCGAAATGCGGCGCGACGTGAGCCGGAAGGGGATTGTTTGCGTGAACTGCTGCACGAAGGCCGGTATTGGAGGTGGCGCCGTCTGTGATTGTGAAGTGGTGATCGAGCGCACGGTGCGGACAATGTCCTCAAAGTCGACCCAGTCGAGATTGGCCGTGCCGCAGAGGACTTGGACCCGGCTCGCTCGGACAAACTCCTGAATAATCCAAGTACGCGTCCAGTATGTGCCCTTGCAGAGTTCGAGAAGGTTGGCCCAGCGCTGTTCGTAGGCGTCGACAAAGTACTTTGCGCTGAAAGCGGCTGCCGCCGACGACGCTGACGGGTCCGGCATCTTCTGATGCTGGTGTTTCCTGCAAAATGCGGCCATCTCGCTGATGAACTCCATACTCCGGGCCTGTCTCCTGTCCTCGGACGGCAGGCCCAGCCACACAAAGGTGAGGACGGCCTTCTCGTAGATCTCGGACATGCGCTGGACGTGGAAGTTCCGTTCCTCCAGATTCTCCTGGTCGATACATAGCGCGTCGACCCAGAGGAAGCGCGACTCCCCCCGCTGGCGCAGATGGTACAGCAAGTTCCACAGGTTCACCCGCACACGGAACGGACGCCCGTTGACCCGGATCTGCCGAGTGTATGTCTCCATCACCGCCGCCGCTGGGGGATTTGTGCTGCTGCGGTGGTGTCTAAGGTTGCTGGCATTCGGGTTGGGGCCCCAGGTATATGAGATGGCCGCGTAAGGGGGGCGCCGGTGGATGGCGTACTGGGTGATCCGGAGACTGATCACATCCTTCTTCGTACCGCCCTGGATCTGCAGGAGACGCATGAAGTTGCCGTATAGTTTGAGGCGCTCATGGCGGAACTCGTCAGTGAGGTTCATTTTCTTTTCTCTCTTTTCTTTTTCTTCTCGTTTGGTCCTTTCTTCTTCTTTTTTCCCTGCTTCCTGTCGACTGCTGTCGGTGGCTGTACTGATATTCAGAAACTCGTTAAAGGGTCGAAACCCATAGCATCCGTCTATAGAAACACCCGAAGCGTATGAATACGTCCGGTCAGACAGAAGAGCTGGTCCCAAAGCTCCAGTGGGAGTCCGTAAGCATCAAGGTTGGCAGTCCATTGGGGGCGACTATGCATGTAGATGTGTATAAATGTGATTGAGCGAGCAACATACGCTGATGGCACTGCGAGCAGCGGCGGCGTCTAAATCACCAACAACCAGATTAATGGCCTGGGATTCTATTTCTTCGACAGGTGACAATATTCAAGGGGTTGTATATTTCTCTGAAGGTTTTACAGAAACGTTTCAAGTTGGACGAGAATAAAAACAAGAACCTCGAGGCTCACGTGACCATGTTTGGGGTCTAATAGTTGAGCAATGGCAAGCAGAGAGTGAATCGAAACTCTTTCGGAATGTTTCGGGATTTCATTCATCTTTGTTCATATCTCATTCAAGGGCTCCTGCTGTTCATTTCGTCTCCGAGTCGCATTATCATCAGGCTGTCATGTCCATAGTGTCGTCCCCATCATCTCGCTTCTCGAGGGCATCAACCTGCATCTCGCCATCACCCTGTCCATTTGCACCAGCCCGGTTCCTACCAGCCAGCAACTCGCGCCGGACTTCCGGTCCAATGTCCTTATGGCCTCTGACCAGCAGCAAGTCTAGGAGCGCTTCTCGCTGATCCTCCGTAATTTCATTCCGATATGTCTGCGCAAATATCAAGAGGCTCTGATGCCACAAAACGGGCAATTTGGCTTCTTTGGATCCCAACGCCTCTTGATCCTGTCCTCTTGAGGCTCTAAATCGCAGGAAGTGAAACACTAGGCCGTCCACAACTTTATATGGCAGCGCATATTTCTTCGCAAGCAAGACGCGGATGAAAATGTTCGCGGCACCGGCGGCTTCGCTATTCACGTTTGCTGTTTGTTCAGCCGAGATCTCGCACAGCCGCAACAGCGCGGCGGCAGAATGGAGCACAGGGATCTTTATCTTGGCCAGCACGGACGAGATGATGTGCGCCTCACGCAGCGTACAACCTGACTGGACCAGCGGAAACAAGAACCCCTTGAAGAATGCAGAAGGTCGATAAAAGGCAGCTTTGAGGGCATTGTAGAGATGGACATTGAGTTTCTTGGTTTCTTGAATGTCCTCTCTTACGCGGTCGAGGAGGACAGTTTCGCAAAAGTGCTGTCCCGTGGCCGCCGGGGCCGAGATGAAAATCTTTGTCGCGCGGTAGACAGCGTGTGGAGTCCAATTCTCCGGTCTGGTGATGGAGAGAAGATCTGGCCATTGTGGCAGGGTTGGGAGGACTTTGAAAGGTTTAGGAAGAGGACCGGATTTGTACCGCGACAAGAGTTGGGCGACCTTTGTAAATGTGTCGACGACTTTCATGGGAATTTCCACAGCATCTTCCATGGGGCCGCCGCCTATGAATGGTTGGGGCTGTTCAGCGGAGCGAGGTGCTTCCAACGCCTCTTTCTCAGCGATACGTTGCAGAATCAGGTCCGCAAGATTCGTCGATGGACCTTCGCCTTCCTCTTCTTCCTCCGCTTCCCCATCAGCTCGTGGTGGCTGCTTTCTGTGCCTCTCATTTGATACCAATTTGTCTCCCGTGGTTAGACTTGCTATTGATGGTGCAAAGTCGGCCAGTTCTTCGCCGTCTTGAAGGAACCTTTTGTATACCGCCATCTCCTCCGGATCCATGTCGTCTTCGGGAGCTACTGCGTCGTCGTCTTCCGGTATCCATTCCTCCTCGTCATCAAACCGATTCTGCACTTCCGCTTTTCCGTTCTCTTCCTCGTCGTCTCCAGCAAACCTGGAGTCGAAGCCGAATGCCCCATTCGTGGGGGATGTGAAATTTGAGCCGGTTGCCCGACTTTCTGCTGCGTCTTCATCTGCAAGGTCTTGAGATATTGCTAGAATCTTTCGCGAGGATCGAGAATCAACGTAGCCGTCGCCTTGTGTGTGTTCATCCGACCTTGACTTCCTCTTTCCCGTGATTGATTTGGTTCGAAGTCTACCACCAGAGGCAGTGATGTCGTCTTCGAGAGGAACATGTCGGCGAGTTGTAGCTGATTTGGACATTTTGATGAGCCTCACTGGTGTACCTTCAAAGGGCAGGGATAGGGATTGGCGAGGTCGAAGACGCGGTGCAGACTGTGGTCGGGCACAAATGCACGAAAACAAAAAATTATTTTGATGCTGGCAGATCATGGTGCGGACGGGAAATTTTACGCGGGGTTGCGATTAGTCATCCTCGGTAAATATTGCAGCATTCAGCGTTCCTCTATATCCATACTGGGTACCGAGTACTTCTTGCGCAATACAACCTCACCGCAAGATAGCGAACAGTTCTCGATCATCATAGAGTAAAATCAATTCTTACGGCAGCTTCCGTGCAGTACTAAATGGACAGAAGCCGCAGATGTTGCTATTGTCCTTGGCGCAGTAGGTCGTCCACAACAAAGCTGGTGATGATCTCTCTACGCGAGAATCCATCATGACCGTCTCAGTCTGAGACGAAGTATTCGATCTGGAGATTGTCCCAGAGGCGAGCAGTTTTCTAAGACCAGACAATAGCGGAGACAGTGAGCTCTTTAACGGGCTTTGCTGAGTTGAGACATCAGAGGCTTCAACACGATGGTCCCGACTCGTCTTCAACACAATGAACCAGGCTGCTATTACTTTCAACCCCGGTGAGCCAAAGTGAATCAAGTTTGATCCCGCCATGCCTCCAAGGATTTCGGCGCATCCGGATCTCTCAGCCGGAAAGTCAGATTTCAAGTATGTCTCCCTTCAGCCGTCCTCCGAAGCGAAATCGATATTTGGATGCTTCACAGGGTAAGTATGATCATATGGGATAAAGCAGCAGCTCGGCCAAGTCATTGTAGTCACCCTGACTGTCCAAACAATTGGGCGTCCCACACGGCGGTGAGAACTATCCTTTGGAGGGCGACATCAACCGCATATAACGCACATCCTCTTGGGGAAGTCACGTCCGAGCTTCCAATAACAACGAAGTTCCACCGACCTGTGTAAATGAGTATTGGTTTATACGAAATGTCAGTCACCCAGCAACCAAGGCGATTGACATACAATTTCCACAGGGACTCGACGGCGAGAGGACGGCAATTGGAAGAGGCCCTGGCAACAGAAGAGGTTCGCTCACCGCTAACCCGCTATCGACGCCGTTGGAGGCATGGGTTAAGCGAGAGACTCAGGAGTAACGGTGGTACAAGGTTCGAGGGCACATGGTCAGATTGGCAATGCGGCCAAGCCGAGGATATACCCACGGCTAAGGTGGGATGGGCACAGGCCAGGAGGAGGGGGGAGAGAGCGTGTGGAGGAGGATGTGGGTTCGCACATCGGTCTGTATCGGTTCGTGGTTGACGTGCAGATGGACGGAGATCAGGAGGAAGTGAGATGATGGCGTTCAGACAAATGCCAAATGGCTGAAGAGAGAGATGCCGGCGTCCGCAGTCAGAAGTTCGGCGACTGTCAATCAAACAATGCCAACGAACGACTTGGGATCGACCATGCTTGTGGATCACCGTGGTGTTTGTGTTGTGTTGTGTTGTGTTTTCTTTTTTTTTTTTCTTCCCTCCTATCCTTTTATTTTTCATGTGCAGAAGAAGGATGCACGGTGCCGTACCTCGCTCGGTTTCAGGTCTAAGATCGCTCTGCAGGGTCGAGAGATGATTGGTGACATGCAAGAGCTGGGAGGAACGGGAACGGTTGATCTGAAGAAGGTCTGGATTTGGCCAGAGGCCTTTTTATCTCGGGGGCGCGTGGACGCAGCAGCAATAGCAGTCACCGGAGCGCGAACTAGCCCCAACGGCCTTTTGACTAAGCTTAACCTTAACTACCTAGGTACCTACTTGTTAGACTCCAGGGGGGGGGCTAGCGCTGTCTGGCTACTCTCTTAACTAACCCGGCAAACTCCGGGCCTGTGTGGTGCCTGTAGGGTGTCTTCCCATTGCACGCGGCGCAGCTTCCTCCAGCGCCGATTCACTGGCTTGAGGCTTAATAATTTGTTAGTCGTGGTTATCAAGTCGTGCAATTGACTTGTTTCCCTCCAACCAGCCGCCGCCATTTGCGGTTTCCCTGCGAAATGCGCTTTTGGCAGGTCTTTTCCCTTCGCCCTTTCGCATTGCATATTCGCGTCTGCGTTTGCAACCCTAATCAATGATGGATGATTAATTACCTAACGAGCTATGTACCTACCTCGTACCTAGTAGCTTTTTCTTGCTCCCTGGCTGCTCTGGAAAACAGATCCCCTCTCCCCCCCTGTCCAACAGATCTCCCATACGAGTACAGTACCGAGTATAGAACCCCGTATTCGTTGTGAGGAGGAGAGGAATAATAAGGATCATCATCTGATGCCTGCATCAACCATCAACTATCAGCCATCAAGTATCCTCTTGGCCCCTTCGATTCCTCCGTCTTGTCTCCTTCTCTTTCTCCTTTTCCTTTTCCTTTCCCCTCTTTACTCGTAAGCGCCATTACTTGCATCCTTCATTGCCTATCAACCACCCGAGTACGAGGTACCGCGTCTTCATTCCTGTCGCCGCCACCGCCGCCGTCCTTCTCCCATCTGCCATCCTCGTCCCATCTCACCCCCTGGTCACCCGCAATCCCTGCCTGACACAAATCCGGCCCCTCCGTATCCAGCAAGGAAACGAAACTCTGATCAAATCCACATTATTCATCCCTCTGTTGCCTCCTCGTCGGATACCGAGCATTGTCCACTGCTGCTCTGGAATCGATCACTTCTCCCCTCCCTCCTCCTCCTCCTCCTCCTCCACCACCACCATCTCTCGCCAATCCCACCCCGATCTCTAGGTTAAATCCTCTTAAACCCTTGGTGCTGTCAGTTTTACCGGCAGTCCCGTCCTCGCCGTGATCGTCCGGTCTCAAAAGGCGCATTCGCAATCATCCCAAAAAGAAAAAGCATATCTCACCAATTAATTTCCAGGCCCGTGTCGTGGCCAACCCTTCTTTTCTCACAGTTCCGCTCTCCTTCCTCTTCCTCGTTGTCGCAACGTTTCAAAGTCGACTGCGAACACCCCCTGGCTCTATATAACACACTCAACCGAGTCGACCATCTCACAGCTAAATGCGCTTTAGTCGCGGTTACCTTAACAACCCTTGTACGCCCCCCGCGATCGCATTTTCTTCTGCCGGCAGTCCGCGAAGCCCCCTAAACAGCGCTGTGAACCTCCTCCCTTTTTCAGACATCTCTTCTAGAAAGCGCATCCTCCGTTCCCGAGAGCCGCAATCATCTTCCCATCCATCTTGCCATCTCCAACTTCAGACCTTCCCACCTCCAACTCTTGTCCACCCTCCATCCTGCAAAACACCCCCCCCCCCTTTGGCAGCCATACATTCCGATCCGACATCCCAACCAGCTCACGTCAATAACTGTTTATCGACTCGGCAACCCTTCGTGAAACATCCCCTGGCTCCCGAAATTCACCTGTGCCCATCTGCTAGACCGCCAGCCTCGAGAGAGTATCGACCCACGGCCACCACCACAGCCAGCGCCCTCCCATTACCTTCTCTACCTCCTCCCCCTCCTCCTCCTCCAATGTGTGGACCGCTCCACACTCGGTGCAAGATATTGATGCCTTGCATGACTTCAAAATAGGACCTCCGTCAACGTCCACACGCGCGCCGCCTTTTCCACTCGGCCTCTCGACGCCACGGAAGACCGGTGCTTAAAGAAGCATCATGAGTACCCTTTTTCAACCCGCTCTCAGAAATCCTTTCGGCTCTCCTATCGAACCTTCACCGAGACCTCGATCAATGGCTATTCTGCCTCAAAGCGCCACTAATAATCACCCCTCGCCGAAGTCGACCCAGGAAGACTCCATCATGACCTCTCCCGCACCCCCGAACATGGGACCTCCAGGGGCAGGAGGGAGTCCCGAGGTGGAACAAGGACAGAGCAACAGTATCTCGAATGGGAATCGGGAACATGTCTCCCTGGGTGCAAATAGCAGTACCGCGGCGGGCGCTGTGGGAGCTTCTCAGGGACCAAAAGTGGTGCAAACAGCTTTCATCCACAAGCTATACAGTATGCTGGAGGATAAGAGCATTCAACACCTCATTTCCTGGTCCAACACCAACGAGAGTTTTGTCATGTCCCCGTCGAACGAATTTTCAAAGGTCCTGGCCCAGTACTTTAAACACACAAACATCTCCTCCTTTGTCCGGCAGTTGAACATGTATGGCTTTCACAAGGTCAGCGATGTTTTCCACACCGGATCTCCCGAATCCGCCCTTTGGGAGTTCAAGCACGGAAACGGCAACTTCAAGAAAGGCGACCTGATGGGACTGCGGGAAATCAAAAGGCGCGCTTCGCGACACACATTGATACATCGAGACTCATTCTCCAATGCCAAACCAGGCGTGTCTCAACCCGGGACCCCAGCCGAGGTCATGCCGGACGCGGACCAGCGTCTTGCGGGCCTCGAACAGGCCTTCTATGATGTGCACGCCAGATTACAAAGGACCGAAGACAACTACGCACTGATGAGCTCGAGATGTCAAGCACTGACCGAAGGACTGGTTCGATGCCATCAATGGATCCACAATCTCACGAGCGCCGTCCAGACAATGTCATCCCCTGAATCAGCACTGTATGCCGATATCGCCGGGTTGCAAAAGGAGATCGCCCGCCAGCTCGAATACGTACGCGCTCTGGAGGCTCCCCAAGACTCATTGCAAAATGGGAGACAGCCGTTCTATCCCGGCGGTTCCACGCTGGAACCGCCGCTTTCTCCACGGGGATTTAATTATCCAGACAGCCGAAGATCCTCCATCCAGATCGAGTCGCAACATGTGGGATTACGTCCTCCTGTCCCGCCGATACCACCTCAATTTTCTTCCTCCTCCCCGCGGCGCTTTGGGTCGATCAGCATCCCACATGTCTCTCCCGGATTCAGTCGTCCGGCCCTCCCAACACAGCCGCCGCCGGGCGTGCATCCATTGGCATCGGTGGTGACACCGCCACCGCTGAACTTGGCCCGGAGGCACACGTCAGCTGATATTCGAGAACACGGCTGGCCGCCTGCCAATGGCAATGGGAATGGGAATGGTTCCCCTTATGCTTCTGGACAATCATCTGTACAGTGGCAGCCGTCTTCACCACAGCAGCCCCCTCAGGCTGCCGGGGACCAACAAATTCGTGATCAACTGGCTCAATACGAGATCAACGGTCCGAAAAGGACCCCCGCGGTGAACCAGCCGAGCCAGCCGACACCGCCACTCACCTCCAGCTCCGAGGCTCCGCCTACGGGCCTCGGGGTCGAAAACGTGCCATGGCCATTGGGAGGGAGCAAATTTCCGCGCCCAAACTTCGAGCTGCATTCCGCCCCGGCCACGCGGAGAGGCAGTATGGCGACCTTGCACTCGTTGCTGAACCCCGCTGAGACCGCAGAGCAAGAGAACGAAGATGAAGGGCCTGGTCAAGGTCGAGATGACGACCGGAAACGGAAACGACTGACATGACTTGAAAAAAAGTTGCCATTTTCTTTCACTCGCCTGGATCACTCTCTATCGGAGCTCGGGGTTAAAAAAATTCGGCTGGACAATTGAATGAAAGGCGATATGTTCACATACCGGGTCCTTACGCTGTACATACCGACCAGGAAAATGGATGGTAATTGATCGGAGTCCATATTTGACCGGGAGTTTGGAAAGACGCTCGTTTGGCTTAGCGAGATGGTTGTGGAATACATTCTGGCGGCCTTTTCATCGGCGCTGCACATTTCAAACAGTAGAGATCGGGAGCTTGAAATAGTTTCTGAGGCACGGACGATTGAGAGCGTGACAAGCAGCTTCAGGATCTCAAGTCATTTTTATCAGATGGTCGAAAGTTGTCTGGGAGCGCTCTCAACCAGTTCGCTGGTGTGCTTTCGGCTGAGCGCCCGGAAGCTCTCCAGGGCTGGTGAAGCACAATGAGACTGCCCCGGATATCTGCTCGCATTTGCAGGGGGGGACGTCGACGTTGGAACTGAGGTGATATACTAAAGTCCGAATCCGGGGCTTCACAATGCAGATACGATCTCTCGAGCGCTTGTCGTATTTCGTTACCCCGGTTTGGTCTCAACCAGGCCCGTTCCTTTTCCCTTATTCTTGTTTTTCTTCTTTTGTTTCTTCGCGGCTCGAGAGGCGAGGAGCTCGTCTAGGTAACTGCCAGTTCCACGTTTTTTGTTTGCTTTCGATTGCGCCACATGGACCATATCGGGTTCAGTAACAGGGTCAGCGCGATCAGGTTCTGCAACTGCTACGTGCGACCCATTGGGAGCAGAGTTGGCGCCAACCTCTCCATGCGAATGTGCTGTTTTCCCCGCGTGGTCTATTTGCCGTTGCGCTTTCATAGCCTCGCCACTCCTGGACGCTACTTGCCGCAGATTTGTGGCATTCCTCTTCCCCTTGCCGAGGCCCGAGCGGGATTCTTCCTCGTCCGAATCTCCCTCGCGATTTACACGTCTCGGTGCCCGTAGCGGTGGTCTCGGTCGGGCGGTCGTTGCACTGTGAGTACCTGCATTGCCATTGGCGACTCGCCCACGATGGTGACTGGGGAGCAACTGCCTCCTCAAAAAAGCCACCGCTGGATCGGTGGCGGCGGATCCGGGCGTTGAGGTCGATTCTGTGGTGGTGGCGGCGCGATATCCCACCCCCGCTGTCTCGGAGTACACGTCTTTATTCCGCAAAAACTCCCTTTCGAGATCTTGTTCTTCTTTGTCCTTGTCGTAGTCTTCGTCTTCATCTTGCCCATCGTCATTTGCGGGCGCGGCGCGGAGCCATGATTTCGCCAGCTGCGCGGCCTCGGCGTGCAAGAGGAGGGCCGTGTTTGTAGCGATATCAGCTTCCGATGCACCTGTTGTTGCTTTGGCTTTCATTCTCGACGGTGCGGCGGCGCCTTTCGAAAGGGCCATTGGGGCGTCTCTCTCTCTCTCTCTCTCTCTCTCTCTGTGTGTGTGTGTGTGTGTGTGTGTGCCGTCGGTGTCGGATGTTTATACACTAGGTGAAATGTTAGCTTTGCGGATGGCGGATGCGGGATGTTGGAGAGGGCGCAGAACGCGGAAGGTGAACCGATGTGTTTTGGGGGAATCAGCCTTGTCAACCTTGTCAACTTTGCGCCTTCTCTTTTGAAGCTAACAGTACCTCGAATTCAGGCTCAACTGCAAATACTATGAAATATATCGTTCGGTGGTACAATGACTATCGCAGTGAAAGAAAGGATTCTCCTGGATCTGAGACAGTGGCAAGCTCTAGATTTCAACAGGCTAGGCTGCGGAGGCACCAGAGTGCTCTTCCTCGGTCACGGATGACCATGTCGACTCGCTTGACCTGGCTAAGCTTCGTATGGTGATCCAGGAGGCAGATCTTTTTGGCTAGGAGCTGCTCCCTTGGAACCAAGAAAGGATTGGAGAGAATATTCGTCGGTCAGCGAATGCCTCCGGGTGGATGTCACCTTCGCTGCGAGGACAACATATATCATTCCGGCCGCGATGAAAGCAATGGACATCGTGCAACTCCGCGAAGTGACAGTTGAGTACCGGAGTTTGTTTCCCTTCTGTGGTCCAACAGTTAATCCATGTCAACACTGATCGATGAGGCAATCTCGTGGTCGGATAGGAAATGATATCGAGTTCCTCTTAACGACAAACATCCCCCAGCAAGACCGGACCACCCATCCAACTACCTCGTAACCTTGAGCCCAACTTCGACAACCTCGCACTGAATCTCATAATACCTTCTCACAGCCTCCATAGCGCAATCACCGAGTCTTATTAGATCGTCTGTAGCTGCTCTGACAACTCTGACGACTCTCGCGTTCTGGTTTGGCAAGCTGCTGAACATCAAGCAGCCGTACATGATCGAGATAGGCATGCCATCGGACTAACTAGCTTAAAGAGAGAGCTTAATAAGAAGGAAGCAAGAAGAGTCGACGTTTGACCATGTGTCTCGACAAACCTGCCTCAACCAGAAAGGAGGCGGACAAAAGGCCCAATATGGGTGATCGGTGTGGGTGGGAAAGACAAACCCCAGGCACGCCCGTTGAAGCTGAAATGCCATTGGCGCGTGTTGGACCGACAGGCTTGATCATTGCTCTCAATCTAGCTCCTGGCAGGTCGACCACGGCAGGCACAGCAACGCTGAGGTAGCATTGGCTAATGCACAAGATGACATGGTACTCATGGACCCTATGAGAGCCTGGGGATCCTTCCTACAACCCAGGGTCAGGGACCCAGGTACCGCGGGAACAGACCTGTGAGAAGAGATACCGGCAGACAACATAAAAGGAACCAAAGGTACAAGTCAAGCACCCCACTGGACGTACTTCCGTCTCTGCCTACATTCTTGTCTGTTCGATCCGCCAATATGGTTTGCCTGGCAACCCCTTTGCTGCTCAGCAGCGCTTTCACTGCTGTCTCGGCCTACATCCAATATTCAACTGTGACCGGCTACTTCCTCCAAGATGACAATTCGACCAATGCCACCACCTTTGACTATGTAAGTGGAGAGCAAAGATAGCAACGTCTGAAAGAAATGGAAGAGAGAGAGAGAGAGAGAGAAACAAAGAAACAAGTCCTCCTAATACTCGTTCCTGTCTAGACTGCCACCAACTTCGGCCTCATCAACCAGAGCTACCCAACCGACCCCTCCAACGCCGCCTCGCTGACCCAGTGGCAAAGGTTTGCCCTGGTCATTGCTAATCTGACCAAGTCTGCTCCCTCAAATGTCCAATTTAAGCTGCTTTTCATGGGCCGACACGGCGAGGGCTGGCATAATGCCGCCGAATCTTACTACGGTACTCCCGCTTGGAACTGCTACTGGTCCCTTCTCGACGGCAATGCGACAGCCACATGGTCCGACGCCCACTTGACCAACAATGGGATTGCTCAGGCCCTTGTCGCCAACAAGTTCTGGCTGTCTCGTATTCAGGAACAGAAGATCCCGACGCCGCAAAAGTACTACGTCTCGCCCTTGTACCGATGCCTGTCCACGGCGAACCTCACATTCTCCGGCCTCCCGTTACCTCCAAACGAACCGTTCATCCCCACGGTCAAGGCACTACTCAGAGAGTCCATCTCCGAACACACTTGCGACCGCCGCTCCAACAAGACATACATCCACTCTCAGTTTCCCACGTACAAATTCGAGCCTGGTTTCCCAGAGACCGATCAACTCTGGACCGGCGTCACCGCCGAGACCAACTCCGCTCAAGACGCAAGATCAAAGACATTGCTCGACAACATCTTCTCAACTGACGACTCTACTTACCTGTCCTTTACCTCGCACTCCGGAGAGATTGGCTCCATTCTGAGAGTCCTCGGGCATAGGACCTTCTCGCTGAATACTGGCGCCGTGATTCCTGTGCTGGTGAAGGCCCAGAAAGTTGCCGGACTCAGCACGATTTCGACGCAGGCTTGGACCCCCAGCCCACACTGCACCGTGCCGCCTGTCACCAGTGTCAGCACGGGCACCAATGGCGGCTGTGTGTGTCCGAACAGTGCGGCGCCAGTGACGACGACGTTGCCCCCATTTGCGGTGAGCACTTGATTTGGGCATCCTGCAAGGCTTACACGCCATCTGAAGCGCTGCTTAATTGGATTCAGCGAGTTGCTATAGACGGTGGTCTAGAAGACAGATCAGACAGGGACAGAGAGACCGCACGCGAGGAGTAGCACCACCAGTCCATGTTGTGTAGTAGATAATTATCCGATTAGGAGTCCTAATATATCTGCACTCGGCTTCTGCCCTGATATCAATTCGCTCGTGACCAGCCCCGTCCCCAGACTCAAACTGATTCCCCACGGGCCGTGCCCAGATGCTAGCCAGACGCCGCCACCGCCGGGCCGCACGCCGAGGTAGTGCTCCGGTATCTTTCCGAGCACTGGGGTCCCTCTCTTACTGACGGGGCGGAAACAGAGTCCTTCCCTGACCGTCTCGAGATCGTCGTGGTTGGCTTGGTCGCCTTCCTTCGCCAGGCCCGCCAGCTGCACGGTCATCTTGCGAAGGGACTTGATGCTCTCCGGATCGATCATGGCTTTTACGTCGCTCGCCAGTTCCGGCAGCGGGAGCGAACTGTCGTTCAGCCCGCCCAGCCAGATCTCCGTCTCGCCGTTGCGCGCCAGTCGCGCGAATGCTTCCGGCGCATACGACCAGTGGCGGCCGGGGGCGCAGTATATCGAGTAGCAGCGCCAGTCGTCGCTGGCTCCGCCTATGCGGCGCTTTGTAGGATTGACGAAGGGCGTCTTGTACCGCGGCGACCGGACCACAATGCTGTGCCCGGCCAACGGCTCGACGGGAATCAGCAGCTTGCTTTGGGGGAAGAGCGCCTTGAAGACCCTCGGTGTCCATGCGCCCGCGGATATGAGGACGTCCTTGCACTCGAGCTCGAGTTCTCCGGCCCCGGCCTCACCGGCGTTGTTTGTGGACTGCAATCGGAGCCCCTTCAGAACCCCGTTGTCGTCGGTGATGATTCCGGTTGCCTTGGTCGAGAGATGGACCTCGACTCCTCGCTTCGTGCACTCGTCAAGGAGGAACTCGCACAGCTCTCGCGGCTCGACCTGCGCGCAGTTTTCCGGGCCTGAAATCGTCTCGAGCGTCCCGCCCGCCTGCGGAGTCCATACAGCAGGGGATCCATCAGGATTGAGCACCTCGCCCTCCCCACCACCATCCCCACCACCGGCGTCGCGACGCCCGTTCGCTTCAGGGTTCGACCCCGCCGACTCGGCCCGACTCGTCCCTTCACGCAACCAGTCATCCTTCCTCTCTTGCTTGCCTGTCGACTTCCCCGCGACGCCACGCTCATCGATGCTCAGGTTGTACGTGTGGCTCCCCGCGTACCCCCACCTGCGCGGGCCATTATGCTTCTCGGCCAGCTCGCGATGCAAGCGGAACGAGAGCGCGCCCAGCGATGCCACGGACGGGCTGAACCAGTCTGCCGCGAGGAATCCTCCGGCGAAACCACTCGCCGAGGCGAGCAGTGCGGGCGCGGAGTCGACGATGTGGATTGCTGGTGACGGGCCTCGCGCCAGCGAGAGGTAATAGGCCGTCGAGAGGCCGATGATGCCTCCGCCCAGAATTACAGTGGACATTTTGTCTTGATAGCCCAGTATTGTATATCGGATGGGTCTCTCTATATCGGATATAGGACGCAATAATGGAAGGAGGGAGAGGAAGAGGATGGAGTTTGCAACAACAGCGGTGATATCATGTTGTTTGTCCCATGTGCTGCTGCTACACGAATCCTATCCGTTGCCGTGTATTATCGCAGTTCTCCGCGTCCTTCGTGGCGGGCCATGCCACTTCGGACATGGCATTTTCTAAACTGGCCGCTTCTATTGGATGCAAGCAGCAAAGATTTCTGAGAGATGTTGTTCGCCTCTGCACTCTCCACACATCGCACCGTCTATCAGTAGCCGTCAGGGAAACAGGGGGAAAGAGATTGTGGGCTGGAGGTTCAAAGCGTGGAGATGTAGCTACATCAAGCTAATGGATAATGTGTGTCTACACAGAATTGTGATGTCCAAGCGACATGAGCTTAAAGAATGCGAGCAACAAGCAACAACCTCGACCGGTAACGATACATACTGTACAGTGCTGTTCAACGGTATCTCAGACATCGTACAGTATTGATTACTGGAATCGTTGGCGGTATAGTCTGCGAGTCTCACGAAATAGTGGTTCACAATACTGTTTCGCGCCTTGTTGGGCTTCTCCATCTGACTGGGTTCTAACCATGTCTCTACCGCAAAAGACTTTCAATGCATGGCCTTTGCCGGTGGACACCTGACAGGTACAACGTACAGGCCATGTAACCCTGCTTAGATGGTTCACTTCTCAGTCCCTGTCTAGGGCCACCCGAGCTCTCTCCTGTAGAGACAGTGGGACCAGCTTTGATGGAGAGTCAGGCGCTTCTCCATGGATAAGGAGCTTGAGCCTTGAGCTGCACTGTTTTGGATTTGTCGGGTGAGTGATACCGGTTACAACCACTATGTGCCTTGGCCCCCGGCCTTCAGTTTTCCTCCCTTCGCTCCTCCGTCCGCACTCAGGCACTGCCATCTGTACCAGTCGCACATCCAGCAATTGCTCACATCAGCGACAGCAAGAACAGCTGCGTTGCTCGTGGGCCATTAATTTGGCCACTATACACCTGTCGTCACGCGCCACAGTATATATGGGAGCGGTACTATCATGGCAAACTCGAAAATTCGCGGCAACAGGAGGGTACAGGAGGGTACAGGAGGGCGCATTTAGCCAAGGACAGATTCATACCCGCGCCTTCTTGCGCTGGTACAGACGACTGCACCGACTTCATCTCTTTTTTTTTCCAAGCTCTGAGACTTCTTCCGATGTTGTCATACCCATCATTTGTCTGAACTTCTTGAGCGATCCCAGAGTTAGGGGCTTCGTCAATCCGCCGGCGATCATTCCTGTTGTTGGCACAAATGATTAACGAATTGTCCCGTTCACATTCGCAAGCACCGCAGTAATGTCACGGGAATGTGGCACGTAATATCGCAAAGCCTTGTTATTCGCTGCTGCTGTCTTGACCATATACCGAGATGAGGTGCTTAAAGAGAGCGACACGAGCTAGTTCTATTTAATTGCGACAAAAGAACGTTGTAGCTCGCGGATGGAATTCAACACCCGCCTCGTGTTCATCAGCTCCACCCCAAAGAGTTCTTCCAAGCAGAGCAGCAGGTGCGAGTAGCCAAGACATCGATACCTTTTGGCTCATGCGGCTCGGCCTGGTCCTCGGATAAAGAACAGAAATAGACATCTTTGCAGAAGGAAGAAAAGGCTGCGGGGACCGTTGTTTAGTCAACACACTGGCTGTAGCGCGGGGAAAGTTGACCTAGCCAGAGTTGGCGGTCTATACCGAGTATACCCACCATTCCACACCAATACATCATGAACGTGCCTTCAAACCGCTGAGATCATCTCCTCAAGTTGCTGTCCGGGAGAACATCTGGGAGATACCGAGGCCCGGTTTCTGGATTTGTTCCCGTCGACCTTTAACAATGCGTCTAGTCCTCATTCTTGAAACTGGAAACTTCAACAACAATTCAATTTTAAACCCAACCAGTCTTATATCTTCCCACAATGTCACCTGCATCTCGACCCAAAGCCCTTCTCTTTGACATTGGGGGTGTTTGTGTCGCATCTCCTCTCAAAGCGATTCTCGACTTTGAACAGTCTCAGCGCATACCTGTTGGCTGGATCAATTACGCAATCGGGGCAAAGTCGCCATCGGGCCCTTGGCAGACCATTGAGCGGGGAGAGGCACCGCTAGATGCTGCCTGGTTTGCATGGTTCAAGAACGACCTTGAGGATCCTTTGCTATGGGAAGAATTCCATACGAAGTTGAATCGTGGATCAGGGTCTGTCCCACCCGTCCCGAGCATTGACGCCCAGACTCTGTTCTGGTATATGATGGGAATTGTACGCAATCGAGATGAGCAAATGTTTTCGGCGCTGCAGAGGCTGAGGGCGTCTCAAAAATTCGTTCTGGCGGCGCTGTCCAATAATGTCACCTTTCCTAAAAGTCACCCGTACAACGATCTCACACCTGCGCTGGCGGATCTGATGTCACAATTCGATGCTGTCATCTTGTCTGCGACTGTCGGTCTGAGAAAGCCAGAGCCGAAAATTTTCGAGATTGCAGTACAGCAAATAGACGCAATTGATAAGGAAAGGAGCGGAAAGGGTGTGAGTCCGGAAGAGATCTTGTTTTTGGACGACATCGGAGAGAATTTGAAGACTGCGACGCAACTTGGATTTAAGACGATCAAAGTTCGGCCGGGAAAGATCGAGAATGCAGTGAAGGAGCTGGAGGAAGCTACGGGAGAGAGTCTTGTGGATAAAAAACAGGCAAAGCTATAGACAATTGAATTTCTATGCAAACAGATGTGAACGTCGAGTAGAGATCCAGAACGCAGCGATTCAACGTGCAGTTGATATAAACCCTCATTGATACCTACTTTGGTGGTGCATTCTGTAGGAATGGGATTCAACAGGTGGAATTGGCTCTGAGGGGCACTCTAGGGAATGCCTCCGTTCTGAGGATCTATATTGCTATCTGATGTAGAATATTTACGGCAGGCAACAGAATGTTGCCTGTTGCAATGCTGTTGATACCGGTTCGTGGCGCAGGCATTGCTAGGCATTGGTTCCATAGCACGACTGTTCCTGAGGCACAAGGCTTTACAAGATGGACGTGCCGATGAGGTGCCTAAGAGTGGGAAAAGCGATTAGGAAGACTAAAGCGCTAAGTGGGCTGCCCAGTAACACTTTCTCTTGCAATACGGCAAAGTCGGGTGCAGACAAGCCGTTATGCGCTAGCCAAGTTAACGTCCTCACCGCCTTGATACCGACTTTTCAATAATGGCCGCCGTGATAGTCATGGCACAGGCAACAACTATGACCGGTCTCTTAACCGGTAAGGTATCTATTGTCAGTGTTCTTATCGTGTTGAAATAGCTTAGCCTTCTATAGAGGAATACGTCAAAGTTTTGGGTCTTGTCATCTTCTTTGAAAACTCGAAGTTTCAGCAAAAACCTCAGCAGGGGGTGTTGAGACGAAAGTATCCGGCCGCGGTCCACCGATGTCGATCGAAGCAAACTCTGAGGGAAAGAACGTACCGCCGTCCCCAAAGCCAATGATGATATTGATGATGGAAGAGGAAAGAGAGGGCCCCCAGGGGGCTTTGGACCAAATTGATGACCTATTTGAAGAGACTCGACCATGGTGGACTGATATTGTGATTCAAACAAATCTTTGACGCCCACTTCGATAGTCCCGGACGCTGCGAACGTATCAGCGAGTCATGTTTTCATCGACACCACTTCTCCTGGTTTACGGTGCATGAGAAGATGACCAGCGACGATGGGGTGTGCGCCGACCAATCCCCCGCAAAATGCTCCCGACGAGGTGATGCGTTGCAAAAATATCCAGTGTGGTACGTTATACCTAGCTACTATAAGTATTGTTAATCTCATTACCCTGTGCGGAAAAAGAAAAAAATGAAGAGGAATCGTATTGGGCAGAAGTGGAAGAAAATACAATAACCGGAGGACCAGAATTTCGAGAACCAGGAGAGCCCCACATTCATTGATATCGTGAATTGCCCATAAGTATACAGCTAATTTCCAAGGCCAAGTGGGGTTTCACGATTCGGCAAATTCTAGGATTGGTTAGTTGGCTGTGCCTTACCCACATGCATATTGTGTAAGGGGTCTTTAACTCTTGGGACAGGCACTAGGTCATATGGTCTATTTTCTGGAGGAGCTAGGTATGTAATCACGGAGTTAACACAAGCTCAAAGTCAAGAGGAGGGGTTAAAATCTCCCTTGGCCCGAGGGACGTTCAATTAACGAAGCCAGGGGCGCGCACAGGGCCCTTAACTGGCCGGGTTCCTGGCATCTTTCAGCCCGGGGGGGTGCTGTCGCGGCTGCTAACCTAAGTCGTGCACGTAGCCAGGCCAGCTCCTTTTTGCTTCGGCCCGTCAAAGCGTGATAGGCGCTCATTGCTGGCGACGTGAAGAAGAAGAAGAAGAAAAAGAAGAAGAAGAAGAAGAAGAAGAAGAAGAAGAAGAAGAAGAAGAAGAAGAAGAAGAAGAAGAAGAAGAAGAAGAAGAAGAGAGACTTAGCAGTAGCGATGTGTTGGAAGACTAGTCATTCCAACCAGTACGACTTGTACATTGTCCTTTGATGGTGCAATCTGCATATATACTGGGTACTACCGATATTTTCTCAAATATACTTTTCGGATTACCCTACTACAACCAGAGTATCTGTGCTTGCTTCTTCCCCTGGAAGCTATTTCGCGGCAAAGGCGAGCACCATAGCATCGCGGGCGGCGTCCAGATCTTGCACTGGAGCCTTGTTTGATAGGTCCAAGATGGATGCCACGGACGCCCGTAGCTCTGCTCGGACCTTGGGCCAGTCTACATTCGTCAATTTACCTTGAGACTTGACGATTTCTCCGTTGACGAAGACCGTGTCGATATCGGAGCCATTGGCGTAAAGCACCAGCGCCCCTACGGGATCGAGGACTGGAACCAGTCTGGTCGAGTCGCATCTGACGATCAACACATCTGCCCTCTTGCCCGGAGTAATGCTGCCGATATACTTCTCCAGCCCGACCGCTCTGGCGCCGCCCATGGTAGCCATTTCCAGGACCTCCGCACATTTCCGTGTCATTCGTAGAGGAGGCCCGGAGACTTTCTCCTGGTCAACGCATCTTTGGGCCTGAAGCAAGAGGCGCATTTGCTGGAACATGTCGGCGGGACAGTTCGAGCAGATGTCCACCCCAAGAGCAGCTGAACATCCAAATTCCCGCGCTTTGAATGCAATGGGATGGCCGCCTCCCATCTGCATCTCGATATCTGGCGTCGTGGACAGTCCCATGCCATTCCTTTGCACGGCCTGCAACTCGTCATCCTGCAAGGAATTGGCATGACTCCATAGCAGATCTGGGCCGAGCAGGCCTCTCCGGTCGAGCTGGCGGGTTGTGAAATGGCCCGAGTCGTATTTCCCAAGAGCGACATGGGCGGTAATTACCGCGGCGCCTAGAGATCTTGCCACTTCGATCTCGTGCACCAGTTGGTCGAACGGGACTACTTCAGCCTCTGCCGGCGCGACACCAAAGCGTAAGAGCTCTTGAGGTCCGTTTGATGGGAAGTGCATTTGTCGAACGCGTTTAGCATCCTCCAATCTCCACTCAGGCGTCGTCTCTTCTCTCGTTTTGTCCGTGTTAGAACCCTCCCAAGCTGGGTTTGGATAAAAGCCATAGCAGAAGGTTCCTCGGATTCTGGCATCTTTGAGGCCTTTGACCGCCGCATCTGCATGCTCGGGCGTGTTCATGATGTGGGAGTGGTCAACCAAATAAGTGATTTCGTTGTCGATTGACTCGAGAGCTCCGCAATAGTTCCCAATATAAGCGTCATGGGGCGAGTAGCACGAGCCGTAGATATGTCTCAGGGTCAGGAGATAATCGGCCAAGACGAAGTCGGTACAGAGGGTTCTGAGTTGGGTTTGCCAGGTATGTCTGTGAGTGTCGATGAAACCCGGCGAGATGATGGCGTCGGTCCCATCTATGATGATATGGTCTGAAGAATGTGGCAAACCTGGGGCGACCGCCTTGATGATTCCATTTTCTATCAATACGTCGCAATTAGAGACGTTTCCAATGTTTTCATCCATGGAGACGACTGTTGCGTTCTTGATTATGTACTTGGCTGCCATGTCTGGTATTTCACAGCGATCCTAAACAGCCGTTGCGGAGAAAAGGGAAGATCAAAGTGCCGGTAACAAGGTAGTGAATATAACTAGTCTTGCTGTCGAGCATGCCGAAGGCTATTCTGCATCTTATAAGTTTATATACTTGCATCTCCCAGAAATCTCCGCTAGCCAAGGAGAGCTAAGAGGAAGTACGGGAAATTAATTACCTAGGCACGCTCCAGCATCTCCTGCATCTCCAGCATGGCCCTGATACACCCACTTCAGACACTTGCCTCAAATCCATCCAAGACAGCTACCGATTCGTTCCATGGGCACTGGGCTTGGCATAGTTTACCGACTCACGGGTTATTGATACGCCATTTTCCTTTGGCGCAGGTTGCCCGCAGTGTAGAAATTTTATTGGACGTTGAGGTTGCCAAAACGATGAATGTGGGGTGTATGTCAATATAACCTCTTGTCGATGAAATTCAATTCTCGATATTTTTTTTATCCTCCTTTCCGGAGCAGTGCAGACGTTCTCGGAGGCTTTGCACGCGCACTCACACCAGAGCGTCTATGTATTATGTGGCTTGGTGGTTCCTGCAAGGCTGAGCGAGGCTGAGCGAGGCTGAGCAAGGCTGGATTCCAGGGGCTTTTCGTCGCGACCATGTCACCATGCTGGCCAAATCTTCAGCCTTGAGCCACCCTTCAGGCTAATCACGATTTTTCATCACACGTTCTTCACTTTCGCCTAGACGGCTCTGGCCGTGCGGACGTTGTTGTTCGGGAAAGCCTTACCTGCAGATGTGCGAGTTCCCAACAGCGAGTACCATCTTTTGCACTCAGGCGAGCAGGCACACCTCAACCTCAAAGAACATTCTTATCGTGATCACCAGATCAATTCGTACCACCGTTCCTCATAGCCTCCATCATTTTACGAAACACATTGGAAACCCTGGTCAATGGTAAACAGCCAATAGTGTCAGAAAGGATGCTTCCACTGGTGTTCAGAATGGTGGTACAGACCGCCCAGCCAAGCATGGGAATGGAACGTAGAGGCTCTCTCGGGCTCTTTATGCCATATGGGTGATTGGATGCAGGTGATGTCCCCAACTAAATTGCCACTGCAATCCGAGTTCGTATCTGCAAAAAGAGCGGCTGACTGCTGTTTCGCAATTAACGGTTGGACAAAACCAATGGCCCCAAAATATTGGAGAATGATGCGGGAGGAAGAGACCAGTCAATCCCATCTCTGCATGTGCTGATGTGACGCCTTGCATTTGAGGGGCCACGAAATCAGTCTTCGCAAGTGCGACAGCCTGATTGTTGTGAGAGCATTAAATATCTCCCGAGTCCCCATCCGGATTTCTATCCTCCAGAGCCTCCATGGCCAACCCTAGACCACTTCGGTGGGAAGGCTAAGGAGCAGCCTTGATGGACGAAGGGCGCTGACAACTTGACTGATTGAATGCGGAAGAGAAGTCGATCCAGTGGCAGAAGAGCTTTTTGAAGGAGAGAATTTTGCAGTGCCAAGACATACGCGCAAACAGCACACGTGATCGGGAAACCTACCCTCTAGGGTTTGGCTTTATCTATCGAGCCATCAAGCATCTTGGTTTGTGCTGCCTATCGCATCATCTCGAACTGCTGGCCTCGATTTTCTCCGCGACTTGATCCGTGTATCCAGAGCCGCCTCGGGTAAAGCTACTCTTTCTCTAACGATGGAAACCTGCCGCTGATTCTGCGCCTATAGCTCTGTTTAACATCTCTAGAAAGTGGTACCGTCGCGCGAAGACACGACTACGTCTTCGCGTCCTTGCCATTCAGACCAACCAGCGTCACGACTGGCACTGTTGCGACTGCTATCCACTTCGCCCAAGATGTGATGACCAATCTCTGGCCTGCGACAGGCTCATTGAGCCGACACGACACGACCAATGTGATGACTTTAAGTTTTTGAGCTGTGATTCAGCTCGGGATGTATTACGAGATGATGGCAATTACCTCCCCAGCGGCTGGATCGTTGGACCAACACAACCTGAAAACTCCGGGCTCTTGACTCTGGACGCAAATATATTACCTATCTCGACGGCCGCATTTGAAACTCTGAACTTGCTTTGCGATTCAACCTTTGCGCCATTGCAAAGGACTGGCCAAGAGAATTCAAGTGCGGACCGTGGCTTCGCTAAAACACCCTTTTGTGGCACCGTGTACTTTCCCAACTCGGTTGGCTACTTGCTTAGCTTGGAGGAAGACTCCTTCGGTGCTTTCAATTTCCACTATGCGTTTGGGAAATACGACGATACTGCCAACTCGGAACTTTCTCCGACTTCTTCCACCGGCAGCCACCCGCTGTCGTCGCCTCCACCTGACTTGGATGTTCTCCCCGGGACAGCGCCCGTGAGCTATAACACTTGGGATACGTTTCTCAGACAAAATGAAGACCCGTGGCTGAAGTTCACCAAAGAAGAGAGGGAAGAGACCTTACGTGAGCTATCACAAGAGATGCATATGGATATGCCGCAGCAGTCTTCCAGTCTGATGTCAACGATTGCACAGGATCAAGAGCAGCAGCTTCCCTCTGTCAACCGTTTACCTCTTGTGCAATGCCCGTATCCGCACTGTTCAACGACATTCGGGGCCCGGGGTTCCCTGTATAGGTATGGTTTCGTCGACATAGCTCCGTAGAGCTTCCGTTAACATATGAAAGGTCACACATCAAGGAACATCGAGAGCAGCCAATCCTTTTCTGCAATATCTGCGGGAATGGCCAGAAAGGCCGTCGAAATCTACAACGTCACAGGAAGACGGTACACGAGAGCACTGAGGAAAGAAGTTCCGAGGCTGCAGTGTCAAGCAAGTGCCCTCGCTGTAACTACACTTCGCCGAGGAACGACCAACCCCGGCGACATGTTCGCAGATGCGAGAGAAAACGCACAGAACTGAAGCTGGTTTGACCTTCTACCGCGGGATCTTAACACACGAAAAGATTAGAAATCGATCCTTGAGGTATCACTCGCAATTGGAGCTCTTTGCTTACATTGAGTTTGCCTCCTTCTTGCCGGTTAATTCTGGAAGGAATATGTCGCGTGTTTGACCACCCACCGAACATGGCGCTGATACCTGAATGATCGATGCGATGTCGGCAAGGACATGTACGCCTCGCAACAGCCTCGGCTGAGCTACATATCGCCGTGTGTTCAATACCATTCACCACCATAATATCACCATATACCGTCACAGTACCTACCTAGGCTTCATGGATCTGATTTAATAATCTTGGATTGACACTTGAAATATGACGCCCTGTTGAAGCTCTTTGCTTGCGATGGATGTGCGACCTCAGAAGAAGAGAAACTAAGTTAATACTATAATTAATACGTGCACGTTCGACCCTTCATCGAACGTGATATTATCACATGAATGATCAAAGCACAGTTACTCCGATTGGCATTCCGTCGGGCTCTCTCACGGGGAGAAATATTTACGTCGTTTTCCTTGCTAATGTGATACCATCTGGCCTCGTGGCGGGCTTCCACATTCTAATGCCTTATAAGGCAGTCAAGAAAGGAAACAAGAGGCCGATTTCCATATATCCGTGGCTTTTACACTTGTCACTACCCCTGAAAGCTTGAATGCGCTGTTGAACAGATCCCCAAATATAGCATATCTCTAATGAAATACCAGAATCTCTGTCGTAGTCAGCGGCCAAACCAGTGCAAACGGCAGAGGACTGGTTCTTTGAAACTACGAGCATCCCAGCAGTAGGGGCGGCTGGAAGGCGGGCCTACCCAGGCCCGGTATAGCAAACCAGGGAAGGCATGAATCGTGGCAAAGAAGGGAACAGCGCGGAAGAAAGGGAGACTCGCAATAAGCGCAATGAAGCATAGCGGGCGCGGTGAGCCTCACCACCTCAGGCGACCCTAATCTTCAACCCTCGATGGCGACTGTGTTCCGGGGGGGGCAAGACATGGTGCCTTGAAACGTGGCGTCGATAGTTGGGCAGTTCCCACTCATTCGCGGCCTGTCTGACGGGCTTTACATGAATTACTCCGTACACACATGTATGTACCCTCTTACCAACCACCCTGCGTCTGCACATGCCGCTTGTTGCCTTCACTGTCGGAGGGGATGCTCCTCAGATCCTCAATATGGGCGTTGAGGAAATATCCTCTCAGCTGTTCGCTGGTCAGATCCTTGGCCCCGCTGATGCGCCCTTTACAGCTCCGTGTCCCACAATGGCATTGGAAGGGCTGGTCCATTTCCCACTCGGTGCTGGGGTAGAAGAAGGTCAACACATCGCCGACAGACACACCCTTTGGATTTCCGTGCTCGTCCCGGCGCCTGGCGACTCTGATTTCGATGACGGGCTCCTCGGAGTCCGGAACCACGTGGAACTCCAAGCTCGGCTCGCAGCTGTGGTTTATGTAGAGGAAGTCGCAGTTCAACTCGACGTGCTTGTTCTCCGACACCTGGACGCTTGACCAGCGCTTCTTGTCCGTAAAAGTCAGCGGCGGACTCGTGAGTCGGGCCATCAGTGCTCCTGGCGGAAGGGACGTGGTTGACACGCTGTAGGAGCTAAAGTCGCCCGGACGGTACACCACGTTGATGACGGAAGGATGTGTTGGTTGGCGCGGAGGCGAGGCTGAAGGAGGAGGGGATCCCGCTGAAGCCATCGTTGCGTCCATGGATTGAGCGTTTCGACCTGTGTGGGGGGGATAGTCGAGCAGAGAGGGTGCAAAAGAAAGAAAACGCTCGCCTGGGCTTCTGTGCACTTGAAAAAGAGAGAACAGTGGATTTCTTCCTGTTTCTCTTCTCGACTGAGCCTGTCAAGTGGAGAGCACCAAGAAGCCGGCCGACGCCTCGCATGCATATCAGAACAGCACCACGGAGACAAAGTTTTTCAGAGCTCGGCAACTTGCAGATTGGGCTGGTCCATCTCGTCACCCCAAATTATGTGTGCTGCAAACCCTTGAGGCGCTCATGGGCCCGAAGATGCTCAGCTGCAGCGGAGGCCGCGGCTCGCTGGCCCAACTGTGTCCGCAGACAAGCCCTCGAAGCCCGCCTCGAAGCAATGACGCTCTGGGGTTTCCGAGTGGTGACGCCTTCGTGTACCCCACAGTTCTCGACTGTGGAGTTGTTTTTGCTTCTTTTATGCGAGGCGCACTCGGCGCCAGTTGAACCGCCAGAGCCTCGAGTTGGTCTCTGTCTTGGACGCATGTGCCTTTTGTCCGCAGCCGGGCCACGGGAGGGAAAACCCACGTGCCACGCTCAGCATATTGGATCCAGCCGGGTCACAAGAATCAATTGTCCTGCCTGCAGGTCGGTGTCTATCCAGCTGTGCCCCAGTTTGTTGTCCGAGGAAGAACCAAAATTGAAAGAAAGAAAAAAAAAAAACACTGGCAACTGGTTCCGAATCCTCCCGCTCGGGGCAACTGCTCTGGGCCGAGGAGTATCAACCGCGTCTCAGCCGAAGCTGTCGTCGACCCATGGAAAGAGAAGAGCCCCTCGGGGGCAAACGAGGCGGCTCTTAGGGCTGTTCATGGTTGCACAACTTACAAGGTATGGCCATTTCGTCACCCTAAACCATCTCCATCGCCCCCTCTATATATCCACTAAACAACAAGCTCCGTATTCGCCTCCGATTCATTCCTGGTTTCTTTGAAAGTTGGAAATGCCCTCGGTCCTTATGGATCCAGTTGTTCGATATTGATTCACCGATGAGAACTAACTGGGCTTGCGATTTTGTTACTGTGAGCAGTAAAATGTGAATCTCGTCCTGTCATCCATTCTTTGTATATATTCTTTTCCGTATGATTTTGCACACGTGTGCGAAACTTCGCAAAATAACTTCATTTCACCGTTCGCATCTTGGCCCTTCCGTTTGTACCTTCTCGTGAGAGCAGCTGCCTGCTACGCTGTCCGAGTCTCCGAAGGCAGCGGACTCGGAGGATGCAGGTCTCTCCAAGTCGCTAGGAGCCGAGCCGTGTCGGGCTTGCCATCGACGGAAGAATACTCTCTTGGCCCATTTCCATGTCTCACAGCCCAAGAAGAAGAGCACGGCTTCGACAAAGACTATACCCCATTCCCATGAGATACCGGTATGCTTGAAGACTTTGTGGTTGATGACCTATAGAAGATTGTCAGCCATCCTCTTTTTCTCTCTTGGTGTGTAGGGTCTGTTCATCGTTTGGGGACAAAATCCAAGGAAAGTCTACTCACAGGAATGTATATTGTCGGAAATATGGTCACGAAGCCTGCAACGATGGCCCAGAACAGAAACTGATTCCGCCATACGTCGTGGAACCATTGCGTGAAGTACCTCTTACTGCCAGGCTGCATGCGGAAGAAGCTCCGACGCATATCCACCATTTCCCAGGCGAGGAACAGGGCGAACCAGGTAAGGCTGACAAAGGTGGTGGCTCGAGCCCGGAAGACAGTGTCACATTGTTGGGAATATGACTGGTTGCAGTTGAGACCGAGATCTCCATCTCCGAAGCCGTATACCACGAGAAGGAAGGATGATAAGCACAGAGCAGACATCCACAAACCATATGCAAGCATATCAAAGCAAAGTTCCCAGGTAAAGACGCCGGCTTTCTGCGAAATTGGTGGCCGTTCCAGAATATCGGGCGCGGCGATCTCCAGGCCCAGGCCCATGTCGGGCAGGCCAGACGTAATCATAATAACCCACATGATTTGGACCGGTGCTAGAGGAAAGACGGAGAGGCCCGAACTGTCTTTAAATGCCAGGCCGATAAGTAGCGTGCAAGCTTGGGCGATATTCTCCGCCAAGAGGTGGAGAATGAACTTTTGGATATTATCGAACATTCGGCGCCCTTCTTCGACGGCATTGAGAATCGAAGCAAAGTTGTCATCCGTTAGGACAATGTCAGAAGCATCCTTGGCCACGTCGGAACCTCCTTGTCCCATGGCGATGCCAACATCGGCGATTTTCAGTGAAGGAGAGTCATTCACCCCGTCACCAGTCTGCCCGAAGTCAGCGACAATAACCACAAAGCGGGGGAGAGAACGAAGATTCTTGAACTCACCATGGCCATAAAAGCACCTCGTCGGCGAAGGGCCTCAATCATCCGTACTTTGGTGTTTGGCGCACATCGGGCCACGACCAAGGGCAAGTCTGGAAGCTCGTCTAGCTCTTTGTCACTGAGGCGATCGAATTCTTTGGCTGTCATGACCATAGTTTGAGAGGTTCGTTGGGAGATTAAAGACAGGTCAGATGGGAGAATGCCGACTTGTGCAGCAATAGCACGAGCCGTGCCGGGATGGTCTCCTGTCAACATGTGGACCTTCACTCCTGCGCGGTGGGAGCTCTTTACCGCACCCGCAGATTCCGGCCGCGGAGGGTCATAGAGACCGATCAAGCCGTGGAAAGTGAGATCACGTTCGACGTCCTCCCGAGGAGGAGGGCCTTCTCGACTGGCACGGCGACCGTATCGGGGATTATACGGCCGACTCGCAAGGGCGAGGACACGCAAACCTTGAGCAGCAAGTGCTTCCATATTTTCTAGAATGGCTGCCTTCATTTCGTCCGATAGGACGACGGGGTCTGGCCCATCCCATTGAATGGTAGTGCAAGCGTCGAGGACTCGTTCGACTGCACCCTTGGTATAAATCATTTGCTCCTCTGTCTGAAGATCCTCGAAGATAGTGGACATCTTTTTCGCATCGGAATCAAACGGGTATTCACTAACTTCTTTCAGTTTGGCATTCTTCGGGTCGAGAAACTTTTGCCTGTTGAGTCCAAATCGGTATGCAAAAACCTGGATCGCAATTTCTGTTGGATCACCAATGGCAACCCAGGTTCCTTCCTTGTTAGGGTGAACGCGTGCAAGGTTGCAAAGTGAAGCCACAAGTAAAAAGTCCCTCAATTCGTCATTGTCTTCCAGCAGCTTGGAGGGCTCAGCTGTAGGACCGTCTTCAAGGCGCTTCTCGTTGCTTGCTGCTGGAGCGGCTTCGGTGTGCATCAAATCCCCAATAGTGGGATTGAAAGGTTCATTAGAGGTTTGGACTGTGTAGGTGCCACGGGCGGGGATCCAACACTTTTTGGCAACCATTTTTCCCTGAGTAAGGGTTCCGGTCTTGTCCGAGCAAATATCTGTGACAGCACCGAGGGCTTCCAATGACTTTAAATTTCGTACGATGACGTTTCGTTGGACCATTCTCTTCGTAGCCACAGCCATTGTGATAGTAAGGACAACAATCAGCGATGCCGGAATCATGGAGAGGCCGGTCGCGACAGCATAGATGATGACCTCGGATCGATCAGAGAATTCATTGGCGGCAAGAACAATGATAGCACAGACAACAGCAATTCCGAAAAGTAAGATCGCTAGGCGAGAGAGTTTCTTTTGAAGCGGCGTCCCGACGTTGACCCCGAGGAAGCGGCCAACAGTATCGCTAAATGTGAGCGTCCAGGACTCGACGTAGCGTAAGGGGTGTGCAGTGCCGTCCTCTCGTCGCTTGACAGGGCGAATTTTTGAGTCTTTCTGACGGAGGGCGGTCGCTATCGACCCAATTTCCTGCGAGTATATATCAGAGAATCATCTCATAGTACGGCGAACGGAGACCAAGAGCGACAACGGAATTCAGAAACAGACGTCCTGGTATTTGTCGTCGACTGCATGTTAAGTCACTTACTGTGTACATACCAGTCGCAAAGACTATTCCTCTGGCTCGACCTTTTGTGACTGTGGAAGAACTGAACGCAATATTCAGCCGATCTCCGGGTCCCGTCTCTTCGTCGAATACAGCTTCCTCATCCTTAGCAACAGGTAAAGACTCTCCAGTGAGGAGCGCTTCATCGGTCTCGAAGTTGATAGATTCGAGTAGTCTATCGACTATGAGTAAATTCACATCACCGAAGACTTGCCTAAAACTTACCGAATGTCGGCAGGGACTGTGTCTCCCACTTTAAGCTCGACAAGGTCACCAATAGTGAGCTCTGCTGTAGGAATGGTGATGTTGCTACCGTCACGGACAACACTGGCGGTCGGTGAAGAAAGTGAGCGCAGCGAGTCCATCGTTTTCTCAGCCTGAAATTCTTGCAAGAAGCCGACCACAATATTTAGAATGACCACTGCCGTAACAACGCCTCCCTCAATCCAGGACTGAATCCCGAAGGAAACTGCCATAGCCAGGATCAAAACCAGCATCATCGCGTTGGCAATCTGACGCAAGAGAATCTTCAATGGCTGGACACCTGGGCCATCATCCAATTCATTGCGGCCATAGTCCTGCAATCTCTGTTGTGCCTCTGCCGCAGTCAAGCCGTTCTGGGTATCACTGTCCAGTTGCCGGACAAGATCATCTCGTTCGAGAGCATGTGCTGGCTTAGACAAGGGTCTGTTGCTCTGGCCTGAAGTGTGATTTTCCATTGTTGAGGCCTAATACCTACCTGCACTTTGTAAGGCAGAACTTATCACGCCCCAACAATGATGGACGGTATGCGCCATTGATATATTCCTGAGAGCCCAAAATGGTGGGAAATGATTTGACAGGTATGTTACTCGGGAGCGCCGCATCAAGCTTGGCTGTGGGTCTTGCAGGGGCAAAATACGTAGCATGATGGAAGCCCAAGGTATGTCTCTATCATTGTCCGGGTCACTACCTTCTTGGCAGTGTTTTCCCAGGGAGCCGTGGCCATGTTTGATGGAAACTTGGGTGGAACAAAGATATCAGGGCCTGCTTTTTGGAAACACAGCAAAGAAAAGAGATTCTGAGACGCCATGAAGCACCATGCTCCGGAACGTTTTCATCAAATGTTCGCTCGCAGAACAATTCTCTCGTGGCCGTGGAGATGTTGGGCGCGAGGAACAATGAGCATTCCGAGGAGGCCAGCGGCGTGCGGTACTCTTGGCAACTGAAGACTGCCAAGCAAATACCGAGCCAGCGGAGTCATGGCATTGTCACAGTATTGGACGGGACGGCAAGCCAAGCGTCTTGGGGGGAGGAACTTCCACTTCGTCCAGGTCCGTCTTGCCGTCGAGCGCAAAAACCTTTGGATCAGTCCTCATAGATGTTCCGTCTAGCCGGCGATTACACATTGCTCACGGGTAGTAGACTCAGTAAGGAATGATCACACCAGACGGGCTCTCACTGACGTAACGGCTTTGAAAACATCGCCGAGACCATCGAGATGTTCTATTGGCAGTCTCGAACATTGCCAGGCGGCCCTGGCGGCCCTGGTGATGAAAAGCAAGCTCACTGAGCCGTCCTTTCCGTATGAAGTGATATTTTCGTCCTTGGTATTCCATAAGTGGTTTGGGCCGGGGATTGCTGGTGGCACTACGGAGCAAACAGTGACAGGAGGTTGCGAACCAGGAGTCATGATGGAACTTGGTATATTTGCCACGACTAGTGATGGTCCTCTATCGCCGAGTGTTGAGACTTGCGCAAGTCGCTCCAGCTGATTACCAACAACCGGCTGGGTATTTTCTGTCGCACATGTAACGACTCTGAAGTTAATGGACCCATAATTGACCGGGAGCTGGAGTATTACCGAAACGACACAGAAATTGATGTCGATGGGGTGGTCTATCTGGTGGAAACGGCGGGGAGAATCTGGCGAGAATAAGAAAAGAACAAGTTGAAAAGTGTCATGGAAAATTCATTCCAAGGCCGAGTGTGTCCGGACACAGCGCCAACATTCCACGATCACGAACGGTCCAGGAAACCGCAAAGGCCAATGTCAAGCACATGTGCCAATGTCTGGCCATGGAGTGAGTTCAATTTACTCGAGCAAACAGCGTTGCCCTTAGCTGCATTGTGACCGAGATAAGCCAATTTTGACGGGCGGGACGCGAAGAGTCATGGGTCAAAAAAGAGCCAAACAAACTGGCGAGTGTACTCCGTACAGCGTATTTGAATTTGATTAGTGAATTAGTGATGCTAGTTCCCACATGATGGGAGACTTGGTTTGCTATTCGATAAAGGATTCAGTGTGGCGTGAAGGTAGGCTGCATTTCGGAATTTTGAGACAAAAGGTCGATTGAACGAGAATCGTTGTTGTCCATGGCCTTTTCGAACCAAGGCGATCTCATGATTGTAATATCTGCCTAGGATCGTACCATGGACATCGCTTTTTTGACAATATCGGCTGACTCTCTTAGGTCTGCACGGGCTGCAATTCCAGGCGGCCGGGTACATTCGTGTTTGTTCCAGCGCCCGTAAGCAATGACGCTCTTCTCTGCGCTATCTTCCCTTCTCGAACTTGTCCAATCGCAACGAAGTTAGGCCGAATATTTGCGGCTCCGGGTCGTCGTCTGAGGTTGACCTGGTCGTCGTCTTGCAACCGGCTGGCTTGACTTATTGGTGACTCAGCGAACAGATATGCCGTGACTTCCCCTCGATTGGCCGAGCGCTTCGGTTGTCGCCCCTCGAGAGTCAATGGAAGTGTGTCGTAGTTGTAGGTGTTGAATCTGAGTACCTCCGCGTAGCGAGTGCCCAGAAAGATCACACAAATGCCCAAGGCGATGAGCAGGACAATGAAGAGGAAGGTTGTTTGCCATGTCCCAAACGGATCTTCTAGGAACTTCGTCATTGCGCCCGGCGTAGAGGCTGGTTCTGCAGAAAGCGTGGAGATGAACCGAGTATCTCGTCTTGTGGTGAGATGGAACATCATCAGGCTCAAGGGATAGCTCTAGATGGTTGCCAGCAGGACAGTCGAAAGTTTTAGCAATTCCATTGCTTGGACACTGGCCCTCTGACAGCGGCAATTTGCAGAGGACCGAGGGGTTCTTCAGGGTGTGGCACAATCACTCAAATCCTTTCACTTGAGACCGAGGCCTCCAAAAGCTCGATCTAGTTCCTCACCTTCGCGACTGGGTGACATTGCAGGTGCGGATATGACAGTTACAGGCTGTCCATCCAGCAGATTCTGCTCTTGCCCTGTCTTCAGCACCTTTGTGGGCTCCAGGATCTTCTCTTCACGGTCCAGCCAACCTGGCGCCACCCTTCGCTTCTCCGCAAGATCTCGGTCTTTGATATCTCGCTCCCACTCTTTAATGGCCTTGTCCGCAGCATCTGAAGTCTTTTTGAGGTGGTCTTGAAGGGCTTTACAGGAGTTTATAATATCATCCGGGTGAGCAGAATGGCCGGAGGAGGACGTGACATATTTAGGCTGCCCCGGGCCATTTTCAGCGATGATGGAAGGGGGAAGAGACGTGGGCACAGATCGAAATGTGTAGGGAAGAGTCACAGCGGTCGGCAAGGACAGAAAAGGTGAGACCGTCAAGGGGACCTGCGCGAGCAGCGGATGAGGCTCTGGTCAAGGGGTCAGAGTCTCGAACTATTTGCTTTGAGGGGGGGATCCATGGCCAGGCACATACTGTGGGTGTCAAACATGGCTGTGTGGAACTTCTACTTCTGTTCGAGAAGCTCTTTGGATAGCAGGGAGCTTGTCTTGAGGGTGAGATGAGTGACGACTCTGGCAATGGAAACAGCTTCAAGGTCCGGCTGCAAGCTGGCTGCAGTCTGATTGGGGAATGAGGTCTTTGGTAATACCCAAGTGCTGTCAAGGTACCAGGAACTTTGATGATGACAAGTAACCAGGTATTAATGGTTGGAGGCGTGAAGGTGATACGGTCAGGACCGCGAACGGAGCTGAGGCGCGTGCCTCGCTTCCATCTCGGACTCCATATTATATACTGGGTACGAGGTAGCCTAGAAGCCCAATGCTTCCTCCTCCCACTTTGCCCCTCTTTGAATTGAAGCAAGCCACGCCCTCCTCCACCGTTCAAGTTTGCCCATGGAAATGATGTCTTTTTAGTTCTCGGAACTTGCTCATGTCCAATCCCATGGTCCAAGCTTTCCCTTGGAGTTGACTGAATCCATCACTCAGCATTTAGCTCTTCGCAGGTTGGGTGCGGTCTTGGGGGGATTTTCAGCCCTGGCCTGAACTGGATCTGGATCTGGACCCCAAAAATCCCAATCCTCCTGAAACTGGTCGACAATCCGACTCTCGATTGACTCTTACAGCTTCAGCCGCCCCCGATTTTCAACTGCCCACTGCCCACTTTTATTTTTCAGCTCTTGGACGCCGACACACCGCATTCTAATCTTCTTCGCGACAGCTTCTGAGAAGTCCGTCACTCTTCTTGATCATCTACCTTGAGTCGTCTCCCAAAAGACCGATCCAACCCCTCCTCCTGAACGAGCAGCACCACCGACAATTATTCCTCCCGGCGCTAGCATTGCCACCATCCATTGTGCTGACCCTTTTCCGCCTCGAACTCGCCGATATCTTTGCTTCCTCTATCAAGATTCAACGCTGAGACACTTCAAACGTCGTAAAGACCCTTCGCGCCAGGAGCGCACCCCACAATCAAGATGGACGGTCCGTTACACAGAGCAGTGGTGGACAAGAAGCCCGTACCGGAGATCGACTTCACGCTGCATATCATGGAGGACGGCTCCCAAGTGAGCACTCAGGAGCGAGTATGCAAGGGTAGGCCGTCCAAGAGTCTCTTCCCGAACCCTATCTGATTCTGTGGCAGATGTTCAGGCTCCCGCCATGCAACCTCCCACGAACGAGCAGTTCTGGTCATCAGCCGATCGATCCAAGCCGAATCTGTCCTTCTTGAAACAACACTTTTACCGAGAGGGTCGATTGACGGAAGAGCAAGCTTTGTGGATCATCACCGAGGGCACCAAGCTGTTAAAAGCGGAACCAAACCTTCTGGAAATGGATGCACCTATCACCGTGTGTGGCGACGTCCATGGACAATATTTTGACCTTATGAAGCTGTTTGAGGTGGGCGGGGACCCTGCTGAGACCAGATATCTCTTCTTGGGCGACTACGTCGATCGCGGATACTTCAGCATTGAGGTGCGGCTCGATTGGAATTTGGTTCAAAGACTTTTCCGCTGACAATCTATTTTAGTGCGTCCTTTACCTATGGTCCCTCAAGATCTGGTATCCGAATACCTTGTGGCTTCTCCGCGGAAATCACGAGTGCAGGCATCTGACAGACTATTTCACCTTCAAACTCGAATGCAAACACAAATACTCGGAAAAGGTCTACGACGCATGCATGGAATCATTCTGTTCCTTGCCTTTGGCTGCCGTCATGAACAAGCAGTTTCTGTGTATACACGGTGGCCTAAGCCCGGAATTACACACTCTGGAGGACATCAAGAGCGTAAGCCGTGTGAAACCCCCGATTTGGCGGCCACGGTCGTGCTAATCCTATCAGATTGACCGTTTCCGCGAGCCCCCCACCCATGGCCTAATGTGTGACATCCTCTGGGCTGATCCTTTGGAGGAATTCGGTCAAGAAAAGACTGGAGAATACTACGTGCATAACCATGTCAGAGGTTGCTCCTATTTCTTCTCCTACCCGGCCGCCTGCAATTTCCTCGAGAAAAACAATCTGCTCTCTATTATCCGTGCACACGAAGCGCAAGATGCTGGATACCGCATGTATCGCAAGACGCGTACCACTGGCTTCCCAAGTGTCATGACCATCTTCAGCGCGCCGAATTACCTGGACGTCTACAACAACAAAGCTGCAGTGCTCAAGTATGAGAATAATGTTATGAACATCCGACAATTCAACTGCACTCCTCATCCATACTGGCTTCCAAATTTCATGGACGTCTTTACCTGGTCTCTGCCTTTTGTGGGTGAAAAGATTACAGACATGCTCATTGCCATCCTCAACACCTGCTCCAAGGAAGAATTGGAGGAAGACACGCAGAGTTCGAGCATGGAGCCAGAGACGCCACCATTTGGCGCCGATCCGGAATCCACAGAAGCCAAGCGGCGCGCTATCAAGAACAAGATTCTGGCCATCGGGCGACTCTCCAGAGTCTTCCAGGTCTTACGTGAAGAATCCGAACGCGTCACCGAACTCAAGACTCAGTCCGGAGGTCGCCTGCCGGCAGGGACTCTGATGCTGGGTGCCGAGGGTATCAAGCAAGCCATCCACAACTTTGAGGACGCCCGTAAAGTTGATCTCCAAAATGAGCGCCTCCCACCGTCGCCTGAGGAAATTGAGAAACGCAGTGCGGAGGACAGGCGAGCCGCTCTGGAGAGAGCTGCCACTGAAGCGGAGAATGACACCAACCTGCAGGGCGTGGCAAGGAGAATCAGCTTGTAAGTAATTCGCGGCAGTTTGATCGATTGTGTTTGGCTAACACGGCGCAGTGGCTCCTCCAACCCACGTGGCCATCGTCGAAAGGAGTGAGAATCTGACTACGAGGGAGCGAGAACGCGGAAATGATGCCCTCTTGATGACGATGGAACGAATCCACGACTCTGGCCCGCTCTCTCAGGTCGACGAGTGGCGAGGCATACCATTATATAGGCGGTTTGCAGAAACAGAGTTTGGCGACATAACGCACTTGGAGTCTTGTGCGGAGTGGACTGAAGGAAAGCGGATTGTGGCTCGACAAACTACGTGTGGTTGTAAGCATTGGTTGGCTGGTAGGGCGCGATGGACGAGTCTGGTCCCCAATACGGAGAACCTGAGGCAATGTTGTGTTGTCGGTCTGGGTCAAGTGCCAATGCTTTGACTAGGATGGTGCTTGAACTTTACCCGTGGAGCAGAGATAAAAGGCTCATACAGTACCCTGCCCTGAACCCTTGCCCTTTTTCTTTTGCTGTTCTCTTTCCGTGGCTTGCTTTCCGGTATTTTCATGTCTCTGTCCACAGTGGAGAATCGCCGATAGTGAAAGCGAGAAACACACAGGTAGGAGGAGGAACAAGGCTAACAAGCAGGACTACGGGACCACCCTGAAGAGGAGGTGAAATCAGCCCGGTGCGCCTCTGCGTTCACTCGTATCTGTCCCCCCTAGCCCCCCCTCCCCCTCCTGTGATAGCCCCCGCTGCCCCTGTTGGGCTGACTCAGTCAAGCCACTTTACGCGTGTCAGTGGCGTGGGACGCGGTGTCGGTGTCGAGATGCGCGAAGACGAATTCGCACGGGGCAACGGCGCCAGAATGGATGCCACCAGCGCCAGGGTCGAGCCGCTCCTTGTCCGGGCGTCTGTTTCTGCTCACCCACCTTCACCCTACAACCAATCTCCTTCTCCCAATTGTGAACCCTTTCTTATGCCTCAGGCACTGATATATACTTCCTGAATGCTCATGGAGGGAGCCTAACGAACATCCAAGCCCTGCTGTGCCGTTCTCTTCAGCGGCCTTGGGCGTTCATGCGAGCAGAATCAGCGCCTTATCTGTGTATCAGAGAGTCGCCAGCCCCTCCGTCCGAAAGGCAACTGCTCAGGAGCTGAAGTGCGATCAACAATTTCTTGCCGTTTGCGAGGCACAAGAGCAACTCGCTGGATGATTGTCTAATTGACGTCAAGGTCGCCATGCCTCCCACGCCCAAGGAAATTAGCAACAACATCGACGGGGCTATCGACCACCTCAATGCACAGTGGGATCTCGGGCTTCCAAGGCTCCATGGTATTGAAGCCGACCAGGCTGATGAAACCGATCGCCTGGCTCGCCAATGCTCGAAGTTGATCAGATTCCTCTGCTTTAAAACCGACGATACCAAAACCGCCCTCCCCGATTTCGAACAGAGGGCAAGGCACATTCACTCTCAGTGGGTCTTCAAACCCTCTCAGGAACCGGGAACTCTGCCTGTGTTGCCTGTAACCAAGAGCCTGGTCACCCGGAAGAATGGCTTAGTCCGCCTTAGCGACACCCAACGGCGGGAACTTCTACAACTTTTGTACAAGATATTGAAGGAGAAGAAGGAGAACTATGAGCTGGCACGATTGTCGGATGCGTTTTCGAACGAGCCAGCGTCTACCTTGACGGCATCGTTTGCCACAGCTCCAACATCTCCAGTAACAGAGACAGAGCCCCGAAGGCAAGAGCTCTCTACGCCGTCCCGCAAGCTCTCGAAACCCGAATCTCCAAAGAATGAGCCAGATGAGCCGCAGCTGAAGCACCCTGCGACATTGTCCTCAAAGAGAACATTGGGCTCGTCCAATGGGGTCAGTCAAACATCTATATTTGAGTTTCCATCTGCTCACCTTTCACCGCAGCGAAGTAAGCGACAGCAAACGCTGTCGGAGTTCCAACAATTTCAGCACGTACCACCACCCCGTCCTCTCCATGTCCCTGATCCGATCAGCTTTGGTACTGTAGTATCTACCGCGGCGACCTCCGTCTTCTCGGGCGTCGACGAAGAGAACGAAGGAGCAATGTCAAATAATACGTCCATGATCAGTTCCCATGCCGAAGACTCCCAGGATCTTTTTCCAACCCAAGATTACAACGAAATATTTAGTGACGAGCAATTCTCCACCTCGTTTAATGAACTAAGCAAGGTTTCAGGCCCGTCCGACCAAGCTGATCATGATTTAGACAACACTTTTACGGTACATGCGC